TGGGACAAACGGCGCCTTAGTCGATTGGCCACTCGTGTCATTCCACCCAATGTTTGTTTGTTGTTTTTACGCCGCACGCAGCAATATTCCACCTATATGACGGCGGTCTGTAAATAATCGTGTCTGGACTACACAATCCAGTGATTGACATGAACATCGATCCACGCAATTGGTATACGATGACATGCATCAACCAAGTCAGCGAACCTGACCACCCGATCCCGTTAGTCGCCTCTTACGACAAGCATGGGTCATTGTAGTCAGCTGTTGTCCAGGGGACATTGTACTGTCGTGGAATCGAACCAACGACTGTTGCAAGGAGATCCAGATCCCCATTGTGACATGATTATGTTCGTTTGGTTGTCTTTCAAACGTCACACTGAGCACTATTTCGGTGTTTTAGGGCGGGCGTAGATTATGGAGTCTGGTCCAGACACACCGGTGATTGACCTTTGCGCACCGTTCTGTGTCGTGGAGTTAAGATGACACTTTATCAACCAAGTTACCGACCCTGACCATCCGATCCATTTAGTCGGGCCTTGCGTCAAGCATAGGAAATCAGTTCAAACACGGAATCACCATTAATCTTCCAACGTATTTGTGTATGCCCCGATAGAACTCAAATAGTTTGTGTTGGTAGATAGCTTAAATAAGATCGAAGATTGACATGAGATCGGCCTTGTTCACAGACACACGTTCTGTCGCCCGAGTGCTAGCCTGCCATTTTACTGACGTTTCACTTCCTTCGGTGTTGGTCGAATAACTACAACTGGATAATCTGATCAACAGTTAACATTTTTGGATGACAACAAATCGCGATCACCCCCCAAGGATCATAGTCACGTCAAATTTGGGACGTAAACCCATCACCAGCTGATTTGGACGAAACAAAACACTGCAATGTGAATTTAAACCACTGAGCCACACATTCCCATAAGTGAATTGCAGAAAAATGAGAGAGAGAGAGAGAGAGAACTATCTTCCTTTGGTTTGAAGAACCACTGACCTTCTCCACTAAACCACAGTCAGGTCTCATCTTTAAGTAAAAAACCAAATGCACAAATCTCAGTAGTGCTAGTTTTTTTCCTTATATGGCGTCATCTCTGTAACCATATCATCTTTTACAACAAAAACAGATGCTCCATTAGTGATTATATCAGCTTATTTATTGATCTCCATATGCTAAAATATATAAACCTGGTACAAGTCTGCTGAAAGACATCCACTTGTGAGGGAACACATGATGACATGTACCGTGATGCAGTGAGTGAGTGAGTCTGGTTTTACGCCGCTTTTAGCAATATTCCAGCAATATCACAGCGGGGGACACTGGAAATAGGCTTCACACATTGTACCCATGTCGGGAATCGAACCCGGGTCTTCGGCGGGACGAGCTAACGCTTTAACCACTAGGCTACCCGACCGCCCCTACCGTGATGCATACACACCAGTCATGTTCTACGTGCGATGGATGAAGAAACACACCATATTCTGGACAATTAATTATTGAGTATCATTAAGTTTAATGTTTGATACGAGTTTGAAAAAAGAACATTCTACATGAGAATAATGAAGAAACACATCATATGCTGAAGAATTAATTATTTATGATATTATTGACTATGATAAAGTTTAATGTTTAATATGTGTTTCAAAAAAGAACATTCTACGTGAGAATGATGAAGACACACACCATATTCAGGAGAATTAATTATTTATAGTATTATTGACTATCATGAAGTTTCATGTTTTCTATGAGTCTTAAAAAGTACAAGTCCATCATAACCAATACCAAAGGGAAACCTGAAAGGTTACAAGCTCCAGGGGTTCGCGGTTTGAATTTTGCCAATTTCATTGGTTAAATGTCATCCATAGTTCCGAGATTAAAAACATTTGAGTCCCTGCAGAGTTTATGGCAAAAGGTTAGGTCAGCAAATAGGAATTAAATTTGGCATATATATAATTTGTATTAGAGTGACAATCACTATCGGACAGCTGGCAATATCCCCCTACCATACTTTGCCAATAACAATACCCTGTTAATCCAGACACCTCTCTTGCTAAACAAATTGATGGGGTGGATGCAAATCTAGGACTTCAGTAAGAAGGGTTACCGGACAAACAGGGTGTCACGATCTCAAACAATCAACCAAGATACAATGAATACAAGGATGAGTTATTGACAATGAGCAAGCACTAGTGGCACGATCCAGAGTGGGGTCCACAGTCAAAAACACATTTGGGACCCCCTGAACATACAAATAAAACTTTTTACCGAATACAGATAAATCCTACCCCTAATTATCCAGCCCAAATTCTAAAGTTAAGAATTCAGAATTTGATGACCCATCCCCCATCCCACCCCTTATAAAAGTCCTGGATCTGCCATTGGATCATTGCCATCGTTTCAAAGAATTATTCCAAGTCATTAAATAATACAAGGCTAATTTCAATGTGTGGTATACGTAACATGTTGAAGAGTGGGTTTACCCAGCCATATGCACTATCATATGTCGGGACATCATGTGGGAATCGACCCCATGCCTTACATGACAAGGTTGTAGCACTAGGCTACCCCATCGCAACACAAAACATAGACTAAAAGAATATAACACAATCTAATTGTTCTTATCCCCAACACAAGGACAGGCTCTCCACATCAAAGCCATCATCTATCCTTTACAGGTAGTACAGACTGTGTTCCTCTTTTAATACATACAGCCAGGTGTAGTCGCTATTTGTATCTGTATCCCATCACAGCCTGGTTCCAGCAGGGGATCTGACCAATGCGGGATCAGATTATATCACACAAATGACACTATTTCTCATGCACATTGTGCTACAGCCTTACAACTATCACTCTACACATTGCTTCCATATAAGGCAATGTAGGGTTCGCACATGATTGACTTCCATGAGATGACAGAGCCTTGATCCGTTGATGTTTCACGACTACACTGCATTTCGGCCCTGTGTATTTACGAATTGACTTTCACTTTGTGTGAGTTCATTGGAGTGTGAGCAGTCATAGAATGAATGTCCGATCTTGCTATGTTTGGATCTGCATTTCTTCGATTTGTTCACTAGGATGGGTTGTAGCGAAGATATTCATGAGACAATCATCAAGTCAAACTCTCTTATGTTTCTCTATGTATGCTAAAACGCTGAGTTCAAGTATAAAGAGTCTAAATGATCAGAAAGAACGCTTATGCATGTTTTCGTGCTAGGGAATTCCCAGGGGTTTCCCCAGGAATGTGGAAGTAGTCTGTCCGTGTTTATGTCATTTCAAGAACACAGTCTCCTGAAAAACGAATGAACGTCAAATTGTGTTGTTTATACACTAATAAACGTCAGTTTTGCAGGTCATGTCCCCGACCTCTCGTCCAATGGAAAAGACGTATATCGTGTAAACTTCCATTAAACAATCATACATGGATGATGGAGGAATGCAGTGTATACAAACCTGTGAAGTACTGACGAGGCCTTAAGGCGGAAACAATTCCGACATCAGACGCTGTCTGAAGTCACAGCACTAACTCAGCCTTCTCAAACAGGGCCGCAATAATTCTTTCATTCATCATTCAAACACCTTCAAAATAAAATACATGGAAAGATTGATGAATATCACAGTGTATATTGTGTGAAGAGAGAAGGAAAAATGATTAACATGGGTTATCAATTTGTTGTCATAACAAGTGTTTTACTCAGCCAATCACGGAAGACAAGGTTCAACAGCTGGTGCACCATTTCAGTGAGTGAGTGAGTTTGGTTTAATGCCACTTTGAACAGTGTATCAGTCATGTTACCGCATGACAGTTTGATAGGAGAGGAAAGCCTGAAGTGATGCAGGTCTCCGACATTTACCACTCTGGTAAGGCCCTTGAGCACGGGTATGGTGCTGACAAACCTAGACACATAATCGGGGTAAATACGGGATTTTAACCCACAAACTTAATGGGGGCATTTCTGCAAGGGAATTGATGCACATTCTTAGATGACTTAGGCAAATGCATCTCTTCACTACTAATAAAGTCACTACAGGATGTTTAGATTTTTCAATGGATGGTGAATTCTTTGAGACATATTTGGCCTTATAAGTGAATATTTAAACACAAATCAATTATCCATAATAAACATAAACATAATTTCATTAAGTAACAATTACCACTTACCAAGGGGCTATGTCAATTGTTTGCACATTATAACCAATTGCATCTACAGGATTTTATTGTTAGATCTTGCCTCCTCGGAATATTTCAATAAAATTTACACAAAACAGAACTTACTGATGCCAGATCCAGGATTTCGAGAAGAAAGTTCCGAATAAACCTTTTGTGATGTATATTTTTTAGTTGATTCAGGTTGATTTCAAAAGCCGAAAGTGGAATAGGACTATCATTCTCCCTGGATTCCATCATCTGAGTAAGTTGCTTACAACTCATACAGCTAAATCAAGATGGAAGACAGATCAATCTTATTACTGGTAAAATAGATCTTTTACACCGATATGATATGTGACTGTGTGGAGATTTGACAACCCCTCTACAAGAGGATGCGTTGGATGAACATTCTTATCAGCCGATCAGCATTCAGGCTTCTATGTTCTCAGTTCAATGAACGAAGAACAATCTCATTAAAATCAGATCTTAGTTTTCGCTACCGCTAAAACATCCCATTACGGGTCACGTCAGAACAACCTTTCGCAAACTTTGACCGATCAATGAAATGAATGACAAGAAATAGACATTAGCCAATCAGAAGGCAGCTTTCTCTAGCTTTACGGCGCTAGGTTCAAACTGGCGACTTCGCTTCGAAACATATTTTGACATATTCTCGATTTAAAAAAATCAAAACTGTTAAAAAGAACATTCTGGAATGGCTCACAGATGGCCTAGATTCTATGGATATAATCATAAAACCCGTAACTGTCGTTTGGAATACCTTCTGTTCAATATTTCGAGGTTGCATGATTAGAAAACACATTCCGTCTGTCACTTTCATGATCTGGTAAGCGAGGCTCCGATTGGTTGGATGAAAGGTCGTTCTGACGTGACCTGTAATGGGATGTCCTCAGATCTTTGTTCAGCGATAACGAGAACTAAGATCTGATTTTAATGAGATTGAACGAAGAATAATCATTTATTATCTGTGTACAAACGAAACTGCCATATACACATCAACACCAAAGTGACACTTACATTCTAAAAAGACATGGAAACTTTTGACACAGCCCCTCACATATACTCATATTCCAATAACCAATATAATACAATAGTAACACAAAATAAAAGCAATTTATATCTTTTTACAAACAAATTGAGATATAACCATCAGCATTAAACTGACCGGTACAATGTACATTTGGAAATGATATGGTTAACCTTTGATCCGGCCCCTCACATATATGACACATAAACATATTAAAAATATCATCCAATGGTCATCATATACAATTTTTGTACAAGCAAAAAGAGCACCAGTGGGATATGTTAATGCTGTATCACACGCGTATCGGAATGTTGTGATGATGGCAAAAATTCAACAGGATAACAAAGGGTATTAGCAGTATTTGAGAAACCTTGATGTCTACATCCTCGATTATCATATTTCAATAAAATCATAATAAATACCTTGGACCCATTCTCAAATATAGCTTTGTCATGGACGTGCCATCTTTACATCCATCCTTCCTCTCTCTAACTTATCACAGACTAATTTGACTGGAGGGCTTTTTTAGCATCATGCTCTCTAAATCAAGCTCTTAACAAAGCTATCATAGCCAATGGATCCAGAGAATTTATCAAAGTGGAATGGAAATATAATATCCTGGATAATTAAGGATGTAGATCAAAGACTAAAAACCATATGCGAATTTTGGACCTGATATTTCTCAAACCACTGTGGAAGAAGATCCACATATTGGCCTTCAGAGGATCCCCAGAGAGCTGTTTTGATCACCTACGATCCCAGCACTTCAGCAGTTGTTGGTGATCCGTCTAGCCACTGTGGGACTAGTTATCCACACTGCCACACTATGACAGTCTTGTCATATCCTCCTGACAACAGCCTCCCATCCTCAGCAACATCAATACTGGTCACAGCATCTACAACAGAGTTCAGTCTCAGGATACCCATTTCTTGAGTGAGTGAGTGACAGGTGACCTATTCTATACCGGAATACCCACAAGAAGACCAGCATAGGAAACTGGGGCCCTATTCTACCCTGGAATCCCCACAGAGACAAGAGTGGGGCACTAGGGACCTATTCCACCCTGGAATCCCCACAGAGACAAGAGTGGGGTACTGGGGCCCTATTCCACCCTGTAATCCCCACAGAGACAAGAGTGGGGTAGTGGGGACCTATTCTACCCTGGAATCCCCAAGGAGACAAGAGTGGGGCACTGGGGACCTATTGTGTCCTGGAATCCCCAGAGACCTAGAATGGGGCACTGGGGACCTATTCTACCCTGGAATCCCCAAAGAGACAAGAGTGGGGCACTGGGGACCTATTCCACCCTGGAATCCCCACACAGACAAGAGTGGAGTACTGGGGACCTATTCCACCCTGGAATCCCCACACAGACAAGAGTGGGGCACTGGGGACCTATTGTGTCCTGTAATCCCCAGAGACCCAGAGCGGGGTACTGGGGACCTATTCTACCCTGGAATCCCCAAAGAGACAAGAGTGGGGTACTGGGGACCTATTCTACCCTGGAATCCCCACAGAGACAAGAGTGGGGTACTGGGGACCTATTCCAGCCTGGAATCCCCACAGAGACAAGAGTGGGGTACTGGGGACCTATTCTACCCTGGAATTCCCACAGAGACAAGAGTGGGGTACTGGGGACCTATTCTACCCTGGAATCCCCAAAGAGACAAGAGTGGGGTACTGGGGACCTATTCTACCCTGGAATCCCCAAAGAGACAAGAGTGGGGTACTGGGGACCTATTCTACCCTGGAAGCCCCAAAGAGACAAGAGTGGGGTACTGGGGACCTATTCTACCCTGGAATCCCCACAGGGTTGTCTTACCTTGATGAGCCTTTGACTGGTGAAGTAACTGTCCCTTGTCCATGTCCCAGACCTGCACGAAGCCTGCACTGTTCCCCGACATCACCAGGCCCCCAGCCCACTGGAGACATCTGAAACAACAGAGGCAATGTGCCATCAGACCCGACCCGGCATGTGCAACATGCCGAGGTAGGACAATTCAATTCAAACAACCAAATCTTGGTTCTTGGAAGAACGAGTCTTGGCTGATACCTCAAGCATTGAAAATCCATATCGCCCTCGAGAAGTGCGCTAACCTATACAGAACACAATCATCTGGAGGGTGAGGTTTCCGGACTACTGAGGTTTCACAGTACTTTCACTTTATATTCACTGTGGGCATGGATTACTTCACAATGTCTGTGCTTCTGGCAACATGACTAGAGAACAGGTGGCTGACAAGTGTGTGTTGACATGTTTGTATTGGGTGCACTAAATATGTGGAAAATGGTACAAAGTTTCCAGACGCAGAAAAGTGGGAGCTTATGAAGAAAACTATCAAATACTGCTTTTAAATATCACAATGACATGCCCTACAACTCCACTGGACCTATGTTTCATAAAAAAAATTAATCTTTCATCCCACCTAGTCTGTAAGTAGGTCGAGATTGAAGGGAAGCAACTATGATTATATGTGTTATTTGTGTTTTCTCAAGCTTGCACTAATTTTCAGGTTAAATATTAAAAAGAGTCCTTACAGTATTTCATCTTGGACATCCTTGGTGAAGATCTCGGTGCCAGTTCCTGTGTCCAGCACTTTGATGTAGTTGTCTTCCCCACAGGACAGGATCCGTCTCACATCTAGAACACACAGACACAATACACACATCTAGAACACACAGACACAATACACATTATCTATAACACACAGACACAATACACACATCTAGAACACACAGACACAATACCCACATCTATTACACACAGACACAATACAAACATCTAGAACACACAGACACAATACACACATCAATACGAACAGACACAATACACATTATCTATAACACACAGACACAATACCCACATCTATTACACACAGACACAATACACACATCCATAACACACAGACACAATACCCACATCTATTACACACAGACATAATACACACATCTAGAACACACAGACACAATACACACATCTATAACACACAGACACAATGCACACATCCATAACACACAGACACAATACACACATCTATAACACACAGACACAATACACACATCTATAACACACAGACACAATACACACATCTAGATCACACAGATACAATACACACATCTAGAACACACAGACACATTGCACACATCTAGAACACACAGACACAAAACACACATCTATAACACACAGACACAATACACACATATATATAACACATTTACATAACTGCATTTGCAGACACAATACAGAGTTTGCAGACACAATACAGCATTTGAAGACACAATGCAGCATTTGTGGACACAATACAGCATTTGTGGACACAATACAGCATCTGTGGACACAATACAGCATTTGTGGACACAATACAGCCTTTGCAGACGCAATACAGCATTTGTGGACACAATGCTGCATTTGCAGACACAATACAGCATTTGTGGACACAATACAGCATTTGCAGACACAATACAGTCTTTGCAGACACAATACAGCATTTGTGGACACAATACAGCCTTTGCAGACACAATACAGCATTTGTGGACACAATGCTGCATTTGCAGGCACAATTTAGACTTTGCAGACACAATACCGCATTTGAAGATACAACACAGCATTTGCAGACACAATACATAATTTGAAGACACAATGCAGCATTTGAAGACACTATGCAGCATAAAAGGACTCTTATATATACTCTGCCCTTAAGGCTACTTTTAACCAAAGAAAATTGTTTGAGTACATCAATCTTGTACGATGTTATGCACATATCATTTGTGCAAGCGCTTAAGGAAATCTGCTGGATTGTTTTGTGTTTTGTGGTTAAGAAGTGCACCTTGCCAAAAAGGATTCCCACTAAGCCTTTTCTTTGTTTGGACAATTAGATTTAATAACAAAGATAATAGAAAAAGATAAATACTCCAGACCAGCGAGCAGCCTTAAACTACAGAGTGCGGAAGGTGAATGTTATGCCAGACATAGTGGGCAAGGAGTACAATATTAGACAGGGGTGTATCATAGGTGGATCAGTTACCTGGACTGATGAGGACAGCATTGATTCTCCCATGATGCACTGTAAATACAGGAAAAACACTGAAGAACCACCACTGAGGGCTGCATGTACTATTGTTGGAACATACTGGGTCCAATATTTATATATTCATGATATAAGCATATTTAACCCCACACAACATACCGGTAGTGCCAATTCCTTATCTCTTTAATCCTATAACACAGAACCTAAATCATGTCTCTTTAATTAGGGGGCGCTCTCCACCAGGTCGCCATTTAGAGTTACCTCCCTTCAAGACCTCACTTTCCTCTCATTTGAAAACTGTGCAAATTTCAGATTGGGGAAGGTTGGGTGATCTGTTGTATCAGGATAGATATACTAATATCATAAATATTCTAGTGCAAAGGTTATCACACAGTTGGTGGCTGTGTTTGTAGTTGCAATGCTGGTCTGTCGGTAACCTGGACCAGAATATGTCATGGACTAGACTTGAGGCCTCCTCAAGCACCCCATCTTCACTAATCTGTCACCTGTCACATGCAAAGCTATGCTTCATTGTTGATTACCTGTGTTGGATACAATATACATAGAATACTAAACTCGCTCCCTTGTAAGACCAATTTTTATGAAATGAGTGAACAGTTGTGATATCTGACGAGTGAAAGCTCATAAAATTCATAAAATTGGTATTTCAAGGCAGCATGTTCAGTATTTTATTTATTACTTGCCGTTTATAATTTTGTTTTAAAATTTAACTGTTGTGTGTGAATAGGCAGACATCTACATGATCCACAGCTTACTCCAATTCAGATAAAAAGAAGAATGCTTCAAACAAATAAAAAATTGATACTTATTAATCAAATACCATACAACAGCCCCGCTTAAGAATTCAGGCATCCGTTCCACAAAGCTATCATGACACTAAAGTTACTGTTACTCCCATACTTTAACATAGACTTACAATCGCCTCGTGGAATGGGGCCCTGCACTAAAAAGTTACAATCACCAATGATGTAATTTGTTGCACCAGCTAAAACAGCGCCATGTGACGTCAGCCTAGCCACAGGGTTGTTGGGGTCATGGAGTGTGCATAAGCTCCTCTCAGTGATGTATCATCTCTACACGCAATGTCATTGAAAAAGCCCAGGGATGTTGGGAGCTTTCAATAATTGTTAGTGAAACTTGTTCCCACATTACCTTAACATGCATTTAGTATTACACAATGTGTAGTACAGCTGTATGTTATTAAACGGGTGATCTCTTCATAGGCAGGTAATAAATGATGCTGAGGGATCGGAACACCTAGTCACCTGTGTCCTCTGCAAACACTTTGAGACCTTCATTTACTGGCCTTTGGCTAGCATACTAGTGTTAATTACTAATTCTGACAGTGTTAGTCATGACTGTACTCCTTGTGCACCTGCTAGTTGGTTGCTGATGTACTGAGTGTAGAGGTCCCACACACACAGATGGCCATCCTTGGTGCCCGTCACCAGCAGGCGACTCTCGGCATCCAGGTCCAGACACGTCACCCCCTCGTCATGGTCCAGCTGGCCCTGCAACATAGACGCAGTCACACTGACCATTCCACATGGCTAGGGGTAAACAGAAGACTTGTGGAACATTAGTTGAAAGTTTGTTTGTTTGTTTGTTTACTTGTTTACCGCTGCATGCAGCATATTCCAGCCATATGATGGCGGTCTGTAAATAATTGAGTCTGGACTACACAATCCAGTGATTGAGTGAGTGAGTTTTTATGCCGCTATTTATATTTTTATTTATTTGTATATTTTTAGCAATATTCCAGCAATATCATGGCGGGGGACACAAGAAATGGGCTTAACACATTGTACCCCTGTGGGGAATCGATCCCGGGGTCTTCGGCGTGATGAGTGAACGCTTTAACCACTAGGCTACCTGACTGCCCCTTATCCAGTGATTGACATTATGAGCATCGATCTATGCAAATGACCATCAACTAGGTCAGACAGCCTGACCACCCGATCCCATTAGTTGCCTCTTATAACAAGCATGGGTTGCTGAAGACCTATTCTAACCCAGATCTTCACTGGTCACATCAGTATAAAGAGAGAGATGAGTGACAAGCAAATGCTTGACCCAATAAAACTACCCTACTACCCTACCACCCTACCACCCTACCACCGCTACCACCCTTCCACACTACCACCCTTACCCAGGGGAAAGTCACGTGACAATTTCACGTTTTAAGCAAATGACCATTATCATATAGTAATAGATTCTATGAGATGTCAAAATGGTGTGAGTGCACCCTTTTCGATAACTGCTCGTGACATAGAAATTGTTATTTTGGGTCTTGAACCACAACCAATGTGGTTCCCAAACTCACCAGATATTTGGCCGATGAGAGAGCCTGGCCTTGTTCTGGTTGTGGCAGCTTCCAGATCTGTAAACAACAGCACTGTACTTGTACATCATCCACAGTAGTGGACAGTTGACATAAGTCAGCTCTTTTACAGTATCATGTAATTCAATGTGTCTGACTCCACGCTATAGAGGCAGTGTACAGGGAGCCTGACGTCCATACAATAGAAGCAGTGTACAGGGTGTCCGACCTCCATGCTATAGAGGCAGTGTACAGGGTGCCTGACCTCCATGCTATAGAAGCAGTGTACAGGGTGTCCGACCTCCATGCTATAGAAGCAGTGTACAGGGTGTCCGACCTCCATGCTATAGAAGCAGTGTACAGGGTGTCTGACCTCCATGCTATAGAGGCAGTGTACAGGGAGCATGACGTCCATTCAATAGAAGCAGTGTACAGGGTGTCTGACCTCCATGCTATAGAGGCAGTGTACAGGGTGTCCGACCTCCATGCTATAGAAGCAGTGTACAGGGTGTCCGACCTCCATGCGATAGAAGCAGTGTACAGGGTGTCCGACCTCCATGCTATAGAAGCAGTGTACAGGGTGTCCGACCTCCATGCTATAGAAGCAGTGTACAGGGTGTCTGACCTCCATGCTATAGAGGCAGTGTACAGGGTGTCCGACCTCCATGCTATAGAGGCAGTGTACAGGGTGTCTGACCTCCATGCTATAGAGGCAGTGTACAAGGTGTCCGACCTCCATGCTATAGAGGCAGTGTACAGGGTGTCCGACCTCCATGCTATAGAGGCAGTGTACAGGGAGCCTGACGTCCATACAATAGAAGCAGTGTACAGGGTGCCTGACCTCCATGCTATAGAGGCAGTGTACAGGGAGCCTGACGTCCATACAATAGAAGCAGTGTACAGGGTGTCCGACCTCCATGCTATAGAGGCAGTGTACAGGGTGCCTGACCTCCATGCTATAGAAGCAGTGTACAGGGTGTCCGACCTCCATGCTATAGAAGCAGTGTACAGGGTGTCCGACCTCCATGCTATAGAAGCAGTGTACAGGGTGTCTGACCTCCATGCTATAGAGGCAGTGTACAGGGAGCATGACGTCCATTCAATAGAAGCAGTGTACAGGGTGTCTGACCTCCATGCTATAGAGGCAGTGTACAGGGTGTCCGACCTCCATGCTATAGAGGCAGTGTACAGGGAGCATGACGTCCATTCAATAGAAGCAGTGTACAGGGTGTCTGACCTCCATGCTATAGAGGCAGTGTACAGGGTGTCCGACCTCCATGCTATAGAAGCAGTGTACAGGGTGTCCGACCTCCATGCTATAGAAGCAGTGTACAGGGTGTCCGACCTCCATGCTATAGAAGCAGTGTACAGGGTGTCCGACCTCCATGCTATAGAAGCAGTGTACAGGGTGTCCGACCTCCATGCTATAGAAGCAGTGTACAGGGAGCCTGACGTCCATTCAATAGAAGCAATGTACAGGGTGTCTGACCTCCATGCTATAGAAGCAGTGTACAGGGTGTCCGACCTCCATGCTATAGAAGCAGTGTACAGGGTGTCTGACCTCCATGCTATAGAAGCAGTGTACAGGGAGCCTGACGTCCATTCAATAGAAGCAATGTACAGGGTGTCTGACCTCCATGCTATAGAAGCAGTGTACAGGGTGTCTGACCTCCATGCTATAGAGGCAGTGTACAGTGGCAATGGTACAGAAGACAGTCTTACCTTCACCGAAGAGTCCCACGAGGCTGTGTACAGGGTGCCAGACCTCCAAGCTATAGAAGACACTGAAAGCACAGATTTAATCTTCATATGATAGAAGACAAAAAACAATTCGCTTGCATGCAGCCTATTTTTTCAGTGACCTTAAAAGTATGATCCCCAAAGGCAGAATGCCCATTTGGGCTGAGAGAAGAAACATGTTGCTAAAACACAAGTAAGTATGAACCAAGATCCTTTAAGTTCAACACAAAGGTAAATATTCCTCTGAGAGAGCTGTGTTCAACATGACTTGGTGAATCCCCTGAGGGAGGTTATGCATGTGGTGCTAACAAATCAAGTATCATAAGAGTGAATTGGGATTCGACACTGCAATCAAAGGATCCTATATATGCAGGAATTTGGCCTGGTTCCCCCCAAAACAGAAATGTGTTAACATCATATCCTGCAATGTGTTTGTACCTAGTTTACAGCATATAACATGCAAGCTCCATGTCAATGCATGACACGTTTGTTAACCTCCCAGTATAGAGCACAAGCAACTAGGCATCAGTGTAAGGAGCTTGGTTACAAAATTTTGAAGTAGATGTGAAACAGTCCATTGACTGGCTCTTATCTTCTATGAACATTACAAGTTTATTATCCAAGGTCCAAGGTCTGGCGCCTTGTCCACACGACCAAGAGTTAAATCCCATCACCAAGCTGACAAAGCAAGGATGTCATCTGTTGGATGACTCCATGCCCTGCTACATACTCTCCTGTCAACAGAAGGCACGTCACAGGCTGCATAGAAGGGTACCAAGTTTTGTTCAAATTTGACATTAACGTAATCAGCCCCAGTCTGGGCGCCAATGTCCTGTGATGGGATTAAAACAACAGACCGGGCACAGATCACATGACCAAAGAGGTCAACCCACGTCAGCAAGCTGACAAGGTAAGGATGTCAAATTCAAAATCATGAAATTAATGTGAGTGTGAATTAAATGCACAAAATGTTAGTTGTCTTGGTTTGCACTACTTAAACATCGCAATTAAGTCTCCAAAATGACCATCGACAATAAGGCAGCCTCACTGTACACTTTGGATAGCGGAAATACCAACTTCAATATGAACACAAATACGGTATACAACAATGTCATTCAAAGAATAGGAATTACACAATAGGCATGTGATAAGTTATCACTGCTGGGGTCAAGACTTCTACCCACTCGTGTCAAACTAGGCATCACTGAACACTCCAGCAGTAAAGACAGACGCCACCCATGCAACACTTCGTCAGAGGCTGACACAACCCAATGCGCACCGATAGGCTTCATCACACTCCTCAGATCTACAGCCTTTGTCTTGTCATCTGCCTTCCAAGTTTGTTGATACTGGTGAACTGTTGTTAGTTAAATTATTTTATTGCCTTTGAACTTCCTTTATGGAAAACACCATTATTGCTTTTGGGCTCTTAAGTAGTAAGCAGTGCTATTTGCTGTTTGAATTGATTAAGGTAAGGATATCATTCCATTTGGGATGGGGGGGGGAGTCGCATTGATATTGAGTCACATTTTTGGCTAGGGGTCAACAATCGTATAACTCCATGCTCTGCTACACTGACAAGACAAGGATGCCCCTCCCCGCTACACTGACAAGACAAGGATGCCCCTCCCTGCTACACTGACAAGACAAGGATGCCCCTCCCCGCTACACTGACAAGACAAGGATGCCCCTCCCTGCTTCACTGACAAGACAAGGATGCCACGCCTCCCTACACTGACAAGACAAGGATGCCCCTCCCTGCTACACTGACAAGACAAGGATGCCCCTCCCCGCTACACTGACAAGACAAGGATGCCCCTCCCTGCTACACTGACAAGACAAGGATGCCGCTCCCTGCTTCACTGACAAGACAAGGATGTCACGCCCCCCTACACTGACAAGACAAGGATGCCCCTCCCTGCTACACTGACAAGACAAGGATGCCACGCCTCGCTACACTGACAGACAAGGATGACACGCCCTGCTACACTGACAGACAATGATGCCACGGCCCGCTACATTGACAGACAAGGATGCCACGCCCCGCTACATTGACAGACAGAGGATGCCACGCCCTGCTACACTGACAGACAATGATGCCACGCCCTGCTACACTGACAGACAAGGATGCCACGCCCCGCTACATTGACAGACAGAGGATGCCACGCCCCGCTACACTGACAGACAGAGGATGCCACGCCCTGCTACACTGACAGACAAGGATGTCCCTCCCCGCTACACTGACAGACAGAGGATGCCACGCCCTGCTACACTGACAAGACAAGGATGCCCCTCCCTGCTACACTGACAAGACAAGGATGCCCCTCCCTGCTACACTGACAAGACAAGGATGTCCCTCCCCGCTACACTGACAGACAGAGGATGCCACGCCCTGCTACACTGACAGACAAGGATGCCCCGCCCCGCTACACTGACAGACAGAGGATGCCCCACCCCCGCTACACTGACAGACAAGGATGCCCCTCCCTGCTACACTGACAGACAAGGATGCCACGCCCCGCTACACTGACAAGACAAGGATGCCACGCCCCCCTACACTGACAAGACAAGGATGCCCCTCCCTGCTTCACTGACAGACAAGGATGCCCCTCCCTGCTACACTGACAAGACAAGGATGCCCCTCCCTGCTACACTGACAAGACAAGGATGTCACGCCCCCCTACACTGACAAGACAAGGATGCCCCTCCCTGCTTCACTGACAAGACAAGGATGCCCCTCCCCGCTACACTGACAAGACAAGGATGCCCCTCCCTGCTACACTGACAAGACAAGGATGCCCCTCCCTGCTACACTGACAAGACAAGGATGCCCCTCCCTGCTACACTGACAAGACAAGGATGCCCCTCCCTGCTACACTGACAAGACAAGGATGCCCCTCCCTGCTACACTGACAAGACAAGGATGCCCCTCCCTGCTACACTGACAAGACAAGGATGCCCCTCCCTGCTACACTGACAAGACAAGGATGCCCCTCCCCGCTACACTGACAGACAGAGGATGCCACGCCCTGCTACACTGACAGACAAGGATGCCACGCCCCGCTACACTGACAGACAAGGATGCCACGCCCCGCTACATTGACAGACAAGGATGCCACACCCCGCTACATTGACAGACAAGGATGCCGAGCCCTGCTACACTGACAGACAGAGGATGCCACGCCCTGCTACACTGACAGACAAGGATGCCCCGCCCCGCTACACTGACAGACAGAGGATGCCCCGCCCCGCTACACTGACAGACAAGGATGCCCCTCCCCGCTACACTGACAGACAAGGATGCCCCGCCCCGCTACACTGACAGACAGAGGATGCCCCGCCCCGCTACACTGACAGACAAGGATGCCACGCCCCGCTACAGCTGCACCACATCTCTCACCTGCATCATCATGGCCATGAAGTGTGTCCAACACCCGGCCGTACTCGATGCTGTAGAAGTAGCTGAAACACACAACAAGGACACTCTGATGTCACCGCTAGAAATGATGTAAGCTTCATCAAATTATAATTCTAAACACTCAACATATTCAGCACATAAGCTTTTTTGACACCTTGTTCATACTGAGTGACCTTCACCTTCAATGCCATCCAATAATGTCAGATACATTCCCCAGGAGTATGTAGAAGGCATGTCAAGTCTCATTGTTTGTCACAAGCATGCGGTTGAGAAAACCAATGACAGTGGGTTGCCTAACTACACAAGTCATAACTGAAGAGGTGTAATGAAAGATCCAACTATTGATGCATTGCAATTTCCCATGCACTGATGGTAATCCATCGTTGACAAGTGAATAAAAAAATCATCAATGCTACATGAAATACACTGCCCCTATAGCATGGAAACTAATTACTTACATTTCCAAAACAGACCTTGTTTAAACAGACATGGGAATACATTGCGAACATATTCATGTGCTTCTGTTAGATACATCGTCGTAACTTCACAGATTTGTATACACTTCGCTCCTTCATCACCCCAGAATTTGTTTGTTTTTGTTTGTTATTTAACGCCGCACTTTGCAATATTCCAGCTTTGTGAAGGTGAATACATGAAACTTTTATTTATGGATAGCAACTTCTTTTATTCTTTGTCACGACGTTACAGGGCTACTTCTTGCTCCTTCATCAGTTGCTATCCATAAAAAAGTGTCATGTATTCATGTTCTTCCAACCTATAAATGCCTTAGTATCAAAGACTTTATAGGGCAGTAAAAAATCAAGTCCAGACCAGATAATCCAGTGATCAATATTGTGAGCAACAATCCACGGTTGGGGTATGATGACAATGTGATCAACCAAGTCAACCAAGATTGTATCAAAATTATAGAATTTCAGCTTTGACACAGGTGTGTGGGTCGTCTGAGATGCCACAATTCGTTGTGCAGAGTTGTATCCTTTAGTTGCTATCTAATCTCAGTTCCCCCTGATTATGTTTCTAGGTTTGTCATCACAATATTCATGTTCAAGGATTTCAACAAAGTGGTGAATGTCTTAAGACAGCATCATTTCGGGCTTTTCTCCCACATCAAGCTGACATACCATGATATAACTGAAATACTGTTCAAAGCGATGTCAAACCAAACTCACTCACTCACTTATTTCAGCCTTAGATTTCAATGTTCAAACAAAGAAATAGCCTGTTGTAGTCATGGAGACAGGAGGATGAGGCACAAGTACTCACACATTATTGTCCCAGGAGCCCACAATGATGGTCTTGTTGTCTGGCATGGCTAAACAGGAAGACAGGGCCTGCAGGAGACAAAGAAAGGATCAGAGTGTTTCTGTTTCTGTTGCTCATACTTTCATGGTCAACTTTTCATGCAAACTTCCGTGAATTAGAATCAGTGTAAATAGTGAAAGGCAGTTTGCTGTCAACCATCACCCAGCTTCATTTACAGTTTGATGTCTTCAAGGTGAGATGTGTTAGTTATATGAATCTCAAACAGCCATCTGTGTCATTCTGCTTGTGTTAGTTATATGAATCTCAAACAGCCATCTGTGTCATTCTGCTTGTGTTAGTTATATGAATCTCAAACAGCCGGCTGTGTCATTCTGCTTGTGTTAGTAATATGAATCTCAAACAGCCATCTGTGTCATTCTGCTTGTGTTAGTTATATGAATCTCAAACAGCCGTCTGTGTCATTCTGCTTGTGTTAGTTATATGAATCTCAAACAACCGTCTGTGTCATTCTGCTTGTGTTAGTTATATGAATCTCAGACAACCGTCTGTGTCATTCTGCTTGTGTTAGTTATATGAATCTCAAACAGCCGTCTGTGTCATTCTGCTTGTGTTAGTTATATGAATCTCAAACAGCCGTCTGTGTCATTCTGCTTGTGTTAGTTATATGAATCTCAGACAACCGTCTGTGTCATTCTGCTTGTGTTAGTTATATGAATCTCAAACAGCCGTCTGTGTCATTCTGCTTGTGTTAGTTATATGAATCTCAAACAGCTGTCTGTATCATGTCTGCTTGTGTTAGTTATATGAATCTCAAACAACCGTCTGTGTCATTCTGCTTGTGTTAGTTATATGAATCTCAAACAGCCGTCTGTGTCATTCTGCTTGTGTTAGTTATACGAATCTCAAACAGCCGTCTGTGTCATTCTGCTTGTGTTAGTTATATGAATCTCAAACAACCATCTGTGTCATTCTGCTTGTGTTAGTTATATGAATCTCAAACAGCCGTCTGTGTCATTCTGCTTGTGTTAGTTATATGAATCTCAGACAGCCATCTGTGTCATTCTGCTTGTGTTAGTTATATGAATCTCAAACAGCCATCTGTGTCATTCTGCTTGTGTTAGTTATATGAATCTCAAACAGCCGTCTGTGTCATTCTGCTTGTGTTAGTTATATGAATCTCAAACAGCCGTCTGTGTCATTCTGCTTGTGTTAGTGATATGAATCTCAAACAGCCATCTGTGTCATTCTGCTTGTGTTAGTTATATGAATCTCAAACAACCGTCTGTGTCATTCTGCTTGTGTTAGTTATATGAATCTCAAACAGCCGTCTGTGTCATTCTGCTTGTGTTAGTTATATGAATCTCAGACAGCCGTCTGTGTCATTCTGCTTGTGTTAGTTATATGAATCTCAAACAACCGTCTGTGTCATTCTGCTTGTGTTAGTTATATGAATCTCAAACAGCCGGCTGTGTCATTCTGCTTGTGTTAGTTATATGAATCTCAAACAGCCGTCTGTGTCATTCTGCTTGTGTTAGTTATATGAATCTCAACCAGCCGGCTGTGTCATTCTGCTTGTGTTAGTTATATGAATCTCAAACAGCCGTCTGTGTCATTCTGCTTGTGTTAGTTATATGAATCTCAAACAGCCGTCTGTGTCATTCTGCTTGTGTTAGTTATATGAATCTCAAACAGCCGTCTGTGTCATTCTGCTTGTGTTAGTTATATGAATCTCAAACAGCCGTCTGTGTCATTCTGCTTGTGTTAGTTATATGAATCTCAGACAACCGCCTGTGTCATTCTGCTTGTGTTAGTTATATGAATCTCAGACAACCGCCTGTATCATGTCTGCCTGTGGCGGCATGAGGACGTACCATGCTGGACAAGTTGACACTGCGGAGTTGACGCTGTTCCTCCAGTGAGTACATCTTCAGTAGGCTGTCTGCAACAACATGGGGCACATTACTGACAGTTCTGTAGCATCACAGGTGCACATAACTCACAGCTTTGCAACATGAGAGGGGCATATAATTCACAGTCCTGTAACATCACAGGGGCACATGACTCACAGCTCTATAACATGAGAGGGGCACATGACTCACAGCTTTGTAACATGAGAGGGGCACATGCTCTGTAACATGAGAGGGGCACATGACTCACAGCTCTGTAACATGAGAGGGGCACATGACTCACGCCTCTGTAACATGAGAGGGGCCCATACCAAACCAAGTTTGTATAAGTTTATCATAGTGCTAAACAACTGAGATACTATGCCGCAGTTTAACATAGATACCCCACTCAGACACAGTATACTGACGCTGAACCAACCAGTTCTTGTTTTTAGCCCCTTAATGACAAATGCCAGGCAGGGTAACAACAAGTACCATCGTTTAACATATTTTGGAATAACACAGACAGGAATCCAATCCTGGACCTTCCGCTCTCTGGGCAGATGCTTTACCACTAGACCACAGTGGCGGTCTGTTATTTCTGTGACTTCATGACATAAAATGTTCCATTGCACTAAATCAGAATCAGTTGTGCAGACACCCACCTTGTAGAGAAGATGGAGTGTGCAATGAAGACCATAGCTGCTATGATTGGATGACATTGTTATGAAGATTTTTTTGCATCTACATCCACCCAGCAATAAAAACCTACCGTATTTTTCAATATTTTGTCGCATATTTTTAACATCATCACTTATGCTGCATGTTTCGATACTTGCATATGTTCAAGCAGGTGACATTTGCTGCAGAACTTGGTTGGTGTGTTTAGCTTCCTGTCCTCGGAAATCGAGCTGGGAGAGCTTGCATATTTTGTGATTTTACTGCAGCTTTCAGGCCAGCCTATGCATACATATACATTGATTGGCTGTTAAATGCCTAATTACATCTCTTAAAAACATAACATTAGCCTAGTCTTTGGAAAAACATATATACAACTTCAAGTGTCACTGATCTAAGGGGAGACAACTCTCAATGGGCATCCAAGACAAGTCAGACTTGTTGTCTAGTATTTACATATATGTCGTCTCCATGTTTGTTTGTTTGTTTGTTTGTTGTTTAACGCCACACTCAGCAATATTCCAGTTATATGACGGCGGTCTGTAAATAATCGTGTCTGGACCAGACAATCCAGTGATTGACATCATGAGCATCGATCCACGCAATAAGGATTGCAAACCCCGGATCTTCACGGGCCATGTGCAGGCACTTGTTATTTAATCATACTCTTGGTAAAACTATAAACTATCTGGATTTGAATAATGCTTTACCTTGTGAGACTGAGAAAACATTCTTCCCATCAACTGAGAGCTTTGCATCAGTAACAGCACTGAAACCAAAATATGATCCTGAATCACAATGTTGTAACGTTCAGTCTTGCTGCGCATTAATCACGACACCCAAAGGGAGAGGTAGCGGATAAGAAACCTTTGAAATATTGGCTTGAAAATTATCAGACATGTTCAAATTTCTGACACTAGCCATTTTACTTTCTTACACGTGCAAGTTTTGGACTTCTCACATGATCAGAAGTATGGCTAAAAGGAGGGGAAAACTTCACATGAAAATCTAAGTATGAGCAAGTCCAAGATGAATTCTTGCTATATGTTTTTACTGTTTTCATCTACATTTCCTATTAAATGCAATTTGAGCAAAGACCCAATATTAGACAAAATGCTTCCTTGAAGGCTTCTAGAATTAACCATTTTGCCATATTTTATCCTTATGGATGCACTTAGGTTTTATCATAAGTACAAAACATACAAGTCTGGAAATGAAGAAAGTCTAGTTACAATTCGTAATAACAGAGCTGATAACTTTCCAAACAATTTCTAAACATTTTGATCAATCAAAATATAATCAGTTAAAATATGCAGATCCAGTGGGCCAATAAGTACCCTTATTCTTCCTTGTCCGTTCTCATACAAATGATTCATAATTCTATATACACCGACTCACAAAATGGTGCTTGGTTGTTGATGGCAACATATAACGATCATTATGAGATTAAAAAAAAACACGAGAAACAGCTTCCCACATTATGAAAGTGGATGACTGGTTTGTTAAATCTTTATTAGAAATAATAATGACTTTTTCAATATAATTACAACGTTTTTCATCTTATATTTTTTAATATCCCGCGAGTACCGGCACATGTCTTTCAGCCCGACTTCGCAGTGTTTTTTGTCTTTCAATTCCTGATTCGGCTTATCTGCGGGTCATATCATTTTCTTTCGTATTTCAATGGTCAAATTAACACCTCGGCTTATCTACGGGGTCGGCTTATCCGCGGTCATATACGGTACAACTGGTCTTATTATTAAAAAAACATATTAGGAAATCTTTTCCGATTTATTTTTCATCTGGTAATTTCACAAAATGTGTATCAGTGATGCTATAAACTGTACTTAGCTTACTGCTATGTTTTTGCATAAGAGCAATTGATTAAAAAAATATATTCAATTCAACATCAAATTTATTCAATTTTATTTTCACATTCCTGATTTTAAGGGCAAGTGGGTTCAATAAACAAGGTGATGAAAAAAATACCACCTATATGTCTGGTAGTGCAGGATGAGAAGATAGGGGGTGCTAATGAATTTAGTGACCAATGGTCAAGTCTTTCATAGGCATTTAGCATTAAGTGTTAAACTTAACTCAATACACCTACAGTTATCTGAAAAAGGGGCAAGACGTAGCCCTGAAATGTTGTTCCAAACAATAAAGAATTTGTTATCATAGTGTGTGAGTTCAAATTTAACATCACATCGGCAATATTTCAGCCATATCGACACGAGTTGTTATCCAAGTTTCATGACAATAACAGCTGTTCTCAGTGTTCAGTTAACAAAAATCATACACAAAACAACAATATGGAGAACTTAAAACTGATGTGACAACAACAGCCTTACTCCTTATGCAGGGTGTACTTGAGATGTGTTTTGATTTTGCTGAAGTCGACAGTTTTGATGACTGGTTCAGCCACCTCCAGGCTTTTCTCCATGGAGGACTCTGAAACCAACAATCATGACAGTCTGTTATTCTCAATAAATATCACATGATTCTCTTCACTTTTCCAATGTTATGCCATAGGCCATATATAGATACGGTCTTTGGTTATGCCAAAAAATATTTTTGTGCAATGTTTTTGTGACATCCCTATTAACTGTTGTACAGTTGCTTCCTGATGGTAACTGTACAGTGAGTGAGTGAGTGAGTCTGGTTTTATGCCGCTTTTAGCAATATTCCAGCAATATCACGGCGGGGGACACCGGAAATGGGCTTCACACATTGTACCCATGTCGGGAATCGAAACCCGGGTCGTCGGCGTGAAGAGCGAACGCTTTAACCACTAGGCTACTGGACCGCCCCTTAACTGTACGGCGTCATTGTCACAAAGAATGACATGACAGAACAGCATTTTTCAGTTTTTGTTCTACAGCACTCAAGAACATTAGAGTGCAACATGTGCCTGTATTCTCACTGAAGTGTTAGACTGAAGTGTTAGGCCCTTGTCGGGCACTTAATTGAACCAAGACAAGGTGTGGTCCATATGATGGAATATGACTGGAACCAGACATTTTATCATGCCTCCATGTCAGAATGACGAGATCTGATTGGTCCACCTGATATTGATAAAATACTATGTATCCCGCCTGCGAGGGAAATAAATTTTGGAGAGGGAGAATAAATCCCTTATACCCCGCCTTGGGGAAAACAGGCTGCAAGCAAATTTCTCAGTGGGAGAATAAAACCCTTATACCCACTTCAAAGCAAAAAGCCGCACACTTTTACTAAGTCAATGAAAGTCACATGACAGCACAAGTTAGCCTCAGCTCCATCGAAAAGCTGTTTTCTATCAATTTTGAATTTGTTTAAATTCTTTCACAATAAGAGATAAAAACATGTCGTAAGATATGTAGCAATATCACTTGGGGTACATGGGGTTTTATGCGTCCCTCTGGCTCATGGTAAAAAACTATCGGGGGACGCATAAAATCCCTCGTATCCCACATGATCCTAGTATTCAGTGTTCCCGACCCAGTCATCATCTTGACGTTCACAAATATCTCTGTCATCTGACCCGATATTCAGCCCTAAGTCTGCAATAAATGTCAGTAAGCATTCTCAAGCTGGAATAAAAACATTCCCAAATCATGTTGCAATAGTTACAAATAGCTATTGTTTTGTCGTGTTCATAAAGCTGACTTGTACTACATGGATATCAAGGCCAGTAAAGAGGAAGAGGACTTAATGCATTGAATGCAGTCTTGAAATACAATGTCAAATGCCTCCAAATTTTAGAAAATAAGAAATGTAAAAAAATCCCAATTTTGAACAAAATGACAATTTTTTCTTCATTTGCTTGCATGGGGCACTTAGTTGGGAGTCCTACCCAAACCCCAGCTGGAACATGAACTCACCTAATGAACGTTTGTCTTTGTTAGTGTCAGAGTCTGCCCTCGCTGCCACATGTGCCTCCAGTGTGGGGACCGGGCGGGGCACCGGTGTGGTACACAAGCGCCTGGGATGTGGGGTGGTGAACAACTGTTTGGGGACCTGGCCAAATTCCATGATTTGTGTCTCCAGGCCTGCCCTCTCATTAGGGTCCTCGATACTGAAGCAGGTAGAAAAAGTGGCGACTATTATTTGATTAAAGAAAAGCGTGACAAGTTATGTACATCTTCCCACTCTCTCTCCCCACCTTTAATTTCCACCTTCTCTCCCCCATTCTCCAGCACTCTCTCCCCAAATTTCTACACTCTCTCCCCACCTTCCTGCTCTGTCCCTACCTTGCCCCTACTTTACCACTCTCTCCCCACCTTTCCCCTCAGCCTCCCTCACTCTCTCCCCCCATTCCCCCTCTTTCCCACACTCTCTCTCCATCTTCCCACACTCTCTCCCCCTTTCCCCACCTTCCCACACTCTCTAACCTCATTCCCACCCCTTTCCCCACTCTCTTGTCACCTTCCCCCACTCTCTCCCCCTTTTCCCCCACTGTCTCCCTGCCTTCCCACACTCTCTCCACCTTCCCACACCTTCCAACACTCTCTCCACGCCTTCCCACACTCTCTCCCCCCTTTCCCCCACCTTCTCACACTCTCTCCCCGCCTTCCCCCACCTTCCCCAACTCTCTCCCCCCTTTCCACACTCTCTACCCGCCTTCCCCTGCCTTCCCACACTCTCTCCACCTTCCCACACTCTCTCCACCTTCCCACACTCTCACCACCTTCCCATGCCTTCCCACACCTTTCCACACTCACTTGCCACCTTCCCCCACTCTCCCATCTTCCCCCGCTCTCTCCCCCTTTTCCCCCACTCTCTCCCCACCTTCCCCTACTCTCTCCCTGCCTTCCCCCACCTTCTCACACTCTCTCCCTGCCTTCCCCCTTTTCCCCCACCTTCCCACACTCTCAGCCCCCTTTCCTCCACCTTCCCACACTCTCTCCCCCCTTTCCCCCACCTTTCCACACTCTCTCCCCCCTTTCCCCGCCCTTCCCACACTCTCTCCCCCCTTTCCCCCACCTTCCCACACTCTCTCCCCCCTTTCCCCCACCTTCCCACACTCTCTCCCCCCTTCCCACACTCTCTCCCCCCTTTCCACACTCTTTCCCCTTTCCCCCACCTTCCCCAACTCTCTCCCTGCCTTCCCCCACCTTCCCCAACTCTCTCCCTGCCTTCCCCCACCTTCTCACACTCTCTCCCCGTCATTCCCTACCTTCTCACACTCTCTCCCCACCTTCCCCAACTCTCTCCCCGCCTTCCCCGCCTTCCCCCAACTCTCTACCCACCTTCCCCACCTTCCCCCAACTCTCTCCCCACCTTCCCCCAACGCTCTACCCGCCTTCCCCACCTTCCCCCAACTCTCTCCCTGCCTTCCCCCACCTTCCCCCAACTCTCTCCCTGCCTTCCCCCACCTTCCCCCAACTCTCTCCCCGCCTTCCCCCACCTTCCCCCAACTCTCTCCCTGCCTTCCCCCACCTTCCCCCAACTCTCTCCCCGCCTTCCCCCACCTTCCCCCAACTCTCTCCCTGCCTTCCCCCACCTTCCCCCAACTCTCTCCCCGCCTTCCCCCACCTTCTCACACTCTCTCCCCGCCATCCCCCACCTTCCCCCAACTCTCTCCCTGCCTTCCCCCACCTTCCCCCAACTCTCTCCCTGCCTTCCCCCACCTTCCCCCAACTCTCTCCCCGCCTTCCCCCACCTTCCCCCAACTCTCTCCCTGCCTTCCCCCACCTTCCCCCAACTCTCTCCCCGCCTTCCCCCACCTTCCCCCAACTCTCTCCCTGCCTTCCCCCACCTTCCCCCAACTCTCTCCCCGCCTTCCCCCACCTTCCCCCAACTCTCTCCCTGCCTTCCCCCACCTTCCCCCAACTCTCTCCCTGCCTTCCCCCACCTTCCCCCAACTCTCTCCCCGCCTTCCCCCACCTTCTCACACTCTCTCCCCGCCATCCCCCACCTTCCCCTACTCCCTCCCCCTTTTCCTCCGCTCTCTTCCCACCTTCCCCTACTCTCTCCCCACCTTCCCCCACTCTCTCCCCTACTTCCCCTACTCTCTCCCTGCCTTTCCCACCTTCTCCCTGCCTAACCCCTTTTCCCCACCTTCCCCAACTCTCTCCCCACCTTCCCCAACTCTCTCCCTGCCTTCCCACACTCTCTCCCCCCTTTCCCCAACCTTCCCACACTCTCTCTCCACCTTCCCACACTCTCTCCCCCCTTTCCCCCACCTTCCCACACTCTCTCTCCACCTTCCCACACTCTCTCCCCAAATTCGCCCACTCTCTCACCGCCATCCCCCACCTTCACGCTCCCTCTCCCCACCTTCACACACCCACCTTACCTGTCCAAGTCGATCGCTCCCTCATATGTCAGGTAGAAGAACACTGTAAAACAACAAACAATATGAGAAAACCAAACGCAGGCACATATACAATAATTGTCTCAAAAGTAGCAATGAATGAATTCAAGAAGAATTACACATATCAGAGCGTCAACAACATGACTTATTTCTCCCGGGATTATGCATCTTACAGTTGTCTGCCTTCTCTGCCTCCTCGCCACGCTGCTGGAAGCCGAAGATGAGGTCGATCCAGTGATGGATGTTGGAGGACACGTACTCCGACTCAAGAGCATCCTGTAGCTTACGGACAAAATCTGCTGGACCTATGAAGACAGACCAGCTTGAGACATGTGCATAATACACAAACACATGATGAGTACACAGGCTTCACCTGGATCTGTCTATTTATAATAGAGATAATCTGGGGGTCCATGACAAGAAAATAAGCAGCCAAGGGTAATCTACAGGCTAGCCCCATGTGGCACACCAAGCTCCACTTCCAAGAGTGTGTTGTTTCAATGCCCACGTCAGCAATATTCTGGCAATATGATGCAGCCTGACCAGGCAATCCAGTGGTTGATATTAAGAGCACCAACCCATGTCATCGAGGTACGATGACATACCATCAAGTCACCTTGTTTGACCACCTGATCACTTTATTTGCCTCTTACGAAAAGCACAGGTAACTGAGGACCTATTTTAACCTGGAATCCCCACAAGAACTTCACACAGACATTGCATTGCACATGGATTGAAGCCTAATGCTAATTGGTGATATGCTTGTATGTAAGTATATTGTGTGAAGAAAGTTTCAAAGATAAACATTTTTGAAAAATTGAATGGTCAAGACACAGTTGAGTCATACAGTCATGGGGTTTCCATGGGACTTGCAGTGCAAAATTTTGCATCCATTCTTAAGTTTTACATCTTCAAGCAGCTGTATTTTGTATCCAATAAAATCATGTAACTGATACATTTTATTCAACCTGATCAATCCATTTGGATCATAAATGACAGAGCTGTCCAACTCCTTGTATGATAAAGAGAGGGCTACAGTCTCACACCTTCCTTCAGGTACACATGTGCAAACATTTGCACTGATACAGGGTTAGACAAGGCCAATAATGTGCTACTCCTTGTATGATAAAGAGAGGGCTACAGTCTCACACCTTCCTTCAGGTACACATGTGCAAACATTTGCACTGATACAGGGTTAGACAAGGCCAATAATGTGCTACTCCTTGTATGATAAAGAGAGGGCTACAGTCTCACACCTTCCTTCAGGTACACATGTGCAAACATTTGCACTGATACAGGGTTAGACAAGGCCAATAATGTGCTACTCCTTGTATGATAAAGAGAGGGCTTCAGTCTCACACCTTCCTTCAGGTATACATGTGCAAACATTTGCACTGATACAGGGTTAGTCAAGGCCAATAATGTGCTACTCCTTGTATGATAAAGAGAGGGCTACAGTCTCACACCTTCCTTCAGGTGTACATGTGCAAACATTTGCACTGATACAGGGTTAGACAAGGCCAATAATGTGCTACTCCTTGTATGATAAAGAGAGGGCTACAGTCTCACACCTTCCTTCAGGTGTACATGTGCAAACATTTGCACTGATACAGGGTTAGAAAAGGCCAATAATGTGCTACTCCTTGTATGATAAAGAGAGGGCTACAGTCTCACACCTTCCTTCAGGTGTATATGTGCAAACATTTGCACTGATACAGGGTTAGAAAAGGCCAATAATGTGCTACTCCTTGTATGATAAAGAGAGGGCTACAGTCTCACACCTTCCTTCAGGTGTACATGTGCAAACATTTGCACTGATACAGGGTTAGTCAAGGCCAATAATGTGCTACTCCTTGTATGATAAAGAGAGGGCTACAGTCTCACACCTTCCTTCAGGTATACATGTGCAAACATTTGCACTGATACAGGGTTAGACAAGGCCAATAATGTGCTACTCCTTGTATGATAAAGAGAGGGCTACAGTCTCACACCTTCCTTCAGGTATACATGTGCAAACATTTGCACTGATACAGGGTTAGACAAGGCCAATAATGTGCTACTCCTTGTATGATAAAGAGAGGGCTACAGTCTCACACCTTCCTTCAGGTGTACATGTGCAAACATTTGCACTGATACAGGGTTAGAAAAGGCCAATAATGTGCTACTCCTTGTATGATAAAGAGAGGGCTACAGTCTCACACCTTCCTTCAGGTGTACATGTGCAAACATTTGCACTGATACAGGGTTAGAAAAGGCCAATAATGTGCTACTCCTTGTATGATAAAGAGAGGGCTACAGTCTCACACCTTCCTTCAGGTGTACATGTGCAAACATTTGCACTGATACAGGGTTAGTCAAGGCCAATAATGTGCTACTCCTTGTATGATAAAGAGAGGGCTACAGTCTCACACCTTCCTTCAGGTATACATGTGCAAACATTTGCACTGATACAGGGTTAGACAAGGCCAATAATGTGCTACTCCTTGTATGATAAAGAGAGGGCTACAGTCTCAAACCTTCCTTCAGGTATACATGTGCAAACATTTGCACTGATACAGGGATAGACAAGGCCAATAATGTGCTACTCCTTGTATGATAAAGAGAGGGCTACAGTCTCACACCTTCCTTCAGGTATACATGTGCAAACATTTGCACTGATACAGGGATAGACAAGGCCAATAATGTGCTACTCCTTGTATGATAAAGAGAGGGCTACAGTCTCACACCTTCCTTCAGGTATACATGTGCAAACATTTGCACTGATACAGGGATAGACAAGGCCAATAATGTGCTACTCCTTGTATGATAAAGAGAGGGCTACAGTCTCACACCTTCCTTCAGGTATACATGTGCAAACATTTGCACTGATACAGGGATAGACAAGGCCAATAATGTGCTACTCCTTGTATGATAAAGAGAGGGCTACAGTCTCACACCTTCCTTCAGGTGTACATGTGCAAACATTTGCACTGATACAGGGTTAGAAAGGCCAATAATCTGCTACTCCCACGAAAAGTGAAAATTCTGGAAGGATTACTGTTCAGACAAAGAAGGTCTCTCAGGTATTGTATATCTGTTGGTTTGTTTCTTTGTTTCTTTGTTTGTTAAATGCCACACTCAGAAATATTCCAGTTATATAATGGCAGCCTGTATATATTCAAATCGGGACCAGACAAACCAGTTATAGATGCTGTCAACAACAATCACTGTGGTGAGGTACAATGACATGCACTGATCCAAATCACCAAGTTGACCACCTCTTACTACAAGCCTAGGTTCCAACAGGGTGGGTCTGGACTAGATCTCAGACAAAGAAAGTGTTTGGTTTATTTCTGAAAGCAGAATTATCTTTTATAACCATCATGGATGCTACTCACATGATGCCCAGGGAGGCAGCTCTACATCGGCGACAGGGCGACCGTCTTGTTTGATGCCAAAGTTAATGATCTGAAAAACGAATATTTCCTTTGAACAATGAATCTTGTTTCCAATTGCTGTCATACAAAATTCTAATATGAACACCTGACAAAGCAGCTCATTCCCAGACGAGTCAAAATCAGGAAAGATTACACTTGACTGTAAGTCTAGTTATGATCAATAAACCACTTTTGTTTGTGTTGTTTTGTTTGTTTGCTGTTCAGGCCCTGGAGACAACAAGCCCTTACTGCAGACAACCCCTCTGTGAACAAAGAAGTCTGTGGAGCCGTTATAGTCTGTCTTACAGACCCTGATACAAATATATATCAAATACAGCCCATGCAAGTCTATAATGTTTGGCAAGTCTAGATCACTGCAGTATCAGGATGAAGAGAGTCACTGGGCTCCTTTTTATTATATTTTTATTAAGATAACTGAACAAGTGTTTTTTTTATGTACGATATGTTCATTTCAGAGACTAGATTTTAGTCTAGAGCCGTTATAGAACTCGGGTATCAGCTCCTTGAAGCCAAGTGGAGACAACTCACCCCTTTATGAACAAAGAAGTCTGTGGAGCCGTTATAGAACTCGGGTATCAGCTCCTTGAAGCCAAGTGGAGACAACTCACCCCTTTATGAACAAAGAAGTCTGTGGAGCCGTTATAGAACTCAGGTATCAGCTCCTTGAAGTCAGCAGCTCCCTGAAGGCAGTTGTTCCAGGTGTCTTGGAGGCTAGGGAGTACATATGCACATAGACAACAACATATACGAACTGAGGAGGTAGAGACTACAAGTCTTAAGTGTAAAAGTGTTGTAAGACAGGGCTCCAGGTCATAATTTTTAGCCGATGAGTACTTACGCACATGTTGTCTTCCACTTTGGGTTTTGGGTATTCAGTATATTTTTACACATTTTTCCATTGATTATTTTTAAACCAATTGTGTAGTGTACACTGATATTCTGCTATTTTACACGAACATCTCCTTCCAACAGCACAAGTTTTGTATGGAGACGGGTGGGCATTCCAGCAAGACAATGATCCAGAACAGAGAGCGAAGTATTCTCAGGAATGGTTTAACAAGCAACATTTTACACTACAGTCCAGACCAATTGAAAATTGCAAGATACTTACAGGTTGAACATTCTGTCTGCATGGTCAAACTTCCCATTCTGTAGACAGAGCACATACTCCGGACCTGACAAGGGCAGAACCATTGTTGTAACCTTTTAACTATACTGAAGATGTTATGACACGTATGGACATGTATGGTGAGGTGAGGTGAAAAGGAGTTTAACGTGGCGTCCAAGATTATTGCACTTATATAGCGACGTGCATGTACGTGTGTGTTTGTGTGGCTGCTTGTACTAGTCCAGACTGATGCCGATTTATAGTGCTAGCTCACTGAGATATTATGCCCCAGTTTAACATGAATACCCCACTCAGACACAGTACAATGACTCCGAGCCGACCAGTCCTTGTTTTAGCCCCTTAATGCCGAGCGCCAGACAGGGTAACAACAAGTACCATCTTTAAACGTCTTTTGGTCCTTCCGCTCTCCGGGCGGACGTTCTACCACTAGACCACTGAGGCGGTCCCGACAATCTTATGACATGTATGGACATGTATGGACATTACCAGGCCCATTAATTCATCCTTACTGATACAGATTGACTTCCAGACTCCTTATGATGTCCATCCTTAATGCCCTTGTTTGTTTGTTTGTTTGTATAATGCCGCACACAGCAATATTTTAGCTATATGACAGTGATCTATTCTACCCTGGATCTTCATGGGTCCATCCCAGCAAGTGTAGTCAATGAATAACAATAATACCAGTGCATTTATAATCTGCCAAATTCCATTCACTAAGTGGATACACGTTACGCCACATTATTATTATCCATCAGTGGATCAGTGTGGCCTCGATTTTCATTCTCAGCTCCCTGGGGATCATATAACATACTGTGAGGCGCTAGAAGGCTAAGAGTCACATCACCATCTCATTGTAATACATCTGGAATTTCTTTTTCACATTTTGATTGTGTAGTAGGTGACCAGGTGTTTGTGCATTTGTTGTTTAATGTCACACGCAGCGATATCCCAGCTTCCTGATGGCAGACTGTAAATAATCGAGTCTGGACCACTCGATTCATGAATTTACCTAGGTGATAAGTCAGCTATCAGACCCAAATGATTTAATCAAGGCATAGACAATCATATCATATGTACCCCAAAGAAATGCTCTGCAATACATCTGTAAGATTCACTGCTGGTGAATGTCCTGAATGAAAACAACACTTTCTTTCCCTTCCCAACCCCCCCCCCCCCCCCCCCCCCCCATTGGTATGGCGTGGCCTGGGATTGGACCATCAAACTTCCTCTATCCAGGCGGACGCTGTATCAACAAAAACCTGGAGGGCTGACAAGATGAAGGACTTACATATTCTGGCAAGGAAGAACAGCACATATCCTGGAGTGGAGTAGTGGGAGCCGTACATGAACCGCGGCTCCGGCATGTCAATGAACCGTTCCTGGAACACATCATCATCATCATCATCATCATCATCATCTGCTCTCTGACACAGCAGCATCACAGAATGGCACATTGAAAGCATATGAATACATTACCCATAGAGACACTGTTTTTCCAAAAAGACACATTCATTAAGACTCTCTACCCCTTTTCTAATCACTCACCCTAATCCTATCTACCAATTCACCCTCATCCTAATTGCTTCAAACAAAATGATGGCAACAAGTCAAGACGATCTGATCGAAAGTCAAGATCTATATTGTAATAAAACAGCCTAACACTGCGAAGTGCATCAAACCACTTGAGCACCTTGATGAAAAGGATGAAAAGATTTGCAAAATATCTGTTGACGTCAGTTGGCGGTACACATGCTTTGTAAATCCTTCCGTCGACCAAAATCTGCACATTGAAATCCATGTTGTTTACAAACCAGATGTTTAGTTCATTATGCGATTTTGGTTGGACTATGCATAGATTCGTTAGTCTAGCCGAAATATTACTCCAGAATTCCAGCCTAGTTCTGCAAGAGTGGAAACCTCGGGAAAATGCCCCCAGCCCACCCTCATCCATCTTCCCGAGGCAAGCGTGTCCACTAGCCTATATCAAAGCCTAGTTTCTACATCTTCCCGAGGCAAGTGTGTCCACTAGCCTATATCAAAGCCTAGTTTCTACATCTTCCCGAGGCAAGCGTGTCCACTAGCCTATATCAAAGCCTAGTTTCTACATCTTCCCGAGGCAAGCGTGGCCAATAGCCTATATCAAAGCCTAGTTTCTACATCTTCCCGAGGCAAGCGTGGCCAATAGCCTATATCAAAGCCTAGTTTCTACATCTTCCCGAGGCAAGCGTGTCCACTAGCCTATATCAAAGCCTAGTTTCTACATCTTCCCGAGGCAAGCGTGTCCACTAGCCTATATCAAAGCCTAGTTTCTACATCTTCCCGAGGCAAGCGTGGCCAATAGCCTATATCAAAGCCTAGTTTCTACATCTTCCCGAGGCAAGTGTGTCCACTAGCCTATATCAAAGCCTAGTTTCTACCAAGGCCACACCAAGGCCACTTTTCTTGGCTCGACCCTGGCGCCACCTCGCATAGATCATGATTGTGCCCCTTGTAATGAAAACGCGATATCCAATCAGATTGCTGTCACAAAGATGGCAACTACCATAGGCGATGACAATATCGATCAGACAACAAAAACATTCGCAACGTTATCCCTGACACAAAAACATAGGCAATCGTTGGGGGATTTAAAAGATGTAAAAGACATATTCCAGGGGAAAATCACTTTCATACGAAGGCGAACCAGTCGTGGAGGTTGATTTTGTGAAACCTTCTCAGATTTGACTATCGATATGTGCAATAGTCCAATCATATTTAGCACAGGAAAGTGGGCTTGATGTGGCAAGGGTGGAAACAAGACTTCGATGAAAAGGCTAGGGGACGTGCTTGCCTCGGGAAGATGACCCTCATCCACCAACTCACCTTGATCCTGTCCAGCCTCTCCTGGTTCAAGGCTCCGATCGGCTTCTTCAGATCGCGGTAAACTTTCTCATCTTGCAAGTCTGTGGAGGAGATGAGAGACTGTCAGATCCAAAACAGCAAGAAACTACAGCCAAATACAAATGAATGCCAAGACTCAGATAAGACACCAAGCAGTAACTCATGACTGACCTAAATGATCGCTGGTGTAGTCGGATATGACCCATGGCATTACTGGATATTGCGTCAAGTCATTGAAACTGCGGTCCGCCAAACTGAAACATATCAACATGGCACCATTAGCATTTCAAAGCCATCTCATCTTAGCAACTGATCATTGTATTCTTGGGGGCCTGGTTGTTTGTTTATTCATAAAATAAATGTCCAGGTGACACGTCGTCTTGTGTTTCTGTTCGTTCCCTTGATGTCCTAGTCTAGTCTTTCATCCAGTATCGCGTCCTGTCCAGACAATGAATATAAACAACCCATCTACAACATTACCAGTCCTATTATAATTTTCATATTTTCTATGCCAAAGTGCCATGATCAGATTATCTTGAAAACAGTTAATCATTCTGATGTTACTTAATCATTAATAGGTCAACGTCTGCGCTTTACACCACACTCAGCAATATTCCAGCTATGTGATGGGAGGTTGAAAATAGTCAAGTCTGGACCAGACAATTAAGTGATTAACATTATGCACAATGATCCAAGTCATTGGGGTACGATGACATGCAGTCAGACAAGTCAGCCTGCCTGACCACCTGATCCATTAAGTTGCCTCCAGTCTTACGACCAGCATAGGCTGCTGGGGACCAATTTAAATGCAGAATCCCCATGGGGGCCTACCTGTTGAGATAGAGGAGGTAATCATAGTTGGAGATGTAGCCACTCTGCCACCGGAGCGTCATGTCCTCTTGTCCCACCTCGTCAAGATGCAGGTCTGCAACACAGAGAGGACATGTGGGCTTAACACAGACTTGAACTGTACTTCGCGTACATCACAGCATGTCAGCTTAATGTGGGAGGAAAGCCCAAAGTGACGCAGATCAAAGACGTTGTTGACTCATCTTAACTTGCTGTTGTAGGATGTGATCATAAGGCTGGTGACTCTTACCCTGCTGTTGTAGGATGTGATCATACAGTTGGTGACATGTCTAACCCTGCTTTTGTAGGATGTGATCAAACAGCTGGTACCTTGTCTTACCTTGATGTTGTAGGATGTGATTATACAGTTGGTTTCTTGTCTTACCTTGATGTTGTAGGATGTGATCATACAGTTGATGATTTGTCTAACCCTGCAGTTTTAGGATGTGATCATACAGTTGGTTTCTTGTCTTACCTTGATGTTGTAGGATTTGATCATACAGCTGGTACCTTGTCTTACCTTGATGTTGTAGGATGTGATCATACAGTTGATGATTTGTCTAACCCTGCGGTTGTAGGATGTGATCATACAGTTGGTTTCTTGTCTTACCTTGATGTTGTAGGATGTGATCATACAGTTGATGATTTGTCTAACCCTGCGGTTGTAGGATGTGATCATACAGTTGGTACCTTGTCTTACCTTGCTGTTGTAGGATGTGATCATACAGTTGGTGACTCTTACCCTGCTGTTGTAGGATGTGATCATACAGCTGGTTGCGTATCTCCTCTGTCTTGAAGGATAGATACAGATGTGTAACTGGTGCATTGTCACTACAGTAGATCTCCAAACCCTGGCACAGAAAAGACAAAACTCAATATTTCCTACCTGAATGATCCTGCTTCAGTTCTAAATGTGTGTGGAATGAACATCAGCATCAGATTATCTGACATCCTGACAACATTCTGTTGGTATTAAGTACACTTGCAGTAAGGAGAGTTAAGGTGATGATTTGAACTGAGGTTTAACATCACGTTCAATTTTATTGCACTTACATATCGTGTGTATGTGGGGGGGCACAGGTGGCCCAGTTGTCTAAGGCGCCGCGATTCGCTGTGCAGAGTTGCGTCCCTTGGGCACGCCAGAAACCTCTGATTGTAGGTTTGAATCCTGGTTCGCCCCGATTATGTTTCTAGGTTTGTCAGCACCATACCCGTGCTCGTGGGTTTCACCGAAGTGGTAAACGTCTGAGACCTGCATCACTTCGGGCTTTCCTCCCACATTAAGCTGACACGCCGCGATATAACTGGAATATTGTTAAAAGTGGCGTTAAACCCAACTCACTCACTTGTGTATGTGGCTGCTTGTACTAGTCCGGACAAATGCCAATTTTATAGTGCTAGCCCAGTGAGATACCATGCCATAGTTGGATACCCCACTCAGACACAATATACTAACTCCGAGCCGACCAGTCCTTGCTCTATTCCCTTTAATGCTGAGCGCCAGGCAGGATATCAACAAGTACCATCTTTTAACTTCTTTTGGTATGACATAGGCATGGATCGAACCCCCAACCTTCCACTCTCCAGGCAGACTTTCTATCCACAACACCACAGAGGCAGTCAAGGATTAAGGTAACAAGGATTATGTAAACACTGTTTCATGTCAAAGCAAGCAACCAGCTATCACAACAAATTATTTGTCTATTCCTGCAACAAAATGTGACTTTGTTTTTGAATCTGCTTACCAGCTGTCGGAGCAGGTATCTACGTCTTATAAGCCTCTTGATTTCTTTGAGTCTGATTTTCAAAACTGGCCACTGAAAAAACAACATTCATTGGCATTCAAGTATTGTTAAATTGCAAAGTGGATGATGAGAGACCCACAACTCTTAGATAACACAAACGATCATTGCATAATTCTCATCATTACTTGACACTGTGTCATCACCTTCTGACAGGGGGTACCACCATTACACCAGCTTCTGCCATCACAGACACACCAAGGCTGTAGTTAACTTTTTTTGACGGGGGGGGGGGGGGGGGGGGGGGGGGGGGGCAAATATTTGTACAAGTATCACTTGTCCCCAACTTGTATTTTCATAATTCAAATAAAACTGTCTAAAACTTACTAAAACGGAAACACCTGGTTTTATTTTTCACCAGAAATAATTATTTCTTTTAGGAGTACATCCTGCTTAAAGACTCAAATAGAATGACTTGCGTTCTAATTGCAGATAGAGTACATCATTCATGCCAGGAGTTTGGATAATTGTCATTTCAAAATGTTGAGTGTTTAGGCCACCAACCCTGTCAATGTTGTTGAATGGCTGGAAGTAGAGTCTGGAGGAGGTCAGCATGATCCTGCCGGGGTTCTTGGCCAGGGGAGTGTTCCTGTCTCCCTGCGTCTCTAGCACGATCTTCTCATACAGGTCCTCCAACCTGCAGTCAACACAACACACCACATCATACATGCCCTCCAGCCTAGAATCAACACAACACACCACATCATACATGCCCTCCAACCTGCAGTCAACACAACACACCACATCATACAGGTCCTCCAACCTGCAGTCAACACGACACACCACATCATACATGCCCTCCAGCCTAGAATCAACACAACACACCTCATCATACAGGTCCTCCAGCCTAGAGTCAACACAACACACCACATCACATAATACAGGTCCTCCAACCTGCAGTCAACACAACACACCACATCATACAGGTCCTCCAGCCTAGAGTCAACACAACACACCACATCATACAGGTCCTCCAGCCTAGAGTCAACACAAAACAACACACCACATAATACATGCCCTCCAACCTGCAGTCAACACAACACACCACATCATACATGCCCTCCAACCTGCAGTCAACATGACACACCACATCATACATGCCCTCCAGCCAAGAATCAACACAACACACCACATCATACATGCCCTCCAGCCAAGAATCAACACAACACACCACATCATACATGCCCTCCAACCTGCAGTCAACACGACACACCACATCATACATGCCCTCCAACCTGCAGTCAACACAACACACCACATCATACATGCCCTCCAGCCTAGAATCAACACAACACACCACATCATACATGCCCTCCAACCTGGAGTCAACACAACACACCACATCATACATGCCCTCCAGCCTAGAATCAACACAACACACCACATCATACATGCCCTCCAACCTGCAGTCAAAACAACACACCACATCATACATGCCCTCCAACCTGGAGTCAACACAACACACCACATCATACATGCCCTCCAGCCTAGAATCAACACAACACAACACATCATACATGCCCTCCAACCTGCAGTCAACACAACACACCACATCATACATGCCCTCCAGCCTAGAATCAACACAACACAACACATCATACATGCCCTCCAACCTGCAGTCAACACAATACACCACATCATACAGGTCCTCCAACCTGCAGTCAACACAACACACCACATCATACAGGTCCTCCAACCTGCAGTCAACACAACACACCACATCATACAGGTCCTCCAACCTAGAGTCAACACAACACACCACATCATACATGCCCTCCAACCTGCAGTCAACACAACACACCACATCATACAGGTCCTCCAACCTGCAGTCAACACGACACACCACATCATACATGCCCTCCAACCTGCAGTCAACACAACACACCACATCATACATGCCCTCCAGCCTAGAATCAACACAACACACCACATCATACATGCCCTCCAACCTGCAGTCAAAACAACACACCACATCATACATGCCCTCCAACCTGGAGTCAACACAACACACCACATCATACATGCCCTCCAGCCTAGAATCAACACAACACACCACATCATACATGCCCTCCAACCTGCAGTCAAAACAACACACCACATCATACATGCCCTCCAGCCTAGAGTCAACACAACACAACACATCATACATGCCCTCCAACCTGCAGTCAAAACAACACACCACATCATACATGCCTTCCAACCTGCAGTCAACACAACACACCACATCATACAGGTCCTCCAGCCTAGAGTCAACACAACACACCACATCATACATGCCCTCTAACCTGCAGTCAACACAACACACCACATCATACAGGTCCTCCAACCTGCAGTCAACACAACACACCACATCATACATGCCCTCCAACCTGCAGTCAACACAACACACCACATCATACATGCCCTCCAACCTGCAGTCAACACAACACACCACATCATACATGCCCTCCAACCTGCAGTCAACACAACATACCACATCATACAGGTCCTCCAGCCTAGAATCAACACAACACACCACATCATACAGGTCCTCCAACCTGCAGTCAACACAACACACCACATCATACATGCCCTCCAACCTGCAGTCAACACAACACATCATACATGACCTCCAGCCTAGAATCAACACAACACACCACATCATACAGGTCCTCCAACCTGCAGTCAACACAACACACCACATCATACAGGTCCTCCAACCTGCAGTCAACACAACACACCACATCATACAGGCCCTCCAACCTGCAGTCAACACAACACACCACATCATACAGGTCCTCCAGCCTAGAGTCAACACAACACACCACATCATACAGGTCCTCTGGCGTGTAGTCAACACAACACATCACATCATACATGCCCTCCAGCCTAGAGTCAACACAACACACCACATCATACAGGCCCTCCAACCTAGAGTCAACACAACACAACACATCACATCATACATGCCCTCCAGCCTAGAATCAACACAACATGCCACATCATACAGGTCCTCCAGCCTAGAATCAACACAACACAACACATCATACAGGTCCTCCAGCCTAGAGTCAACACAACACAACACATCACATCATACATGCCCTCCAGCCTAGAGTCAACACAACACAACACATCATACAGGTCCTCCAGCCTAGAATCAACACAACACACCACATCATACAGGTCCTCCAGCCTAGAGTCAACACAACACAACACATCATACAGGTCCTCCAGCCTAGAGTCAACACAACACACCACATCATACAGGTCCTCCAGCCTAGAGTCAATACGACACACCACATCATACAGGTCCTCTAGCCTAGAGTCAACACAACACACCACATCATACAGGTCCTCCAGCCTAGAGTCAACACAACACACCACATCACATCATACAGGTCCTTCAACCTAGAGTCAACACAACACACCACATCACACCACACATGCCCTCCAACCTAGAGTCAACACAACACACCACATCATACAGGTCCTCCAGCCTAGAGCAAACACAAATATACTTTATACTTGCACATGATTTTCACACCAACCACTTCATTCTCCATTATCAGTTCGACACAATGATGTTAATACATTTATATTTGCAGACAGACACCATTAGATCATGTAGTGGAAGAAATAGGTAAATGACTCACCAGCTGGTGTTGAACTTCACCCTTGACTGCCTCGACAAAACAATGGCATTTATCTGCAAGAGTAATCATTATTGCCATCACACATGACCAACACAAACCAAGACATCACACCAGCTGGGCCTTTAAACAAATAAAATGGTGCCATGACTGTAGCTCACCTGGATATGTAGCCAATAGTATAAAAAAAATGTCAAATAAGATAGCCACTAAAAATTGCTGTCAGCATTGATATTTAAATATTTTCTGAATAAATACTCCGGACTAAAAACTGAAACTAAAAACTAATGATCAAAACTAATCTAACAACAAAACATGATGTCATCATAAGGAGAAACATGAGAAACATACCAAAGTTCAGTTCCTTAAGTCAGGGGAGAAAACTTGGGAGAAAAATTTTGAGAAAATGCAAGATCATGGTCATATAAAGGTCAAACATTAAACTTCAGTAAAATATGGTTATAATGAACACGCTTATAATGAACTGACGGATATAACAAACTTACTTTTTTGGTCCCAGCTATTTGCTGTAGTTATGTTGTATATATGATCATAACGAACTACGGTTATAACAAACTAAAATTAGTAGTCCCTTTGAGTTCGTTATGACCGTAGTTTACTGTACGGCGAAAAATGTGTGTTGAGTCCCACAATTAACTGAATAAATACCAAATTGCATTATATTTGGTTAAAAAAAGACAGAGTAACAGCCATAAATAGAGTTTCATTTGTCCACTGGTTGGGACTTGTATGTTGAGTCCCACTACGAACTACACATGCACCAAATTTGAATACAATTTGAACTAAAATGGCTGTGTAAGGGACATAAATAGTTTTTCAATATGGCTGCCACGGTGACCATTTTGAAAATCAGATTTGTCCCTCTTGAACAAATTTGTGTGTCATCATTGGAAAGAACAAGCATGTGAAGTTTCAGCTTCAGTGGTCAAGTGGTTTCTTCGAAGAAGATTTCTACAGTGCGACAAAATTAATTTTGAGGAATATAGGAGCATGGCCAAAGTGCAAAGGTCAATTAAAAGGTCAAAATTTTAAATATTGCAAAACAAACAAACAGGTATTTAGCCTCTTTACGATCTACACACATACCAATTTAATTAAATTTTGAACAAAAATGGGCATGGGCATAAATAAGGTTTGACTGACATGTTGAAAATCAGATTTGAACCTCTTGAACATAGGGAAGGGGACCCCGGGGGGCTGGTTGACGTACCATGTGAGACTGGTCGGCTGGCGGGAGGGTGGAAGCTCTCTGGAGCTGACAGAACAGCGGCAGGCAGTCATCCAGGGTGGCGTAGTTCAGGGAGAATCGGTGTTCCGCTGAATCCTAACAAACAGAGCACTCTTCATAACTGTCAACACAGTCCATGTTTTCATAATAATCTGCACAGAATGCATTTTTATTGCTACACATTTATTTAAACCCTTTTTAATGAGCATACAGTGTCAATCTTTTTGTAAGATGCTTATTGTATGTCATGCCCTAACTTTCATGCAAGTTTCAAATTCTTTTCCGTCCTGATCCTGATCCATTGTTTAAAGATATAAATGAAAGGTGGTGTGAGAAGACCTGGCATGAGCCTACCTTCCTGAAGACAAAGGGTGCTATGATATTCTTCTCCTTCATCTCCACAGCCTGCTCCGACACCACCTTCAGCACCCGGTCCTTGATGTCCATCCTGTAATCATGATGATGAAGACAATGATGATGATAGTAGTGATAGTAATACAGTAAATACATTTATGATGAACTCAAAGGGAACACTTATTTCAGCTTGTTATAACCGTAGTTTGTTATAAGCATATAAACAGCAAATGGACAGGACCAAAAGATCAGTTCATTATATCTGTCAGTTCATTGTAAGCGTGTTCGTTATAAACATATTTTACTGCAGTCATAATATCAATAAAGTGAGTGAGTGAGTTGGGTTTAACGCCGCTTTTAACAGTATTCCAGTTATATTGCGGCGTGTCAGCTAATGTTGGAGGAAAGCACAAAGTGATGCAGGTCTCAGACGTTTACCACTTCGGTGAAACCCACAAACATGGGTATGATGCTAAAACATAATTATGAAACATAATCGGAGCAAACCAGGATTCAAACCCACAATCAAAGGCTTCTGGCGCAACTCTGCACAGCGAATCGCGTTGCCTTAGCCGACTGGGCCACCCATGCCCCCATATTAATAAAGAAGGAGAAAACTAAGAAATATTATTATTATCATCATCATCATCATCATCATCATCATCATCATCATCATTATTATAAACTGCATGACATCATAACCAATGGTAACAGATCAGTAAGCATTCAAATTAGATTCTCATCTCGATGGGAAGTGTACAGCCCAAGATGAAATCATAACCTTGAAGTGCTGCATTAATATTTCCTCGGTCAAAGAATTTTTTCATTCTCAGCTTCCTTGGGAGCTCCCTTGCCAATTAATATAAACTGTTCTTACTTTGAAAATAGTCCTCCGGACCACTCATCAATCGTTGTGATGCACCGCATCGGGAACTGAAAACATAACTAGGGTTAGTGTGATCTGACTCAAGGTCACAAGTAGTGGTCATCCATATGATCCATGTCTGGTCAGATCAATAAGATCAATAAGACAAATAAGTCAATCAAGAATCCTAAAGATGGATCTTGTTCTGACAATACTGCTTGCAGTGAAATCTTGTACAGGTTTAACTTGCAAGACCAGGTAGTTATCAGAATGGGTTAGACATAGTAAATTTTGCTTATTGAAAACTGATATAGAACTAAAACATGAATTGAAACATTGGCAGGTGTATCATATATCACATAGTCGGGGCTATACAAAACTTGCACCTGTGCAACCTACTATTGAAAAATGCAACCTTCGGTAATATTTATCTCTACATACAGCAAGAGCATGTAAAACATTTTCAAATATGTGTCTGACTAACCCTTACTTTTACACCCAACAATGATCTTTGAACACACTCAATACCTCTAGTGAGTGAGTGAGTGAGTATGGTGAGCCACTTTTGGCAATATTCCAGCAATATCACGGCGGGGGACACCAGAAATGGGCTTCACACATTGTACCCATGTCGGGAATTGAACCCGGGTCTTCGACATGGCGAGCAAATGCTTTAACCACTAGGCTACCCGACCGCCCCCTCAATACCTCTAAGCTTTATGTACCATACTACATTACTAATCCCTGTATAGTGTGTAATTTGTCATGTTTTCTTGATCCTTTGCTTGCATCTTAGTGATTATGAAGCATGATATTTTAAGAGACTGCACAGGCCACTTGTAAGGTTGTCATTGATTCAAAATGTTAATATTGAAATACTGATTCATATGTTTGTTTGTTTGTTTGTTTGTTTGTTTGTTTGTTTAATATTCCAGCTTTATGGTTGCGGTGCTCACATGATTTGATGCATTTCGCAATGTAAGACCCGTTTTATCAAAATAGAGACTTGGCGCCGCTATGTTGTTGAAGCAAATGCAAATGATACGAGAGGTGGAATCTGATTGATCCATAGGAGAGGCTCAGAAGGGACATAACTCATAATAGCCACCAGTGACGCTACGATCGAGGCCAGGGATTCCAGCCTGGTTCGGCAACGGTGGACACTGGACTTTTATAGTCGGTTAACTCTCTTGCCTCAGGAAGATGCACGTACCTTGATAATAGGGAACTGTATGTCCTTCGGGACGAAAACAATGGACTTGGAGCACATCTTGAGATGTCCCCTTTGTTTCCTACAAGAGAATGAACATTATCCTTTAACACTGCTCAAATCACATCAAGTAGGTTTCTCCATAAGCTTAATATAATTGTGTGTAGTAAGAGAGGAATATGAGTTGTACAGGGAGTGAATGACCTCTGCCTATTCTATACACCTTGTAACCTCTCTCTCCGAGGGGAGGAAGGTTTTACTAGATGCAAATGTTGCGTCCTATACATACAAAAATTAAGAACGAATGCAAATAATATCCACTGCGAGTCCCAAGAGATACATATTGGAATGATTGAGTGAGTGAGTATGGTTTTATGCGCTTTTAGCAATATTCCAGCAATATCACTGCAGGGTACACCAGAAATGGGCTTCACACATTGTACCCATGTGGGGAATTGAACCCAGGTCTTCGGCATGACAAGTGAATGCTTTAGCCACTAGGCTACCCGACCACCCCAGGTATGATTGAAACTAAGGAAATTTAAGCATGTACGTAAGATTTATCAGACGTTTCTGTTCTAATAAGCAATACAAACATTGTTCGGACAGACCATGTCCATTTTAGTTACTCAATCATTGGACATAAGGCTTCACACATACAGTTGGTACAGTTGTCGCCCTGGGACCCCATTTTTATGCCTGGGACCCCAAAAGTTCATCACCAAGAGTTCCTGGGACTTGCAACTATTCAGACCAAGGCAAATCCCTGGATCAGGTTGGCAGTGTCAGAACTGCAAATTTCACAATAGCATTGAAATAGTCAAAACACTATTGTGAGTGAGTGAGTTGGGTTTAACGCCGCTTTTAACAATATTCCAGTTATATCGCGGCGTGTCAGCTTAATGTGGGAGGAAAGCCCGAAGTGATGCAGGTCTCAGACGTTTACCACTTCGGTGAAACCCACGAGCACGGGTATGGTGCTGACAAACCTAGAAACATAATCGGAGCGAACCGGGATTCGAACCCACAATCATAGGTTTCTGGCGTGCCCAAGGGACGCAACTCTGCACAGCGAATCGCGGCGCCTTAGACGACTGGGCCACCCGTGCCCCCCAAAACACTATTGTGACACTATTTGACAGTATTGTGCTATCTTGATAAATACCTGTACCACCCCACAGTGTGAAAGTCCTTGCATTATTTAACATGATGGCATTATTTAACATGATGGCAAAGCCGAGTGTGTGAGTAAAGTCAAACACAGCAGATTGCTACCTCTGATTATTGTCTGTCATATGATCAGGAACGTATTATTTTGTCTAAAGGACATCCTTGTTTCTACACGCAAGATGTGCATCTTACCATGTTTATTAAAGGAAACACTTGTTTCTTCAAGCAAGGTGTATTTCAAATGGATGACTTACAAAAGTGGGGGTCCAGGGGACCCCCAATAACAAATTTCATAGGCAATATGAGGGTCCTGTAAAGTAATGAAATGGTGTAGTATACTGTACGTTTTGATAATTGCTTCAGAGCCTGGAATGAATCAATGATCACGTAGACAGTGGTCTTGATTGATATATGAAATGACAGACACCCTAACTGCTCTTGATGAGCTGTAGGTACAATAAATATTATTGTGTATCCCTCGGGACGAAGTGTATTCTTTTTCTGCATCCATTATGTACAAATATTTGTACATAGGAGTAAAGCCCTGAGGAAATATGGAAAATAATTAACATTATTATTATGTGCATGAACATTGTGGCCCAGCATGCTTGTCAATTATTGATATCATAATAGACACACAGAAAACAGATAACTGATCAATCTTACCATCCTATCACACTTTTTTAACAATGTATTCGAGTCTTTCTTCCTTCCATAATATATGACAGGGTAAATGGTGTTAGGTTAAATAACTACACTGAAACATTATGTCTAATGTGACCTCACCTTCTGATAGCATCTTGTTCTGATAATCCTGCTGGGTAATAAAACACACTGAAGTCCTCAAAGTAGATCTCTCCAGGTTCCAGCAGGAGGAGGGAGAATCTAAAATTGTATACAGAAAAAATACTGTTTACAATACTAAAGCAAACTACCCCTGTCTACTGTGACTTCAGCCACAAGTCAAATACAAACTACATGTATATATTAAAGGTTTAATGATATTCCTATCAACACAAGTCACAAAACCTGAATTACTTAATCAATGCCGTTTTTGTACTTCTCTGTTTCATGTGGCATGCTAAACAAGGAGTGAGTGAGTATTGTCAGCTGAGATAGCACAAAAAACAACTATGTTCATGGTGCACTTGGTTCTTCAAAAAAATCCATTGAGTTATATAACAATGAGCAATCAATCAACTTATTATTGGTTAATCCTTTGAACGTACATACATGAATGTTCACGCCCAGGTGTGGTTGTATTCCATCTGCTTGAGTAAACCTACATATATAAACACTTACTTTTGACAAATCCATTTCGCAAGATAACACTGATTAATCAATGTATTATTAGTTAATCCTTTGATCGATGTTATTTTGCTACACAACTGATCATTCCTCTCTTGCTGGGCTGACACAGGCATGTTACATAACATGTAATACATTCACCACATCAGACCTGGATTAATAACCCAATCTTAGATTGAATAATTACCCCAGACACAAGACATGCTAAGTGGGGACCCCTGATTGCTATCCTTGATTCCCTCAGAGGCAGAGATGAACGTTATTGTGTGATTTTGCAGTCTTTGTGAGGTAATCTGAGTGGTTCTACCACTAATAATATTGATGACTTTATCTTCGTGTTTATTCTACATCCGATAGTAAATAGTATACAAAAACCATCCAATGGGAAAACAGGGTTTTATTAACAGCCTCAAATAAATCAAATGGTTATTTTTAATAGTATGTGTCTATGCACAAGCGATATTACATGATATAATTGAGTATCAGCCTATGAAACAAGGAAATGGGATATAAATCAATCACAGTCATCTTATCATCCATGCATTAAGGAATCCGAGCATGCTTTCACTACAGAGACAATTTACTTTTATCAAAACATAACCATCAGGCAGTGCCAGACAAATTCTGCTGTCAAATTATCAAAATTCTGCGGCTAAAATTACAAAACTCTAAATTCTAAGTAAAATCATAACCATTTCCCCCTAAAAAATTGATACAAAATCATTTTTCGTAAACTCGAAACCAAATCCGAAACAAAATAATTCCACAAACCATCATTACAACCAGTCAACATTGGATAAAAAAAACAATAATGCAAACAAATACACAAAGTGTCACTGATACTAAGGTTAGATGTAAACACTGTTTATGTAGTCATTCAGTTTTATTGTACGATTCATACTTTTTAAGTATGAATCACTTGTTAATTGTTTTAGCATCTTTTGAGTGAAAAATGTGAAATAAAAGTTTGAAAATAATGAAAATTAGTGTAATGATTGGTGAGAAAGGAGACATTTAGAATTTGTTCTGCAGTTCCTTAGTAAGTTATATTTTCTGCAAATCTTCATGCGATCATGGAATTGCAGAATTTGTTTAAGAATGATCATGGGTATTTCCATTTAATGGCATCCAATGAGCTTTTCAAACCCAGAATTTGCACAGGGTGTTATGGAGATTTTAATTTTGTAAAATAATAACCGGACTTAAATTTTACTGATATTAGGCGTCTAATAGTTTGTTTATACGATTGTATGCTACCTTATCTGATCATTTTCAAAATATGTCCTACTTTTCATACCGATAAAGAGACAAGTGATACGTTACTGTTACGATGAAACAGAAACAAAATAATGATAAAACTGATATAGCGTGTATAGCCTCGGGCCTAAAGTTACGAGTGCAACTGACACTCTCAAACGGATGTGATTGACTTTCAAAAGTAATGACATGTGCTTCTTATGACAGGTTCCGATCTTGACAAACAGACATGAATAGATAAAACCATAGTACACACAAAAATATACCTTTCCTGTCCAAGTGTATCAGTTTCCAAAAATGCCATCACCGTCAAAAACGCCCTTTTCTTTCTACGGAAGACCGAATTATCTGCCCTTCAAAACAGGAAATCACGTGATTGTATATGGGGGATTATTCATTATGGGGGTATCTACGAATTAAAGACAACGTAATACTTATGACATGTCTGTCAACAACTGAGTTTACATGACACATATGAGTATTTAATAGTTCTATGAAATAATTCTTTGTGTCTAAAAGGTATTTAGGTTGAAATTAATGCAATATGAAAAGCTATGAAAATGAAGAGTCCCTTATGTTGACCTTGAACCCACAAACATGGCGTCGAAGAATAAATACACGGTATTGCTGCCAACATACAACGAGCGAGAAAATCTCCCATTGATAGTTTGGTTGTTGGTTAAATGTTTTTCTGAAAGGTATGACTCCCTTTTGTCAAAACAAGTGTCAAACATGACAAGATTGTACATATTATTCATAAAAATAGGAAGAACACTTCACGACTAAGTCCTGTCAAATGTGGCATGATTTCATCAGAAAAGTTCTACTGTTCGCAATGTTAGTTTTCAGATGCCAACAGAAATATAAATTGATACGAAGTGTGAGGTAGTTGTCGAACATCTCGAATGTCATGTTTGAAAATATTTATTGTCAGATGTCGTGTTAAAAGATGGACTAAGATTCGAACAGATGTGAGGTGATAGTTCAAACATGGATACGTGGAATTCACTCATATCGATTATCATGGGGTCTGCATGATCTGTCCCACATTAAGCTGACACGCTGTGATATAACTGAAATACTGTTCAAAGCTGCGTTAATCCCAACTCACTTACTCACTACAGCAATATCAACCTAATCATGCTAACAACATGAACATAATCGTGATAAAGGTGTGACAGTGAAATGGGGATGTTGTAAACACATATTCCATCACTGATCCATAAAGATTTCTATGATATTAACAGAAACATTTCTAAAATATTTATATGATTATGAATCATGAGAAAAATTGGCATCACTTCCAAATTGAAAATCTGAAAGAACATGACCTGCTTTTCTGAAATATTCGACATGCTTGGCTGTACACATGATATATATTACTAACTGTTTGCTCAACAGTGGCCATGACTATGAGGTGATTATCATTGATGATGGCAGCCCTGATGGAACACTGGATGTTGCAAAGGATTTACAGAGAATATATGGGAAAGAAAGAATTGTAAGTTTTACTGTTTCTTCTACTGCAGCTGCTGGTCATGGCACAATTGTACAGCTGATTTGTGCAGTGCAATAAACAAATGCAATGTTGTTATATTGGCTTGTTAGGGTGATGAGTATGATTAACCTTCTTTCAATGAAAACTTGGAAAACCAGGAAGAATTCTGTTTCAGGGTGGTGATGCAGGCTCTGCTAAGTTTAAAGCAGTTCAACCTTAGCATTTGTGTCAAATTCTGTCACTGTCTTTACTTTTACAAATGTGGGATTTCCTTTAAAAAAAGAACCACATTTGTTTGTTTGATAATCTTAAACTTCTTTAATTCCTGAAATTATCAGTTATGTACTACATGATTAATACAAGATGTTTACAACTTTTACAACCTTTTATTTCTTCAGGTCCTCCGGCCGAGGGAAAAGAAACTTGGACTTGGTAGGTCTATATCAGTCAACTTTTCCAGTATCAAGACATTTGTCTACTTTACATTGGGGTGTATCTAGCAGCAGTATTATCAATTGTCCTCCGAAAATTCCAGTCCCAAATTAAAGTTGCCTCTCATATTGAAATTCTTGTTATTGCATGAATGAATGTTTGATCCAGTGTCCTCCATACAAGTAGGAAGGTTATTTGTCAAAATCCTTTACATGTTTTTGTTTATAAACTCCATACCACTTTGAATTTAGTGATACATCACATGATGTTTTTAGGCGACACATTTTCAATTTTTTGTTTACGATTAGAAGATTTATCAGAATGACAGGAGCCCCAAAACACGATCACAGAATCTAATAAGAAGTATTCAAGTTTTTGGTTTTTTTCAACATTGGTGGAATAGACAAATAAAAAAGACGACTAAAAACACTTTTTGAATTATAATTGATAAAATGCATTGGTATAGTCTTTGTCTGAAGCAAAATCCTTCTGAAGAGAAGGAAGCACTCTCTAACACATATATTCTTACTGTAAAAATAGTAAATAGCCTTCACTTCAATACATAATTTCTCACTTAACCTACATGCTAGTGTAAAAACTATTAGATTGATAAGGAAACTGGAATTTTGTGATCTTGATACCAACAATAGGGTACTCAAGTTTTACTCATATATTCCCCATCCCAATTTAAACATGGCAAGCTTACTGTATACCATTGTATGTATCATTGCACAGTGTGATAAACAGTAACAGTCTGCAAACTAAGTCACTAGTCTGACACCCAAGTCTAGTGGAATGTGTTTCCGTCTAGTAATCTCAGCTAAGAATAGGCAATATATGAACACTAAAGTGCATTTAAAATTATCCAAAAACCCTTGACGCAGACTGTTATATGTATGTTTCAAATTTGTGTCCTCATCAACAGGTTGTGATAATTTTGCCTGTCAATCTTTGTGGTATGACCATGAAACTGAAACTGAAATTGACAAAAACTATTCATATTTTCAACAGAACTTCCTCATTAATTGTGAGAAAATGAAATATGTTATTGTAATGTCTTTTTGACCAAGCCCTCAACTTTGTATTTGGACATGATTTGAGAAACATAATTATTGTAACCAATGGGTATTATATTTTCAGGGACAGCCTACATCCATGGCATCAAACATGCTACAGGAAACTTTATCTTTATAATGGATGCTGATCTCTCACATCACGTGAGTGCATGTTGTTGTCAGCCTGTGTTCTGGCGGTATATGGCACATAGTGCACAAATTATTATAGCAGTCGTCAGTGCACATTGCATGTATATTCATGTGTTTTGCAAACTTATTAAAAGTCTTTTAGGGATAGGTATCCATGTTTGAGCTTAATTTAATTTCACAACACACTTATCAGTTTACTGTTCTCTTAGTAGGGAATGCAGGAACATGTATAATGTTGCAATCATCATTGCATCTATCATCATTGCATCTCAGTGAATTTGGATTGGGGTCACAAATTTATTAAATGAAATAAGTTTCTACATTTTACATGTATTGTTTGAAAATGCCAAAAATAAACATGATAAAATGAGCTGTAAAAGTCCACACATTGTGATCTTTCAAAATGCAAACCTGTTTGGATTTTTTCTGTTTACTTTTGTGTTTCTAAAGAAAAAATCACTATGTCTTCTACTTTCAGCCCAAATTCATTCCACAGTTCATTGAGTAAGTATACACATCAGAACAGGATCACATTCCTATTCAGTTTATACCCACAATAATCTGCATACATATACAACTGGTAATGAAACAATAACAATTTCAAAAGGAGACTCCCTGAAAGTAATCTGTGAATAGTCAAGGGGAGGTAATTAAGAGAATTGCTTTCATTATTATCTCCCCTGGATTATACATTGTGGAGCAATCACAGCAATATGCTTAAGATACCATGATTACATCCTTTACTGGTCAGTTAACAGCTGATACAGTTCCTATTTTGCTAAATAGTTTTTTAGGAATATTTTCCCTTATAGGAAGCAAAAGACGAAAGATTATGACATTGTGCTTGGAACCCGCTATGCAGGTGATGGTGGTGTGTTTGGCTGGGATTTGAAGCGAAAGTGCATTAGGTAAGTCACTGTGTCAGCAATACCAGAATTACATCCCTTCATATGTGTAGCAGCCACACGTCTGAGCTGTCAGATGTAGACTGAGGCAGTGGGTTAGTCCAGGGGTTAAAGCACTTGTTGGTCACACCAAGTGCCCGGGTTCGATTCTTAACATAGATGTAATATGTGAAGCCTTTTTCTGGTTTTCCCTGCCGTGATATTGGTGGAATATTGCCCAAAACGGCAGAAAACCCAATTCACTCACTCATGGACTTAGTGCCTGAAACCATGGTAACATCACTTACACTTTCTTGGCCAAACCAATTTGATGATTTGGTGATGCAGGTTTTAGGTGTTTCCGTGCAGAAATTCTCTGCTTTCATGTGGGTTGTCTATGAAGGAGGTTGTACCTGCAACCAAGGTTATTTTGTTGTCATTTGATCGTGTCTTTTTGTGTCTAACCATAATAAATATACTGCAAGCTCCTCTCAGAATTATTTACAACTTTGTTCCAAGTGTACATGATTGATGTGAATGTTTCAGTCAGGATGTCACGACCTAAGATGTTAATGTTTTAGTCAAGACATAACAGACCTAAGATGTGATTGTTTCAGTCAAGACATAACTGACCTAAGATGTTATTGTTTCAGTCAAGACATAACAGACCTAAGATGTTAATGTTTTAGTCAAGACATAACTGACCTAAGATGTTAATGTTTCAGTCAAGACATAACAGACCTAAGATGTTAATGTTTTAGTCAAGACATAACTGACCTAAGATGTTAATGTTTTAGTCAAGACATAACAGACGTAAGATGTTAATGTTTCAGTCAAGACATAACAGACCTAACATATTAATGTTTTATTTTAGTCAAGACATAACAGACCTAAGATGTTAATGTTTCAGTCAAGACATAACCTACCTAAGATGTTAATGTTTTAGTCAAGACATAACTGACCTTAGATGTTAATGTTTCAGTCAAGACATAATGACCTAAGATGTTAATGTTTTAGTCAAGACATAACATACCTAAGATGTTAATGTTTTAGTCAAGACATAACTGACCTAAGATGTTAATGTTTCAGTCAAGACATAACTGACCTAAGATGTTAATGTTTCAGTCAAGACATAACTGACCTAAGATGTTAATGTTTCAGTCAAGGCATAACAGACCTAAGATGTTAATGTTTCAGTCAAGACATAACAGACCTAAGATGTTAATGTTTTAGTCAAGACATAACTGACAGATAATGTGAATATTTCCGTTGTGACTTTCCTGACCGATGATGTTGATGTTTCAGTCGCGGTGCTAACTACATCACACAGGTGCTGCTGCGTCCTGGAGCCTCGGATGTAACTGGCAGCTTCAGGTGTGTTCCATGCTTAGCTTGCAGAATTTATGGTCAATTTTAGTGATGATAACCATATGATATGATGAGTACTTAATCTGTTCGTAATAGACTATAAAAATATGAAACATGATAATGCTATTACTTTGTCATGAACAATATCAAAACTTTGTGGAACTGTTTCATAATTCACCATCATGTCAGGTCTGTCCCTTGCTCATCCCACATCCAAATGACACTCCTGATGTTCCCTGTTGTGGTATTCATGAATTTACCGGACACAAAATCCTGCATCCTAAACATGCTAAACACATAAAAATTGAAAACAGATGCATAAAATAATACAGTTTATCTACTGAAATGCATACAATTTATGTGAATGTTTGAAAATAAATGCTGCTAGTTCATAATTTGGTATCACTTAAGATTAATTTCTGTATACTTTGAATACTTCATGATCATCCACTATCATTTATGGATGCATTTTGTTTGGGGAACTTCATATCTATTTTTCTCTAACAGCCTCTGAGCTGACCTTACAGTTGTGGTGGAGTACTGTATTCAGGTTTTGACATTGCTAGCACCCCTACAATTATAGGCACTGAGTCCCTGGGATTCCACAAATAACTAAGCCCTGTAACTCCCTGGGTATTGCCCAAATGTTGCTAAAAGATGAGTGAAAACCAAGCTCTCTCTACGAACTTGGAAATGTGAATCAAAGACTTCTTGAGATTCCTGTGTAGAATTGATTTACTGAAACATATATGTGTATGTATGAATAGAGGTGTAATGATTGGTAACTGAAATGCATCAGTAGTTAATCAATGTACCAGTGGAACTACATCAGTGTTAGAACATCAGTCCTCTCGTCTGAGACATAAAATTCAGGACTTGTGTGTCATTGTCTTATATAACTTCCTACCCTGACACAATGATCACATTGATGAGAATTTATAAATCCCAGTAGTCAACGTTCATATTTCCCTACAATGGATCATGCTCTATAGTATCAATGGACAACGACCATAAAGTACTGATAACAAATGACTTTATTATTCTTTCTCTCAATTTTATTTTCTTATTTTAGAAACATGTAGATGTTCATTCTGACACTGAACATAATATTTATGAATAAAGAGATCATATTTAATAATCGACAGAGCTATCTCAAATACCAAAGAATGAACCTGGTGAGCCTTGCATGTAATGATTTAATGTGAAGAAATCAACATTGTTTGAAGCAAAATGCTTTCAGCATACTGTCTTTATAATATGGCAGCAGTGATCAGCTTTCGACATGGTGACTTGAGCTATAGTGAAACCTCGTTAATCCATACCCTGTTAGTATTGAAACCCTGCGTTCCGGGTGATTATTATTTGAAACATCTTTCCATTATCTAAAATATATTACAAGCTACCCTTGATTTATTTATCCAGAAATTTGATAATCCCAACGTTTTCCCTGAGAATGGTACTGTCTGGATAAACAGGGTATTTCAGTCAGTGGTAATTATGCCCCCGTGGTTGCCCATGTGTGTGAACATGCCATGTGTTCCGGTTGCAGGCTGTACAAGAAGGATGTGCTGGAACGCCTCATCCACTCGTGTCTGTCCAAGGGCTATATGTTCCAGGTGGAGATGATCATCCGAGCCCGGCAGTTTGGATACACAATAGGAGAGGTAGGGGAGACAACTCTGTGATGGGGAGATAACTCTCACTTAACCTTGCCTTCTATAGTAGTCTTTGGGAGGCAAAGGTGGCATATTTGTCTGAGGCTCTGAAATTCGAATCGGTGGGCCAGAAATCTATGATGGTATGTTCGTGTCCCATATTCCCGAGGCAGGAGTGTCCACTAGCCTTTTTATCAAAGTCTTGTTTAAACCTTTGCCACATCAAGCCCACTTTCCTGTGCCAAATATGATTGGACTATCGCACATATTCATAGTCCAATCAGAGAACGTTTCACAAGATCAACATCCACAACTGGTACACCTTTGTATGAAATTGATTTACCGCTGCCTGTCTTTGTTGACAGGAATATGTCTTTTTCTTTTTCATCTTTTAAACCCCCCAATGATTGCCATTGTTTTTGTGTCAGAGATAAAATTGTGAATGTTTTCGTTATCTGATCGACTAGGTTGTCGCCTGTGGTAATCGCCATCTTTGTAAAGCTATACAAGTTAAGAACAGCGATCTGATTGTATATAGCGTTTTCATTACAAGGGGCACAACTCGTGATCTATGTGAGGTGGCGCCAGGGTCAAGCCAAGAAAAGTGGCCTTGATGTGGCAAGGTTATAAACTAGGCTTTGATATATGCTAGTAGACACGCTTGCCTCAGGAAGATGCCCGTCGTCCTGATTATATGTTTCTAGGTTAGTCAGCATCATGCCCTTGTTGGTGATGTCACCAAAGTGGTAAATGTCTGAGACCTGCATTACTTTGGGCTTGCCTCCCACATCAAGCTGACACACTGTGATATAACTGGTATACTGTTCAAAGTTGTGTTAAGTTAAACCTCACTTCCTCACACACTCACTGAGGTATTACTGATGACAACACTGTTGTATTCATTTCTACAGGTTCCCATCTCATTTGTTGATCGAGTGTATGGAGAATCGAAACTTGGAGGGAGCGAGATCGTTGACTGGATCAAAGGCACTCTCTACCTGTTCGCAACAACATGAAAATGATGTGGTCCTTGTTAATAAATCTATACTATGCTGTTATTTTGCATTCTGCTTGTATTTCAACATGACGGCAAGGAACAAGTGTCTCTTTTGACAAGAGGGGTGGTCGGGTAGCCTAGTGTTTAAAGTGTTCGCTCGTCACGCCGAAGACCAGGGCTCGCTCGCTCACTCATGAAAAGAACGAACGAACGAACAAAAGAAAGAAAGACTGCCAAATTTCACAGGAAAATCATTGAATGTGTTCATAAGGCATCTAGCAATTTTCATGTGCCTTTGTTGTCAGGGGAACAAATTGTCTTTGGCCAGCATTTTTTATAAAATCCCTGGTTGGGGGCCTATTCTAATCCTCACGGCGGCATGAAGTAGGTATTTCAAGGGTGTAAACATACACCTTTCCTTCTGAGTTTGTGTTTGATGATCTTTGATTAAAGAATATTGTGGAAATTAGTTGGGATATTTCACATGCTGGTGCATTTTAATACCATCACCAATTCCGAGTCAGGCAACTGGAATATGTGTTGCCTGGTACATAAACTTTGACATAATGCCTATTCAAACGAGATATAGAAATCTCCATGAAATTCATGATTCCGAGCTGAGTCGCCCATCCTTATTTATCGGCTTTTAGGGACATACAGTGGATGCTGGAAGGTTGTGGTACCTTGGAATTTTTAAGAAAAATAATTCACATTTGACAGATGAAATTGCTGGGAAATAGTTTGGTCAACCTAACCGATGAGTGAAAATGCTCGATTTCGTCCAACCACGCTACACCTATGCAGGAAACCGTGGAACAGAATCACAAGGAGACAAGTGCTGTCTGTCTGTTGTTTAGCGCCAGAATCAGCACTATTCCAGCCATATGACGTCGCTCTGTAAATAATCAAGTCTGGTTATCAATCCAATGAATTAATGAGCATCGATCCGTCCACTTGAGATGGAATGTAATGCTATCAACCAAGTCACCGAGTCTGTCCACCAACTGCAAACACCTCTCGCAACCAGCACATATATGATGCTAATGAACACCGAAGACCTGGGTTCGATTCCCGACATGGGTACAATGTGTGAAGCCCATTTCCGGTGTCCCCCGCCGTGATATTGCTGGAATATTGCTAAAAGCGACGTAAAACCATACTCACTCACTCACTCACTCACTCTAACCCTGACTTCCCACGAAGCTGTTGTGTATTTCATGGCCTCATCTGTGGAAGACAATAGCAAATATTTTAGGAGTCGGGACACCAAATGAGTGGAAGGGTGCTGGTATTCATAATGTCTGGGCTTCTATGTCAGACATCATAAACACGTCACCTGTTGTGGGTTATCGTTGTTATAACGCATGTAATATCGCCTGTGATACCCGTATCAAATACATCAGCATCAGCGATGTCAAGTTGTTGTTTGTTCCATCAACACGAGTGTATACCTTTTTTGCACGCCTGTCTCTTTTACATTTCAGGTCTTATACTTAAAGATGTTCATGACATATATATATGAACACACTATTGAGGTGCACTAGAAGAACCTGTCATTATTAAAGCGCTTAAAATGAGGCAGTTTGTTGACAACACAAAATTATAGCAATTAATTTCACTCAGTTACTTTTGCGTAACCTCTTTTAATCATGCATACATACTTCCGGAGTCGTGAGAAATATACTGAACCTCACTATGTGTACTCACGAATACTCACGTCCTTAATGTCTGCATGTCTGTAGATAGACACCCGGGTAGTGTCCTTGAAAGTTATACTTGGAGTAAGTGAGTCATGGTTTACGCCGTTTTGAACAGGACATTCTGTTAAGCGTTCAGCTATTTTGGGAGGAAAGCCCGAGGTAATACATGTCTTTTCCTCTTTGGTGAAACTCTAGAATATGAGTATGGCACTGACAAACCAATTAACATAGTGAGAGTGAATCTGGAATTCGAACCCAGGATTTTTGCAGACAATATACGTATAATCATGTTTTCAAGCATCGGACATGATGTGTTTTTTGTGCTCAAGGCCATCTCGAAACACTCACCAAAATGCTAAACGTCAGATTCCATTCCCACGTTAACTAAAACGCAGGTGAAATAACCGAATGAGTGCGTGTGTATAGATATCTATGTCTAATTTGGTTTAGGTTTACCAGGTTAGGCTGTTTAATATCCATATAATTGTTCTATCTTGAATAAAAAGTATATGTTTATTGCCATATGCACTATTTACCTAATGTTATAGAAATATATCTTATTCTGTTTTAAAACGACCAACATATATACTGAAACAGTTTTGTTAGTTGTTGTTTTACTTTCGGATCAGAAAATAAATAATGTTGAGTTAAGCTTTTCTTACAAGTTCCCTAATAACCGCAAAAGTAAAAAAAACGTCAATCGAAAGTCACACGAGACGTTCTGATTGAAGTGTGCCGAGTGCTTATAAGGGGAGATAATTCTAAAGATACTTTAGCTTGGCGGGAACGTTGATGCTTGAACACAAGAAGTTTCGGGATTCGCCAAAGGCCAAGTCTCAGGAGCTGACTCCATTAAAAGCTGTTGCGTATTGCTGCGAAAAGTCAGGCAACTATATAACCTTGCGAACATGTAAGTATTACAGATGCGTTGGCATGCGTCATCAACTTAGACCAATATGGGCACGATAATTCATTCGTATGAACAGATCAAACTGTCGTTTCAGTGGAGATAGTTTTCACGTTTTGTACATGAAATTTCAGTTCACACCAAATTTCATTTTATACAGCATCGTTAGAAATTGGCTCTAGTCCAGTATTCCTTGCCACACTGCCCAATAGTTAAGGTATCATAAAGACTAGAATCTAGTAGAAATTTGCCATATGTAAGGGTTTTGCTATATGATATCATTATAAAGACTAGTGGGCTTAAACTGTAAGCAGAGACCATATATTATATGGTCTCTGCTGTAAGTTTCTACCGCTGTACAGATTATATACTATGAGATGAGATGTGTAAACGTCTGCACAACTCGGAGCAGATGGAACATAAAGAAATTGATAAGTAATTTCTTCCACGGATTGATGTAATGTGGAATTGATATTCTTTTCCTTACAGAATCACATCCTCGCTCCACAAATGGTGGACTGGCTCCACTGTAACTTGTGTTTCATACAGCCTGGGGCAGGAGCCAACTTCTCCCTCACCAACTGTGGACATATCTACTGTGAAAAATGTTTGATAGAAGGTGAATCAGACATTTTGTGTGCAGGACAGGTTGTGTGCATTGTGTGACTAGAAAAATGTCATGGGGGTAGGTGAAGTGAAATGGAATTTACAGTGCTTGACACAAACACTGGTCCGCTGGTCTTACTCTAGTATATTTCCATAAGGACAAGTTAAATTAGATAAATGTTTGTCCAGTGGTGTTGTGTTATTTTGGGGACGAACAATGTAATTTAAGTTTGTACAACTTTTGAAATATAGATCGAGCCTGAACTCTAAGCAACATTGTGTCTAGTTGAGATCCAACATGACCAGTAGATATTTTTGGGGAGCTGGTCCTCTGGACCACTGACAAATTGTGGTCAGTGTCAACACAAAATTGCTGTCATATTGCGACGTGCATGTACATGGATATCCCACTCAGACACAGTACATCTACTGACTACTGACTTACCAATGCTTGTAACAACAAGTATGATCTCATAACATCTTTTGGTATGAAATGGCCAGGGATCGAAACACCGACCTTCTTCGTTCCGAGTAGATCCTCTATCTCCAGACCACAGAGGTATTACGGAATGTCATATGAAGCAGCCCATATGTCCTAATTATCACTGATTAGTTGTTCACTGTGTGTCAGTGACCTGGATAGTTGCTGCTCATGCCTTCAACTATATTTGGTGGCACACACGTATTTTAAAAAATATTTGAGGCTCATGTCAAACAACAGGAATCATTTCAAACTATGACAGTGTTAAAAGTAGAATATTTAATTATATGCTTCAGCAGCAAATGACACCCTTTAATTTCTAACACTGCTGTAAAGCAATATTCAATGTCATGTCAGTGCACAAACTGCAGGATGCACACCAACTGCAAGAGGCATGCAGTGTCGTTTTTTCCTCCCCATTTCAAAATCCAGAAATCACCAGCTTTTTCAGTGTCAGCCCCATTCATGTGTTTTTGCTGACGTGGGGGATAGATCTTCTTTTACTCTTTTTTGGAGTGTGGGTCGGGGGAGAGTGTTAACCCCGGAGGCCCTCCGTACATGTTCATACATTTATGAAAGGTATATTTTATGTTGGATAAACAATTTCTGAAATAAGGTTAAAGGACAAAAACCTGCAGCAATAGTTTGAGTTTCAGGCTGCAAAGAACAGTGTCGGATGTGTGGATCCAGATGCACAATCATCAAGCTGTCAGCAAATGTGAGTCCTATATATAATGATACCTAACGTATTGTAAGCTAGCTGTATCATTTCACCCCTCATCTACATCCTGACTCACTTTTGAGAATAGTCCTTGGTTGCACAACTGATTTTATTGTTTAAATGTCAACAGGGATATATTTTTTAGGTGATAACTCCTATCTAAATTCAGTCTTGTTCCTGTAATTTTTTTAATTGAGTGATCATGCAGTAAATTGTAAATCAATAAATAGTGACAATTGTTTGCTTTAGGAGAAAAACAACCTGGAATACAGAAACATCACAAAAACAGAAATGTATTGTAATGGCTGTTGTTAAAAACTTAAATTACTTCCGTCTTATATTTTTTAATCACAAAATGTTGAGATGGAGCTTTATTATAACGCCACTTTTCAGATGAAACCAGAAGTGGAATTGTTTTTCACTGATCCAGTGGACATCTTGCGGAAATGTTTAAAGCAAGCCATTCAGGTAAGCAGATTTCCTTATCCAGGATTCAAAACTAACTGGCAAACAAATAGAGAATCTCACCCGAGTGTCTTTTGATATATCAACACGAGTTGATAAAAGTGGAAAAACCCTGAGGCTTGCTCGCACTTTGAGTTTTCACTTGGCGATTGGAATCTGGAGCTTTATAAACAGACATTATTATTTATTATTTTGATGTTGGAATTCATCGTGTTTCCTTCAATATGATGCATTGTGTTGCAGGTGTTTGACTTCCAGAAGAACCATCGCGGGAGGATGCTGAGTCATTTTAAAGGAAAGGTACAGTTTTAGCATCCACATAGTAAACCACAGTAGGGTGTTCCTAAGTCTTCATGTGTTCACAAGTGTGCTGACCAACCAGACAAATACTGCTGGCCACAACTTCCACATCTCTCCTGACCATGTTGGCTAGTACTATAAGTAGGGACCATGCACTTACCTGAAAACTCCCTTAAATTTTGGGCTGTCCGAACAACCTACTGTCGATAAATAGAATTTAGTGGTTTCAAACAACATGAACCAGAACTGACAAATATGTGGTTTACTTAAATAATAGTAGGGTCGGTGGGGTAGCCTAGTGGTTAGAGTGTTTGCTCGTCATGCTTAAGACCCAGGTTCGATTCCCCACATGGCTACAATATGTGAAGCTCATTTCTGGTGACCCCGAGGTAATATTGCTGGAATATTGCTAAAAGCGGCGTAAAACCATACCCACTCACTCACTAAATAATAGTAAAAATCTGATCAATTTAGAGTCAAGGTGATCCAACTTGTTCGAGATAAATTTGAAAAATTAGTCACAATGACAGCCTGAATGGACAGAAATTTGGAATGTTTGCAGAATCTAGATTGCTAGAGGTTTGATAGCTTTTGCCCTTATCACAACATTTGTTGAACCACTTTTGTCTCAGATCTCCAAGCAACAGGAGGTGTTGGACAAGGCCCAGCATTCTATACTCAAGTACCAGCAGGTGGAGAGGTGAGGTTTGGAAGTTACAGTGTTAGTTAGGAGTGTTTGAATGTCTGCATTATTACTTGGGAAAGAAATTGCCACTCTCCCAATATTCGAGGCAGTTAGAATAGTAGAATCTTCCAATTTTAACGGTTTTGCTAGTAGACTGCCACTCATCCCAATAGCCAAGGCAGTTAGAATAGTAGAATCTTCCAATTATAACGGTTTTGCTAGTAGATTAAAAATATTACTTTCTATCTCTGTGACTGGTTTAGTGGTTGATACCATGCGCACCAAGTCCTCGTTAATCAGCTCATGTGTAGTCTGGGGATCTATCCGCCCAGAAATCTCCGCAGGAGAATTTCCCAATAAAAAAAACAACACATATTTCAGCCAAACTGAGAAGAAACATTTCTATCATCTTTATATGAAATATTATGTGATAGTAACTGACATTAAGTTTTGCCAATTGTGATGACTTTGGCAGCTACAACAAACACTTGGCTTTCCGGGGAAAGGTTGTATTCTCTCATTACATGTCAATACACTCAGTCAAGTGTAGTCGGCAGCCATGTGGTCTGCTAGCGCACAACACACACACTTCCGGCGCTGTTACACGTGCGCACTCATTTATATAGAGACATCGTATGGATAAAGCGAGTGACTGGTTATATGATACTAAAACGCTACATTCCTCCCCCTTTAGTTAACAACTTGTTGTTTAAGCAATTAGTGAACAATGTTACTAACTCATCAGTCACTGAGAAAGAAATAGTGATCAACTCCAGAGGTTCAAAGGAAATTTTCCCATAAAGTTCACTGAAGTATTCTTGAACACTGAAATTCACAAACTTAATGTTCATTCACTTGGTTTCTGAAATAAATGAATTGAGCAAGCACCTTAAAGTTCAATCTGAAAAAAACACCAAAACACTTAACAATGAAATACAGTAGTTTACAGATTTAGTCTATCTGGAGCTCGACGCTCACGAGTCGATCTTCTCAACTCAACAGATGAGGACAGTTCTGGACTAGTGTCACATGTAGGTAACCTGGTACGCGGAAATGGCGTGTCTGCGGGTGATACTGGTACAGAACTAGGCTCTGGGAGCTCTGGTGAGAAAGTGATGACAGACTTTGACACTTCACTTTCTTCCAACAATTCTGGGGATTCTGGTTTCACAGCATCGGGGTCCACATAACGCTTGATGAGGTGATCTACATGTCGCCTCGCAATTTTGTTATTTTCCAAGCTGACTTTGAAGGAGATAGGACCTGTACACTGGATTATCTCCCCTGGTAACCATTTAGGCTTACCAAGAAAGTTCCTGACGTAAACAAGATCACCGACAGCGAACTCCCGTGACTTTGTATGTCTATTGTGGTAGTGTGCCTGCTTCTCTTGTTTATGTTGAACTTTAACACCGATGTCAGGGTGAAGCAAGTCAAGATGGGAACGTGGACGTCTTCCAAATAGTAACTGCGCTGTTGATGACCCTGTCGTAGTCTGCGGAGTGTTACGATACCTGAACAGGAATCTTGACACCCTGGTGTTGATGGAACCGCCGCTGAGCTTCTTAAATACCTGTTTGAACGTCTGGCAGTCCATTGGACGCTGGATGGTAAGGGGATGTACAGATGTGTTGAATACCATTTCTCTTGATGAATATAGCAAATTCATCACTTGTGAAACATGTCCCATTATCAGACACTATTGTCTCAGGTAGACCATGAATGGAAAATGTTCTCCAAAGACACTCAAGAGTGGCACTCGTAGTTGCACTGTTGACAGGGAAAACATCCATCCACTTAGAGTGAGAGTCTACGATGATGAGGAACATTTGACCTTGTAAGGGACCTGCATAATCAATGTGCAGACGTGACCATGGTTTGGACGGCCAGTCCCACGGATGTAACTTTGCTTCGCAGGGTGAAGAACGACTCTCCTGACATATGGAACAAGTCCTGACCTTGTTCTCCAGCTCTGAATCAATGCACGGCCACCATACAAGACCTCTGGCAATAGCTTTCATCCTCGCTATTCCAGGGTGAGCTTCATGCAACACATCTACACACTGTTTCCTACCCTGAGGTGGAACCACTACTCTGTTACCCCACAGAATCACACCATCCTGAACACTTAGCTCAGTTTTCTTCTGAATATATGGCTTTAGCTCTGTATCTGGCTTCAGGTTTTCTGGAAAACCACATTCCACTAACTTCTTCACTCTAGCTAACAAGGGATCCTTCCTTGTCCAAAACTGAATTTGTCGCACATTCACTGGGAATTCTGCCATGTTCTCGAGGAGCATTATTGTGTCTCCTGGAACAGGCGGCACAGACACAGAGGTTTGCAGAGGCAATCTGCTCAAACAATCTGCGTTTGCTAACTTTGAGCCTGGTTTATACACAATACTGTAATCATACGCTGCCAGCATCAAGGCCCATCTCTGGAGTCTGGCTGACGCCATCACTGGAATGCCTTTCTCTGCATCAAGTAGACCCATGAGGGGTTTGTGATCTGATAACAGCTGAAATTTTCGTCCGAACAAATACTGGTGGAATTTCTTTATGCCAAACACTATTGCCAGTGCTTCTTTATCAAGCTGTGAATAGTTCTTTTCTGCAGGTGACAAGGAACGTGACGCAAACGCCACAGGCTTCTCAGTACCATCTGGCATGATGTGTGACAGGACGGCACCTACTCCATATGGAGAAGCATCAGCTGCTAAGTTGAGAGGAAGGTCTGGATTGTAGTGAGTCAAGACCTTACATGAAGACAAGTGAGATTTCACCTTTAGAAATACTGTATCATGCTTCTTGGTCCATGACCATGGAGCGTCCTTTTGTAGTAACCCATGTAGTGGCACTAACGTCGTGGAGAGATTTGGCAGGAATCTCTGGTAGTATTGTACCATCCCAAGGAATGACTTTAACTCTGTCACATTCTGAGGAGCTGGTGCGGACACAATAGCGTTTACCTTCTCCTCTAATGGATGCAGTCCCTGTGCGTCAATCCGGTGTCCCAGGTAAGTGACTGAGCCTTTCTTGACGTGACACTTTGAAGCGTTTAGACGCAAACCTGCTTTCTGCAATCTGTCAAGGACTTCATTCAGATTCTTGTTGTGTTCTGCATCATCAACACCTGTGACGAGAATATCATCGAGGTAGACGCACACATGTGGCAAGTCGCTGAGAAGACATTCAATTGTCCGCTGGAAGATAGCAGGAGCTGCCGACACCCCAAAAGGTAATCGTTGGTACTCGTATAGACCTTTATGGGTGTTAATTGTGGTGAGTTTCTTGGAATCATCGTCCAACACTATCTGCTGGTAGGCATTACTCATGTCCAATTTCGTAAACTTGCGACCACCTGAGAGTGATGCAAATAAATCCTCAATCCTGGGTATTGGGTAACAATCTGGTTTAGCAACCTGGTTGACTGTTAGTTTGTAATCTCCACATATGCGCACTGAAGACTGATCCGACTTCAACACTGGTACGATGGGTGCTGCCCACTCTGAGTACTGCACTGGTTTTATGACACCCTGCTGCTCTAACCGTTCAAGTTCATTCTCAACCTTGTCCCTCAAGGCATAGGCCATGTTCCTGTGCTTGTAGAAGCGTGGTTGTGAAGGAATAGATATGTTAATCTTCACTTTTGTATCTTTCAACTCACCAAGTTCCTCCTTGAAGACATCGGAATGTGAGTTAAGGATACTTTGCACATCATCACAATCTACTCTGAGGATTGTTCCCCAGTCTAGACGAACATGTCGCAGCCAGTCGCGACCAAAGAGATTAACTCTTCTCCCTTTCACTACAATCACTGGCAGTTCTGCTGACTGTTTGCCGTAGTTCACTTTCACTGAGCATGAACCAAGCAGAGGTATCTTCTCACCTAGGTAAGTACGTAACAAGGTATGAGGAGGTCCTAGTTTGGGTGGATCTTTCCCTAACGATCTGTAAGTGTCCTCATTAATCACTGAAAATGTTGCACCTGTATCCAGCTCCATGCTTAATGGCTGACCATTAAGTGCTAAATCAATAAACATTGGTGGTTCCTTCTCTCTCCTCCCAACAAAAGGTGTAGAGCTAGTCTCCATCTTGTAAATGTCATATATTTCACTTTCAACATCATCATAGTTATCAGGAGTGACCTGATTTGTCGCCGAACGCTTGTGCTGACCCCGACTTCGACCTTGACCTCTAGATCGATACGAGCCACGTCCACAACGAGAACCTTTACTATTCTGTGACTGACGACATACCTTCCCAATGTGGCCAATCTTACCACAATTGTAACACTTTGAGGTACGAAAATGACAGTCCGGAGATTTGTGATTTCGTAAACCACATCTGTCACATGGCGGGTAGACAGGAGCATGTTGAGATGATGACATCTTGTGCATGTTACCCCCTGTAGCTGCTGAAACACTTGAAGCACCAACTTTAATATCTTCTACATTCTTTGCTGCCAATTCCATTGACTGTGCTAGTGTAAAAGCCTTATTGTAATCCAGAGCTTTCTCTGCTAATAATCTCCTCTGTATTGCATCATTATTAATGCCACAAACTAGTCTGTCTCTAAGTGAATCATCAAGAGTAGTACCAAAGTCACATGTACTTGCCAGTTTGCGCAACTCGGAAGCATACGCTGCAACACTCTCTTGAGACTTTCTATCCCTCTTGTGAAATTTAAGTCTTTCAACTATCACTGACGGTGTTGGGTGTTGATGATCGCGCATGACTTTCACTATCTCAGCAAACCTCATTTCCTTAGGTTTCGTAGGAGCGCACAAATTCCGGAGAAGTGTGTAGGCTGTCTTACCCATTTCACTAAGCAGAATAGCCCGTTTCATCACATCATCCTCGTCATCAACACCTCTAGCCGTAAAGTACAAGTCTAACCTCTCACAATAAATGTCCCAGCTGTCAGTCTCTATATTAAATTCGTCGATCTTCCCGGAGGTAGACGACGCCATGTTTATGGAGCGAGTGAAACACGACGGACGTTAATCACACAAAATGTCCACAAAAACGCTAAGACATCCAGTTTTACCTCGTCGCCAATTTATGTGATGACTTTGGCAGCTACAACAAACACTTGGCTTTCCGGGGAAAGGTTGTATTCTCTCATTACATGTCAATACACTCAGTCAAGTGTAGTCGGCAGCCATGTGGTCTGCTAGCGCACAACACACACACTTCCGGCGCTGTTACACGTGCGCACTCATTTATATAGAGACATCGTATGGATAAAGCGAGTGACTGGTTATATGATACTAAAACGCTACACCAATGTATGGTTCTTTTAATCTGATAAAGTCAGATCGTTTACTCTGATTTACTACCTCTCTCAGATAAGCTCTGAACCCTGAATGAACTTTGACCGACCAATCAAATTGAGAGATTCAAATGTCAGCTTCCTATAATGATTCAGCTTCATGTTCTTATTTTCTCAGCGCAGTTCTGTACCAAAATGAGAAAATGGAGGGTTTGTCAGACCTTGATGGACTGTAAATGGAACATTCATCATTAGAGATTATTAAACCCCTGACCTAAAAGGGTGGGGTATATAGTTATACCAAGGAAGTCTGACTGTGTGTCCATCCGAGGACATTTTTGTGTGCGACCTATAACTTGAAAACTACTGAATAGATTCTTTTCAAACTTGGTTAAAACTCTGATTTTGATAAGTGGATTTTCTGAGAAAATATTGTTTTTTTCATAGTTTGAACTTAAAAATTTGTAAGGAGTCGAAGTATAGGGTATTTGTGAGTCCTACTCAATTTTTGTCATGTATTTGTTCTTTCAGAGAATTGATACGATTGAGAGAAGAAAATTCCTATTTGAAACGATTGATATCAGAAAAGGTAATGAAGGTTGAACTTTGTATCAAATATGGACCCCAAAGAATCATGATATATACTGATAATAACAAAATTACGCACATCAAACTCTCTCCATCTTCCCCAGGCAGGAGAGTTAACTGACTTTAAAAGTCCAGTTTCTGCCCTTGCCGAATTAGGCTGGAATTCCTGGGCTCGATCGTAGCGCCACCAGTGGCTATTAAGAGTTATGTCCCTTCAATGCCTCTTCTATGGACCAATCAGATTCCAACTCTCGTATCACTTGCATTTGCTTCAAACAAAATTGCGGCGCTCAGTCAAGACGTTCTGATCGATAATCAAGATCTATATTGTGATAAAACGAGTATTCCATCGTGATGTGCATCAAATCACGTGAGCATCTTGATTAAAAACATGAAAAGATTGAGAATATATCTTTTGACAACAAGTTGCCGGTGCAAATGCTTTGCAAATCTTGCAATCGACAGAAATCTGCATGACAGTTTACGAACCGGATTTTGATTTTGTTGCGCGAATTTGATTGGACTATGCATAGACTTGTTCGTCCAGCCAAAATGTAACTCCATAATACCAGCCTAGTTCGGCAAGGGTGGAAACTGGACATTTATTGTCAGTCAACTCACTTGCCTGGGGAAGATGAATTCTCTCTAGACCTACAATTTATGAATTTCATGGTTAATATGAACTTGAATGATCCAGTATATGTTTCAAATGATTTTTCACTCTTCTGTTCATTTTAACATGGTAATCTTAACAGGTAATGTTTTGTAGCAGTGAATTATGAATTAAGTATCAATATTCATAAATTTGTATCAATGCAGTATCAACATAATGATAATATTTTTATCGATATCACGACAGTGTTTGAAATAATTTTGAAACCCAACAAGTCAGTCGAGCAGGTGACCTATAAGTGTTGCCGGCCTAACTTGCAATAATGCAAACAATCATTTGAGAATCTACAAGGAGTTATAAAAATGCTGAATATGTAGTAGTCTTAAAAAAATCTGCCAGACAGTTGGGCAGGAGGAGCAAAATTTCATGCAGCCCGACAAAAACGTTACCAGCCGCGGGCAGGCAGTTATTTCAGACACTGTATCGCGATATACGATGACATCCGTAATTTCTATATACAATTTACACGTAGTGAAATATATTCTTTTCTTTATTTTTAGGGACTTGGGAATCATTCTAGGTAAGTAACACGCATTTGATATTGTGGACATGTTTATGAAAACGGAGTATTTACGATAAAATATCATTTGGTATGCCGTGATTGTCAGTGGTGTGGACTCTCAGTGAGTGGCAGAAAGAGTCAAAAGGATGTATTTATCTAGTTTTGACATTTACAGACAGGGGTGTTTCCAACAAGGGAACAAGATCTGTATCCTTGTTTCATTAGTCCTCAGTGTTTGTAACTATAGTCCTCGCCACTTGAAATAGAATCACGAAATATCCCAATTCAGGGTTTTACCTTGACTTACAAAAGTGGGGGTCCCTGGGCAATCAATAAATAATCTCAAGGGTTCCTACAGGAAATATGAGGGTCCTGTAAAGTAATGAAATGGTGTAGTGTATTATACTGTAAGATTTGGTAATTACTTTAATCATTTATATTTCATGTCAAGAATTTGGTAAATATTCAATACTTTATTCTTTTTTCTGCTTCCATTCTATACATTTGTGCGTACTGGATGCACATTTATGCGTTATGTAAAACCCAGGCGATTATTAATTTTCTAAGATGGTTGCGTGTGTGCTAATACTTATAATGTGAAAACAAGCAATTACTACGATGTGGAATATCCATTTTGCTAGCGATAAACATCATCATTGAGTTTTGTCACATGGTTACATCTGGGTAAGGGTCGACAGTGTTTTAACAGTGAAAAAAACATGCACATGTTGTATTGAAAGTGCTATAGACATAGTTCATAGTGACCTACATATTGTTGTTAGAATAAACAAGTCAATTCCGGTGGCAGTTTGTACTTGTAGTGCCTTTTGCTCCTGTTCCACAGACTCGGGTCCAGCATGGGGAGCATGCGCCAAGCATCATCATCATCACCGGGGAGCTACCGAGGTACTGCTTCTGTGTGTCACTTCATGTCCAGCTCTCCTTGTTAATCAAGACACTGTTGTTATTCTCATCAAGATGTTTGGCTAGTCTTGTCAAGCATATTTAGCTAATTGACTGACATGAGCCCGAAATTTTCTTGATTAAAAGTATGAACTTTATCAAGTCACTAGATGTAGAATTTCTTCACTAAATATATGTTTAACATGTACGGTGTATTATCAGGTATCATATACAGTGAAATCATCCTGTTAATCCAGAGACGGCCTGTGGGGATTTTGTGTTAGAAATGGTCTCAAGCAACCAATGCTGGTCATAAGAGGTAGCAAAATGGTTCAGAGGCTTTTATTTGGATGAGATCATGTCATCATACCCCGACGATGTGCATCGTTGTTGATAATACCAATCACTTGATAGTTTGGTGCCGATTTGATGGGGGCGGTGGGGTAGCCTCGTGGTTAAAGCGTTTACTTGTCACGCCGAAAACCTGGATTCGATTCCCCACATGGGTACAATGTGTGAAACCCATTTCTGGTGTCCCCCCACCGTGATATTGCTGGAATATTGCTAAAAGCGGCATAAAAACATACTCATTCACTCACTCACTCCAGACTTGATTATTTTCAGGCTGCTTTCACGTTTATAGAGAAACACAACTACACAACCGTTATTCGTTAATGTGGAAATTGTAATTGTTAAATTAAATGTTACAACCTTGCATAGGTGACATGTTTTTCATAAACAAGAAGAGGCTCATATGTTTAATTTCACGTTTTTTCATAATCGATCTATCAATCTTAGATCATGTTGATGATGAGATGCTTTTTTTCCCTGTGGGTGCAGCTTCCCCGACCAGATCCCCCGGCAGCCAGACCTCACCCTACCATTTCAGGGGCGGGGCACACTCAGCTTCTGCACAGTAAGTCTACCCTCACAGGAGAAATATGAAACTTCGACGAGCAAAGTGACATGTTCTGTGGTTTTAGGATAGGGACAGGACACATACTGACTCTGTGGCTTTAGACAGTAGTCCGAAGCCGGAGTTTCAGCCTAGTCCTTGCCTGATAACAGATTAATTTTATCTGAAATGGTGCTACAGGACTACTCACAAGCCCTTCAGACTGCTGTGAGGTGAGGTGAAAAGGGGTTTAACGTCGCGTCAAAGATTATTGCACTTATATAGCGACGTGCGTGTGTGTGTTTGTGTGGCTGCTTGTACTAGTCTGGACTGATGCCGATTTATAGTGCTAGCTCATTGAGATACCATGCCACAGTTTAACATGAATATCCCACTCAGACACAGTTTACTGACTCCGAGCCGACCAGTCCTTGTTTTAGCCCCTTAATGCCGAGTGCCAGACAGTGTAACAACAAGTACCATCTTTTAATGTCTTCTTGTATGACGTGGCCAGGGATTGAACCCTGGACCTTCCGCTCTCCGGGGGGACTCTCTACCACTAGACCACGGAGGCGGTCCAGACTGCTATGAATAGATGCTTAATGATGTACCTTGTCTAAAGTGGCCTGCTGAACCTGGGGAGAGAAAAAAAAACTCATTCACATGCAGCATCAGAAAGTAGACTAACACTAAGTCTCTGAAAATATATAATTTTGATGGAAACAAAAGGAGCCCCTTTGAGATGGGAGATTCAGAACCTGAATCTGAAGAAAATCTAGACTTGCTTTATTTAGGGCTTTTGCATTACAGGAAGAGCTATGCAAAAGGGAAAATCATATGGTTCAGGGACTGTGAGACAGACTAGATCAGAAAGCTATGGGTGATTTTGAGAAGAATTTTTATAAGTTATGAGTTAACTTTACAAGAATATCCCAGATTTGAATAGATAAAAATAACTTTTCCCCCAATTTGTCTGCTAGGGGGCACTTAGTTTGGAATCCTTGATAAATCCCTTTATCTCAACTTTCATTAAAATACTAGCTTTGATTGGTTGAGGAGCAGGCAATTATTTTCCATGTAGCCCACTGTGAAATCAATCGAAACATACTGTAGGTAACTCGCTTATCTCACATTGGTATCGTTGCGCTGAAATAGACCAATGTTTATCGGAATGCATTGGGTAAAGGGAAGTAACTCGGTTCGTTTTTATCGTCTGCTAGCTGTCAAATGGCTCCATGAAAATGTTTTACTCAGTGAAACTTTGGACATATATTCCCGGTCTGTATGAATGAATGTCGCCGACATAAATTCGTTGTCCACCAGTCCCTAGGGGCATATGGTGTGATGTATCCTCTGTGTGAGCCTATGTACCCCGAGCCGCTGTTTACAACTTACAATGTACCACATGAGGCCCAGGTGACGCACATCCATTAGATCAGTAATTGTTACAGTTGGCCTACGCTCCCATCTGTTATGCTGATACAGTGAACTACAGTATAACAAACTCAAAAGGACCACTAATTTTAGTTATAACTGAAGTTCATTAAAAGCATTTCGACTGTCAGATGTCTTGGATGAAGTCACATTTCTTCTCTCTAGTCGTCGCATTTTATGGACAGAATATATTCAATTCAAAGGCTATAGCCTAATCACTATTGTTATTATTGTTGAGGACAAGGTGTCAGTACTTAATCCAGTTAATCACTTGCCTTCATATGTTTATTGCCACTTTGAACAGCCACGGATGTTTTGATTGGCTGATTAGTGACGCCTGAGCAACTCAATTTTTAACAATTCGTTATAAACATAAACATTTTCAATTTTTTTGTTATAAGCGTGTTTGTTATATCCATCAATTTTATATGATAAAATATACAGCAAATGGCTGGGACAAAAAAACAACAGTTTGTTATATACCGTATTCGACGTAATAAGCACCCTGCTCTAATAAGCGCCCATGGCGATATTGGCTAATACATTGGCTAGTGAACAATCCCAATTAGCACCCCTTCCGATTGATCAATTTACACAAGATTCATTTATTCGTGTATAATACGCACCCGTGTGTTTTATGCACCCTTAATTATGGGCAATTAAATTCTGGAAAATATATCTGTTGTGTATGATACGCACATACTTTTCTTTTGTATCATTTCAGGGTCAGCATAAACTGCGAAATTTACTATCTTTCAACTCTTTTTTTTCACCAAAAATTATGTTCTAATAAGAGCCCCTATTTCTAATTTTGAGAGCGCCCCGGGCACTTATTACATCGAAGATGGTACTTCAGTTTGTTGAAACATGTTTGTTATATACAAAGTTTACTGTATATCCACCTCCATTTTATACTGCAGTTGTCGATATAAAGGAAATGCAGAATCTTTGACAATGAAATGCTCTGATTTTCAGTTACTCCAGCTCCCAACCTCAACCGGTGAGTTTGTAACTAGAGGAGGAATAGTGAACACTTCAACAGGTTGTCATTCATGTTTTGACTTGACTTGCACAGGAGTGAATAGGGCTTTACGCCGCTTTTAGCAAAATTCCAGCAATATCATGGTGGGGGACACCAAAAATAGGCTTCACACATTGCATTCATGAGGGGAATTGAACCCGGGTCATCGGCATGACGAGTGAATGCTTTACCCTGTAGGCTACACCACTGCCCCCCTGACTTACAAGACAACCATACAGAGGTACTTTCTTCACACAAATGCAGGATTCCTGTCTTTCATGATTTTCATTTGTGGAACAGTCAAAGAATGGAAGCTTTTATTGGGAGGTGTGGACAAAATGTATTATAGTTACACTTGTTTTCTTCTTCAAAGATATGGGCTCTGTGGGGATTCTGGGTTTTAAAAGTTATTGACTGTCTCCAGTGAGTGAGTGAGTGAGTGTGTATGGTTTTACGCTGCTTTTAGCAATATCATGGCTGGGACACCAGAAATGGGCTCCACACATTGTACCCATGTCGGGAATCAAACCCGGGTCTTCGGCGTGACGACCGAAGGCTTTGACCACTAGGCTACCCGACCGCCCCTGGCCTTCTCCAAACAAACACGGATAAGGCATGAAATCTTTACTAGACAGACGGCCATCTACTTTACGTTTCAGCAAGCCCTTTGTAATTTTACCTGGCCATAGGCCAACAAGCCAGCAGTTAAATCGACCCCTGGATTAGATCTGTAGCTTGATCGGTAAATATTATTGAAACACTTGAATGTGTTTTTTGTGTTGCTTGCAAATGGAACCATTCCATCAATGAAAGAAAGTAGTCGTAAGAATGTCCAAATAAACCCCTTTTGAATTAAACTTGGGTGCTAATTTTAGCCTGGAAATGTGATCATTGGCTGTAAGATGTGTTAAAAAGGCCTTGGGTTTTGTAGCTTCAGTTTATTATGGACCGTGCATTACATTGTGTTATTCTGTATCCTTCTGGCAGCAGATGTCCGGAACCTCACCAATGACATCAGGCCGCATCTCTGTGAGGACACCACCCTCTGATGGCAGAATTGGTACACTCTTCCACCAAGGTACTTCTGTAGCTTCTTTTTTATATGATTTATGATTACCCTGCTGTACTGACGATGATTATCCTGCTTTACTGACTATGATTACCCTGCTGTACTGACGATGATTACCCTGTTGTACTGACGATGATTACCCTGCTGTACTGACGATGATAACCCTGCTGTACTGACGATGATTACCCTGCTGTACTGACGATGATAACCCTGCTGTACTGACGATGATTACCCTGCTGTACTGACGATGATTACCCTGTTGTACTGACGATGATTACCCTGCTGTACTGACGATGATAACCCTGCTGTACTGACGATGATAACCCTGCTGTACTGACGATGATTACCCTGCTGTACTGACGATGATTATCCTGCTTTACTGACTATGATTACCCTGCTGTACTGACGATGATTACCCTGCTGTACTGACGATGATTACCCTGCTGTACTGACGATGATTATCCTGCTTTACTGACTATGATTACCCTGCTGTACTGACGATGATTACCCTGCTGTACTGACGATGATTACCCTGCTGTACTGACGATGATTACCCTGCTGTACTGACGATGATAACCCTGCTGTACTGACGATGATTACCCTGCTGTACTGACAATGATTACCCTGCTGTACTGACAATGATTACCCTGCTGTACTGACGATGAGTACCCTGCTGTACTGACGATGATTACCCTGCTGTACTGACAATGATTACCCTGCTCTATCTGGTTTCAGCCAGCAGCCAGGTCACACCCATCCAGGACTTCCACAGATCACAAACACCACAGTAGGTACATCCACACTCACAGATTCAGCCTCAGTTTTTCTTGAAATTTTAATCAAAGTTGCAGTGAAATATTTTTAATATGAAAAAATTCATAGGTTATATTAATTTTATCACCCTTTTCAAGACATAAACTTGGTATGTCCCATAAACTATGGGGAAAAAACAGAAAATGTATTTCAGAGAGAGCAATACTTAAATCTACTTCAGAGCCAAAACAGCAGTTTCCTTGCCAAACATTATTGTGTCCTGAAAGCCTTAGTATTGCATAGACCATAGAAACATTATAGGTATAGATGTATATATTCACAGACAAAAGAAACGTGAATACCATACATGTTGGCTAATATATGAAGAAGTACTTGTATACAAGAGATATTAGATATGCACAAACGAACATACTGTTATGTTGTTGGAACTCATGCTCATGAACGCATCACGAGACGTTATAGATCTATGATTCAAGATGCACCATTTGACTTGTGCAGGATTAGCGTGTACATTGTGGAAATCAGGTGCAGCATATCGTGATAAGAATAAAGACAGGCTGTGGTAACACTTGACTGATTTTTAGTTTTGTCATTAACCACATTGGAAACATCTCTTCTTAACGTCCATACTTCTCTACATGTTTCTATGGTTCGTGTATATTTTGGCGGTGACTATATAATGTACTTACGAAAAACTGGTTGATCACCCACCAGATGTGACCTGTCTATCATTACTTAACACAGCAAATTTTGCAGGAGTAATGTTGGTTGCTGTGTGACATTCTGTGTTTTAGATCCCTCCCACACCCCATCAGTCTGCCAAGTCCTTCACCAAAACGTCCATTTTGAAGAAGAGCAATCACTGGCAAGTTGATGTGAAGATTGTCCACCTTGAGCTTGTATGTTAGGTTGTACAAAGTCTATATTGTTAATAAACTGAACAAATACAGGACAATTGTTGTTGTGAATGTGAATAACGGGAAAGATTGTGGAGAATGGGTTCCCAGTAACTTATGCTTGTCCTTGGAGTCGGCTTAGTGGATCACTCTAGCTATGTGATTTGGTTTATAAGTGTCTTGTATTTTAACATCATAATATAATGTCAATCGCTTGTTCAGACTCAATTCTTTGCAGGCCGCCTCATAGCTGAAATATTGCATGCTGAATAGGGCTGAAAACAGTACAGTATTCGACGTAATATGCGCCCGCTCTAATAAGCGCCCACGGCGATATTTCTTAATATATCGGCTTGTGAACAATCCCAATCAGCACCCCTTCCGATTGATCAATGTACAAAAGACTTATTTATTCGCGTATAATACGCACTCGTGTGTTATATGCATCCTTAATTAAGGGCAGTTAAATTCGGGACAAATATGTATGTCGTATATAAACATTTCAGGATGTCAGCATAAACCTTGAAATTTATCTTTCAACTCTTTTCAACTCTTTTCAACTTTTTTCACCAAAATAGTATTCTAGTAAGAGCCTCCTATTTCTTATTTTGAGAGCGCTTATAACGTTGGATACGGTAATACGATTGTTACAATTCTGGTGGTTTGTGGGGATACCAGGATAAAAGTGACCCCCAGTCAGTATGCTTGTAACAGGAGATGAATGGATGGTCAGGCTTGGTGACTTGGTTGGTTGTTATCTTAATTTACAACGCCAGCATTAGTGGTTGTCGCTATCAATCACTAGTTTGTCTGCTCCAGATGCCATTATTTACAGGCCAGCTGTGTGGCAGAGAACAGTATCAAACTGATCTGGTTGTTCTTTCTATGTTACAAGGAGATGGGGGTTGATTTTAAGTTGCTTTGTTGATTGGTTTGTTGTTTAATGCCGTACTCAGCAATATTTCAGCTATATGACGGCGGTCTGTAAATAATCAAGTCTTGACCAGACAATCCAGTGATTGACATCAAAAGCATCGATCCACGCAAGTGGGATACCATGACATGCATCAACCAAGTCAGCAAGCCTGACCACCGGATCCCGTTAGTCGCCTCTTACGACAAACATGACAAACATAGTTTCCTCTTACGGCAAGAATGGGTTGCTGAAGACCCCTTCTACCCTGGATCATCAGGGGGCTAACTTTAAGTACTGGCGTGAATGTGAATCACTTGGTTAAAATAGCCTGCGCTCTGCACCATACCGAGTTCAGTTCATATGGACTTATGCCATAACCTGTGGCATCTCGCAGTCCCAAATAGCAATCATCATTAAAGCACTTCGACTCTCCTGTGCATCTTCCGTAGTCAAGGGCGTTAACTGACTGAAAGTGGAAACTGGACTTTTACAGTCAGTTAACTCCCGTGCCTCGAAAAGCTGTTTCTGTGAGGATTCTGGGTACATGATTGTTGCAAGTAGCTAAAGTGTGGATTGGTGTGGTCACACTCAGACTCTGTTGATAGCATGTCACATACAAGTCTGTGGTCACACTGACATATACTGGACATGGAGAGTGTATCCTTCAACTACTTACACACCTTTCAAGAAGAATAAGGTCACTTTCAATGTGCCACTTGACATATTCATTCCTAATGTTTGATTTACTGTCGGGCAAAAGAAAGTACATGTATACACCCTTTGAGGGTGGCTAAAAATATAACAAACAAGAACTGGTTAGTCGATGGTGATGTATTTCTTATGGGTATCATAGTTGTGTTTTGGACATAGGTTTGCAGATTTTCCGGACTGTTTTCAGTGTAGTAATGTTTTGATCAAGTTTGTATTTGTTTGGTCAAATCCCATTTTCAAGTGTATATTTTCTTTTCCTTGTCGGGGGAACTTGAACTTGTGAAAATGATCACTGCTCCAGTAAAAGTTGACAGCAAAATGACAAGGTGAGCTATAATACATTGGTACTATTCCTTTTGATCCACCTGTCCTGGGTATGCATGATACCATAAATGATTAAGAACTTATGGCTTACCCAGTCGATAGTTTTGAACCCCCGATCAAGAGTAGTACAATACAAAGACACTGGGTAGTTGTATGTACGATTACAGAGTTCAGCGTCGACTCCAAATGTTTAAATACTAACTTGGGGGCACGGGTGGCCCAGTCGTCTAAGGCCCCGCGATTCGCTGTGCAGAGTCGCGTCCCTTGGGCACGCCAGAAACTTATGATTGTGGGTTCGAATCCCGGTTCGCCTTGATCGTTTCCAGGTTTGTCAGCACCATACCCGTGCTCATGGGTTTCACAAGTGGTAAACGTCTGAGACCTGCATCACTTCGGACTTTCCTCCCACATTAAGCTGACACGCCCTGATATAACTGGAATACTGTTAAAAGCGGTGTTAAACTCAACTCACTCACTAAATACAAAATTATTCATTTTTGATAAGTTCAAATATTAAAACAGTCATGAAGTAACATCCTTTCGAGTGGGTAAAAAAGTAATGTTGTTTGTGTATGAGGAAAAGGCGCGTCGTCATCAAAGTATAAATCTATATATATACTACAGAGGGTTAGCCTGGAGGTTAAAACGTTCTCCCGTTGCTCCACAAAATAAAACATGTGAAGCACATTTGTGGTGTCTCTAGTTCGCTCTAGTTTCGACCCTTGGACACGCCAGAAACCAATGAGTCGATTCTCGGTTCATCCGCATTATGTTTCTGTGTTGGTCAGCGCCATAACGGTGCTCGTGGGTAAACGTACGAGACCTGCATCACGTCGGGCTTTCCTCACTCATTAAACTGACACGCCGTGATATAACTGGAATACTGTTCAAAGCGGCGTTAAATCTAACTCACTCACTCGACCCGTGAAGATCCGTTTTAGCATTGGTCTTCTGCAAACCATGCTTCTCGTAAGAGGCGACTAACGGGATCGGGTGGTCAGGCACTCTGCTTTGGTGGATGCATGTCGTATTCCAATTGCGTAAATCGATGCTCATGATGTCAATCACTGGATTGACTGGTCCAGACTCGAATATTTACAGACCACTGGAATATTGCTGAGTGCAGCGTTAAACAACGAACACTCAATCAACCTTGTGTCCCTCGCCGTGATATTGCGGGAATATTGCTATAAAGCGACGTGAAACCACATTCACTCACTCATACTACTAACAGTTGTACGTACCCGTGAATCCGGGGTGGAATAGGTCTTCAGCAACCCTACTTGCCGTAAAAGGTGACAATGCTTGTCGTAAGAGGCGACTAACGGGATCGGGTGGTTAGGCTCGCTGACTTGGTTGATGCATATCATCGATCCCAGTTGCCGTCATATAGGTGGGACATTGCTGAGTCCGGCGTTAAACGACAAACAAAAACAGTTGTACGTTCTATGTGGTACTCATCTTAAGTGTAATAAGACAGCTATTCTAACTGTAGTAGTTCCAGCACACGTATAAACATAGCCATTGGTTGTACATTGATTATAAACCTACTGCTATTTAAGTGTAGGTATCTTCCAATTTCGTAATAACATCTTGGGAGGTTTTACTTTTTCCTAGTAAGACCTCATCCCCGGGTATGAAGTGTTACTTTTTCCTGGTAAGACCTCATCCCCGGGTATGAAGTTTTACATTTTCCTGGTAAGACCTCATCCCCGGGTATGAAGTTTTAACTTTTTCCTGGTAAGACCTCATCCCCGGGTATGAGGTTTTACTTTTTCCTGGTAAGATCTCATCCCCGGGTATGAAGTGTTACTTTTGTCCTGGTAAGACCTCATCCCCGGGTATGAAGTGTTACTTTTTCCTGGTAAGACCTGATGGTAGTAGATGAGATTTGTACTTGGTGTTTCAAACGTCCAATGTTATAATATCGAAGACAAGACATGAAAGTTTCCATTATGGATGACGGCAATAGAAATTGCAACCTCACACATCGTGTTTACTTTTGTAACCAACTGTTTTCCCACTGATCCACCGTGGCAGGTGATGAGAAGTTGTTCAGTTTTAAGTTCTTCATGCTGCAAGATATCATTACACAATTCTGAAAGTTTGTTGATTTACCGTCTTCAGAAAAGATCCCTTAATTCCCCTCGCGCAGGAAATTCGATGTCTGTGTTCTCATACATTTTATTAATTGAGATCCCCAGTTCCCAAGTTTGATACCAATCAGATCGTGTTTCAAATTTTGAAAAAAACAACCCACAAATCGGAAAATAGAAATTGGATCAATTACTCAAACAGCTTCAGTATGTAATGTTAAATCATCTTATTTGTGACATTATAAAAGAAAATGTATCTTTTCTGATTTAGTTTAACTATGGACACTTCTATATTTAGGGTCCATGGTTGAACGCAACATCGTTTGTCACATTATTATATTATTGGGGTCTGCAAAAATGGGCGTTTCATTAGAGTGACGTCCCTTAGATAATATTACAAAATGGCGACTTCCATGAGCACATGAGTTCGCTGAACATCTCAGTTGTGTGAACTATGCAATGCTAATCGGTTTTGGACTGACGCGCCTATTTTGTTCAACCGAAAAGTCTTTGTCGCGATTTGTGTCTAAGATGAGCACTTTCGTCTCTCATGCCAACCCAGTTACAGGCAAAATGGACTGGATAATTCAGGACGAAAATTATGATTACCACCAAGAAATAGCCAGGTGAGCTAAGTCTTCATGGAAACAAAACTAACATTCAATTTCTCGTTTTTAATTTCTGTCCTTGATATGCCGTTGATGCTTAGAATCTTTAAACCTACAGACGACTAATGAAGTGCAACTGAATCACACATTTTTTGAGAAACAGCTGATGATTGCCAATTTGGTTTATTGTTTGTGCTTGTACAGTCCCAAATGAGAATCAACTTTTGAGATTGTATAATTTGGAGGAAACATATTGTTAAAGCTACCGCACGTTCGCTCCACTTAAAATTCATAGTCACTTATTAACAGCTAATTAACTAAAGGGGCGGGAAAATATGATATATTCTTACCAGTATTGCTGTTTTGTATGTTTCATATATGGGCGTATGTCACTTGATTTCATGTAAAGACATTAATAAGTATAATTTACATGATTAGCATCTGGGTTGTAATGAAGGTGAATCATGTTTCAGGTCAGCTTATGCAGATATGCTGCATGACACGGAGAGGGTAAGATGTTCACTTGTCATGGTCATGCTTAATTATTACTATATAGTCATTCTGATAATGATATAAGGAGATATTGTCAAACTTCAATTACCGTTTTTGCTGTAATAAGCACCCAGTCACTAAGAAAATGGACAAAGGGGTTTGCTTATCATGCTTATGACACAAGCAAAAGTTCGTTGTTAGTGATTGAGCAAACTCGAGTGGGGTGCTTATCAATGCACTGACCAGTTGCAACGATGTTAAAGGGCCATTATATCGACTTTTCTGATTTGCTTCAAACAAATTAGTGATGCAATCTATAATCGGGATCTATTTTGTAATAATGTACACATGCTCTGCAAATCCTGCAAACAACCTAAATCTGCATAGCTGATGCCATATTTGGGGGGGGGGGGGAGGGGTATGAATCAAATGTTGATTTTCCTACGCAATTTTTATCGGACTGTGCATGGACTTGTTAGTCCAGCCAAAATATGACTCTGTAATTCTGGCCTAGTTTGGCAAGGATGAAAACTGGACTTTTACAGTCAGTAAACTTCCTTCACTCAGGAAGATGGGATTGTCAAGCAATATTGCTCATTTCATATTCAACCAAATTCGCTCCATCATCTGTGAAGATAATGTCGGAAGAGGTAATAACTACTACATAATTCATACATTATTGTAGTCAGTTTATTTGTACATTTATCTGTTTGATCCTTGCAGAACCAAAAGTACTATGATGCCTTGAAAATAGCCATTAAGATGCTACATGATCGAGGGGAAAAAGCTCATGTCCTTGACATTGGAACAGGAACTGGTCTTCTGTCCATGATGGCAGCCTCCGCTGGCGCTGACTCTGTAACTGCATGCGAGGTGAGGATGTAGCATGGAAATAACAGATGTCGTACATAGGAACTGATATTCAAGCTGACATTTTCAGTTAAAGGATGTTGTTTGAGTTTTCTCCAGCAAATTATTATCTTTAGTTCACAGACATGATATGAGCTGATGAGTAATATACTATTGAAAGATGAATTAACTGAGGAGTGAGTATCCTGTAGATGTTTCAATTTAGGACATGTAAATTATATATAATGACATATTGCCAATGTTAGGATGTGATGGATTCCGTTTGTATTGTAAACTAGGTTTGAATGTCAGTAAGTTGTACATGAGGCAAACTAGAAATGTATGACCAACCAGCTATAACATTTCCCAAACCATGATGTGCTTCAAACCACAGACCTTCTGATCCGAGGTGGGACACCTTGTCCACATGACCAAAGAGGTTAACCCCATCGTCAAGCTGACAAGGTTAGGATGTCGTCTTTGGGATGACTCCAGGCCCTGTTTTACTGTTGACATGAGCAAAAATATAGATCTTGTCCTTGATCACGTTGATATGATATACATTTCTTGATTTTCTAGGCATTCAAACCCATGGCAAAGTGTGCTAAAAAGATCATGCAGAGAAACAAGTTGGGGGACAAAATTAGTCTGATTCCAAAGAGATCAACTGAGATGACAGTTGGTCCAGGTGAGTTGTACTCTGTGGGGTTAGCAGGGGAATGGAAATCAATGTCTGATTTGTCCGACCTGTTATGTGAGAATGCCGGACAAGCAAAAGATCCAGCATCTGTAGATTTGTTGTAACATTGTGAACTGATCGATCCGTTCAGAGACATGGTGGCTTGCATTCCACAGTTCATGGTTTTGGCTGTTGATAAGGGCTCAGATTATTGTTGCCAGAGCATAACAACATTTGTTCTTCAAATTGCCTATATTTAATGACTCGGGACCACGGAAAAGTTCTACTTTGTATTTTGTCTCCTTACATGACTCTAAGTTATCCATTTTCAAACAGTGTTAAATGATGATGTACTTATTCATGTCTTTTGGGTTACCCAGTTTCTATTTTACCAGAATAAACTGTATACATGATATACACAAGGTTTAAACATGATAAACACAAGGTATACACATGGTATAAACAAGGTATACACATGATATAAACAAGGTATACATTATATAAACAATTTCTACACATGGTAAAAACAAGGTATACATGATATAAACAAGGTATACACATGGTATAAAAAGGTACACATGATATAAACAAGGTATACAAGATATAAACAATTTCTACACATGGTATAAACAAGGTATACACATGATATAAACAAGGTATACATGGTATAAAAAGGTATACACATGATATAAACAAGGTATACATTATATAAACAATTTCTACACATGGTATACACATGATATAAACAAGGTATACATGATATAAACAAGGTATACACATGATATAAACAAGGTATACACATGATATAAACACGTACACATGATATAAACAAGGTATACACATGGTATACACATGATATACACATGACCTTTATCTGCAGATGGTGATATGCCCCACAGAGCCAATATTCTGGTGACCGAGGTGTTTGATACGGAACTGATTGGTGAGGGCGCCATAGGAACATTCAACCATGCACACAAGGAACTGCTGGTGGTATGTATACAGCAGCCATGCATGCAGCTGATTGTTCAATTCCTCCAGTCACTTGACCACAAAACATGCTGAATATTGTCTTTTAAGTAAATGTTTTAGTCAATAAGTAGGCAATCTAGTGTTTGATAGTGTGTGCATCAGTCCACGTCCCATCATGGCGTAGTGACACTCGAAGCCAGATCACACATTATAACTACACGATCTTGACAGTCGGCTCTCATCATAACCATGTGGTGCTGGTGAACGTGGATCTAGAGGGTGGTGTAGGGTGCCCAACCCCCAAGGTTGAAGCAATACAGAATGTTAGATGCTTGGAAGTTTTATATGTAATCCAGACCCCAGTGAGATTCTGACTTGCCCATAGTAACCTATGGCTGTTGTACATGGTGAGTTAATTGATCGGATAGACTCGCTTGGTGACTTGGTTGATTGCATGTTTCTGGAGTGGATCATTAATCTTGACATCAATCACTGATTTGTCTGGTCCAGACTTGGTTCAGGGTTTTACTCGACGCAGAAATGTTCTTCCAGTACACACAAATGTATAGAATGGATGCAGAAAAATATAAAATGTGTCCCGATGTGGGTACAAAAATATTCATGGTACCAAATTCTTGACAAAAGATATTTAGTTCCTTTAATTAAAGTACTTATTAAATCTCTTACAGTACAAGTACTTATTAAATCTCTTACCATGCTTACAGTACAGTACACTTTACCATTTTATTACATTACAGGACCCTGATAGGACCCACAAAATTAGTAATTGTAGGTCAAGGTAAAACCATGCTCGATTGTTTACAGGCCGCCATATTGTTGGAATTTCTCTGCCAGGTGTTATACATCAAACAAACCTTACATGTGATCGGATGAGGCAATGATGCATGGATTGTGATGCTGCCCTACTTTTCCATAAGACCTGTCTCCATGATTGTACTGGGCACCTCCACAGAGATATGAACCAAACTCTATTAAGGTGAAGGTCCATACTTCACAGTTGTAGTGCAAAGGTGTCAAGATATTTCCTCTTTTCCCAGGAAGACTGTTTAGTCATCCCTAGAGCTGCCAACATGTTCGCACAGCCAGTGTCTTCAGAATTGGTACGGCGCTGGAACCAGATTGACACCTCGAACATGGATGGCAGTGTTCCAGGTGCAGTGTCGCGGTGTGGTGGAGCGCCGTCCCTGCATGACCTCCAGCTGGACCAGCTACCACCACAGCAGTTCACGCCGCTGTCGGCGCCATTGATGGTGTTTAGGTAGGAGCCCTCAGGAGCAACCCAACATTCACACACTTGGTACCAAACTCTTACCTGGGTGGACTGCAATGTCAGGCTAAAAAAAATAGTCTTGGTTCTCAAGCACCGCCCGAATCATTATAAAGTCAGCCGCATGTTTTGTTTTTATTTCCATTTTCAAAAGAATTAAAAAATCCTAATACCCGGTATTTAAAAACAGTGCAATCCAATATAGCACACAAGTTACTCCCCTTACATATGCACTGCTTTACTGTGCATCTTGTTTTATGGTCATAGTGGCAATTGGAGTTTGTATGCTTGTTTGTGTAGGGAGGCCCTTTCCCAGGGTGATGGTACACAACTGTTTATTTGGTCACATACTAGTTTGAACAAGCAAAGAAAAAGAAACAAACACCACCTGCCCGCACTATATTTTCAAAAGACGTTATCTGGGAACCAATTTTTCATTTAATTTTTTTTAAGCCTCAGATTAACTGTATTTGTCTTCAGAAGGGTTGTTGGATAAACAGTGTTTTTTTTATTTCTCTTTGGTAGGGTTGTTGGATTAACAAGATTTCACTATATTTCTCACTGGCAGGGTTCTTTAGGATTTGACTGTAATTCATAGTTGTGAGGTTGTCAGATTAATCAGGTCACACTGTATATGACATTGACAGGTTTGACTTCAACTGTAAAGGGGGTCTGATGTCTGACCGGAGGAGTGAAGTTACGGTGTCTGCAGACAATGATGGGACTGTGGATGCTATCTTCATGTGGTGGGACTGTGAGATGGACCCTAAAGGGGAGATAACTCTTAGCTGTGCACCTCGATGGGCCCATCCAGATGGAAGTGACTTGCCGGTAAGGTGATATATCTGGTGATATTTGTCACTTTGTAACCATGACAAACTGCCCTCAGTGTTGGCATCAAGAATCAGGTTCCATCTTCCCGAGGCAAGGGAGTTAACTGACTATAAAAGTCCAGTTTCCACCCTTGCCGAACAAGGCTGGAATTTCTGGGCTCGATCATAGCGCCTCCAGTGGCCAATACGAGTTACGTTCCTTCTATACCTCTCCTATTGACCAATCAGATTCCACCTCTCATATCACTTGCATTTGCTTCAAACAAAATGGCGGATCCCAGTCAAGACGATCTGATCGATAATCAAGATCTTTATTGTGATAAAACAGGTCTTACTTCGCAAAGTGCATCAAATCAAGTGAGCACCTTGATGAAAAACATGAAAAGATTTATGAAAATATCTGTTGACGCAGAGTTGTTGGTACACATGCTTTGCAAATCGTGCGATCGACCGAAATCTGCAAGTCAGTTTACGACCAGATGTTGATTATGTTACGCGATTTTGATTGGACTATGCATAGACTCGTTAGTCCAGCCAATATAGAACTCCACTATTCCAGCCTAGTTCAAGGGTGGAAACGGGACTTTTATAGTTAGTTAACTCTCTTGCCTTAGGAAGATGATCTGGTTCGTGCTTCATTAGATTCTGTGAGGGAGAAGAAAACAAAGAAGAAAATATGTTTCAGATTAATCATTTGTAAAAATGTTAGAAGAATATATTGTCATGTGTACAGTGTTGGTTAAGCTTGACTCATAGTTTAACAAATTGCACATTTGTTTTGTTGTAAATATAAGTAAGTTTGTATTATTTACCATAAAAAATGTGTATTTCAATTTTGTTTTTTCAATTTGATATTTTTCGTAAAGAAAATATGGACAGAAATCATTTTACAAAAATAACCAGCATTGGTTGGTACGAGCCTGGGTAAATCGGTAAACCCACATACACAAACATAAACATTATGTTGATGACTGTCATTCAGGACAAAATGTTTTGTAGTCAATCATTAATCGACTGAATTGGTAGCATGCTGAAGATGAGGATGTTGACTTGTGATTATAATGATGATGGTGATAATGGTGGTGATGAGGATGTCAATGTTGTAGTGGCGGGATCACTGGATGCAGGCTATCTACTACCCCAGCAACCCCTTGACCGTGTCCCGGGGTAAACCTTTCAGCCTCGTCAGTTGCCATGACGAGTACAGTCTCTGGTTCGATGTCACTAAGCAGGGGTATGTTGTGTAGTTTTGGAATTTGTTTGTCACAGATAATCATGCCTTTTTTTGTTTCTTGATCAAGTACAAAGGCATGAGGTATTTCTAGTACTACTTAGCCTATGATGTTGATGTATAGAGGAAAAAAGGGTCTAAATTTCTTTTTCGGTTCTGTATCTAAACTATTATCACACATTGTTGATCTGAGTTAGATATTTATCTCCTTGAAGTTGTTGGTAATATCCGCTTTAGCTTAAAATAGGTCCCCAGCAACCTTGTTGTGAGGCTAAGCGATGTATTGGGTGGTCATGCCACAAGATCTTTTGTATGTTCCAGAGATACCTCGCATGTATTGGAGCGGCCATTGTGTACCTGTGGGTTTCACACGACCCTGAGTCGGACGCGAATCGGGATGATGGGGGACCCGCACCGAGTCAGCATCTACCAGGCTGCTCTCAAGAAGGTAGGCACTCCATCTACATCTCACATCTTCATCTCACATCACTGTATCAGAATGAATATGAAGCTTGTTTGATATGTGAGATGACTTGACTTATTTGGTGGTCATACTCGGTGACTTGGTTGCTAACATATCACTGTCCTCGGATGTCACTTAGTTATCTTGTCCAGACTTGATTATTTAAGACAAACAATCAATTTTCATGATTCATGTAGATTCATTTCCAGTTTAATGTGTGTATGTGTTACCATGGTTACAGACACAACTCTTCTATTTACAGAATTGCCCATTTATTACAGTGATTCTCGATTCCTTAACAGATGCTGATATATACACTGGTGGATCATGACACTTTCTGCTTGTCTTACACGGGTGGATCATGACACTGTCTGTTTGTGTTACACTGGTGGATCATGACACTGTCTGTTTGTGTTACACTGGTGGATCGTGACACTGTCTGTTTGTGTTACACTGGTGGATTGTGACGCTGTCTGTTTGTGTTACACTGGTGGATCGTGACACTGTCTGTTTGTGTTACACTGGTGGATTGTGACGCTGTCTGTTTGTGTTACACTGGTGGATCGTGACACTGTCTGCTTGTGTTACTCTGGTGGATCATGACACTGTCTGCTTGGGTTACACTGGTGTTTCATGACACTGTCTGTTTGGGTTACACTGGTGGATCGTGACACTGTCTGTTTGTGTTACACTGGTGGATTGTGACGCTGTCTGTTTGGGTTACACTGGTGGATCGTGACACTGTCTGCTTGTGTTACTCTGGTGGATCATTACACTGTCTGCTTGGGTTACACTGGTGTTTCATGACACTGTCTGCTTGGGTTACACTGGTGGATCAGGACACTGTCTGTTTGTGTTACACTGGTGGATCAGGACACTGTCTGTTTGTGTTACACTGGTGGATCGTGACACTGTCTGCTTGGATTACACTGGTGGATCATGACACTGTCTGCTTGGGTTACATTGGTGGATCATGACACTGTCTGCTTGTGTTACACTTGTGGATCATGACACTGTGCTTTTGTTACACTAGTGGATCATGACACTGTGTTACACTGGTGGATCATGACACTGTGCTTGTGTTACACTGGTGTATCGTGACACTGTTTGTGTTACACTGGTGTATCGTGACACTGTCTGTTTGTGTTACACTGGTGGATCATGACACTGTCTGTTTGTGTTACACTGGTGAATCGTGACACTGTCTGTTTGTGTTACACTGGTGGATCATGACACTGTGCTTGTGTTACACTAGTGGATCATGACACTGTCTGTTTGTGTTACACTGGTGGATCATGACACTGCTTGTGTTACACTGGTGTATCGTGACACTGTTTGTGTTACACTGGTGGATCATGACACTGTTTAAGTTACACTGGTGGATCATGACACTGTGCTTGTGTTACACTAGTGGATCATGACACTGGCTGCTTGTGTTACACTGGTGGATCATGACACCGGCTTCTTGTGTTACACTGGTGGATTATGACACTGTGCTTGTGTTACACTGGTGGATCATGACACTGTCTGCTTGTGTTACACTGGTGGATCATGACACTGTGCTTGTGTTACACTGGTGGATCATGACACCGGCTTCTTGTGTTACACTGGTGGATTATGACAGTGTGCTTGTGTTACACTTGTGGATCATGACACTGTCTGCTTGTGATACACTGGAGGATCATGACACTGATTGTGTTACAATGGTGGATCATGAAACTGATTGTGTTACAGTGGTGGATCATGACACTGATTGTGTTACACTGGCGGATCATGACACTGATCGTGTTACACTGGTTGATCATGACACTGTCTGTTTGTGTTACACGGGTGGATCATGACACTGATTGTGTGACACTGGTGGATCATGACACTGATTGTGTTACACTGGTGGATCATGACACTGATTGTGTTACACTGGTGGATCATGACACTGTCTGCCTGTGTTACACTGGTGGATCATGACACTGTCTGCTTGTGTTACACTGGTGGATCATGACACTGATTGTGTTACACTGGTGGATCATGACACTGTCTTCTTGTGTTACACTGGTGGATCATGACACTGTCTTCTTGTGTTACACTGGTGGATCATGACACTGTCTGCTTGTGTTAAACTGGTGGATCATGGCACTGTCTGCTTGTGTTACACTGGTGGATCATGGCACTGTCTGCTTGTGTTACACTGGTGGATCATGACACTGTCTGCTTGTGTTACACTAGTGGATCATGACACTGATGGTGTTACACTGGTGGATCGTGACACTGTCTGCTTGTGTTACACTGGTGGATCATGACACTGTCTGCTTGTGTTACACTAGTGGATCATGACACTGATGGTGTTACACTGGTGGATCGTGACACTGTCTGCTTGTGTTACACTAGTGGATCATGACACTGATGGTGTTACACTGGTGGATCGTGACACTGTCTGTTTGTGTTACACTGGTGGATCATGACACTGTCTGCTTGTTTTACACTAGTGGATCATGACACTGATGGTGTTACACTGGTGGATCATGACACTGATGGTGTTACACTAGTGGATCATGACACTGATGGTGTTACACTGGTGGATCGTGACACTGTCTGCTTGTGTTACACTGGTGGATCATGACACTGTCTGCTTGTGTTACACTAGTGGATCATGACACTGATGGTGTTACACTGGTGGATCGTGACACTGTCTGCTTGTGTTACACTGGTGGATCGTGACACTGATGGTGTTACACTGGTGGATCATGACACTGATGGTGTTACACTGGTGGATCATGACACTGATGGTGTTACACTGGTGGATCGTGACACTGTCTGCTTGTGTTACACTGGTGGATCGTGACACTGATGGTGTTACACTAGTGGATCATGACACTGATGGTGTTACACTAGTGGATCATGGCACTGTCTGCTTGTGTTACACTGGTGGATCGTGACACTGATGGTGTTACACTAGTGGATCATGACACTGATGGTGTTACACTAGTGGATCATGGCACTGTCTGCTTGTGTTACACTGGTGGATCATGACACTGTCTGCTTGTGTTACACTGGTGGATCATGACACTGTTTCTTGTGTTACACTAGTGGATCATGACACTGATGGTGTTACACTGGTGGATCGTGACACTGTCTGCTTGTGTTACACTGGTGGATCATGACACTGATGGTGTTACACTGGTGGATCATGACACTGATGGTGTTACACTGGTAGATCATGACACTGTCTGCTTGTGTTACATCATGACACTGTCTGCTTGTGTTACACTGGTGGATCATGACACTGATGGTGTTACACTGGTGGATCGTGACACTGTCTGCTTGTGTTACACTAGTGGATCATGACACTGTCTGCTTGTGTTACACTAGTGGATCATGACACTGATGGTGTTACACTGGTGGATCATGACACTGATGGTGTTACACTAGTGGATCATGACACTGATGGTGTTACACTGGTGGATCGTGACACTGTCTGCTTGTGTTACACTGGTGGATCATGACACTGTCTGCTTGTGTTACACTAGTGGATCATGACACTGATGGTGTTACACTGGTGGATCGTGACACTGTCTGCTTGTGTTACACTGGTGGATCATGACACTGATGGTGTTACACTGGTGGATCATGACACTGATGGTGTTACACTGGTGGATCGTGACACTGTCTGCTTGTGTTACACTGGTAGATCATGACACTGTCTGCTTGTGTTACATCATGACACTGTCTGCTTGTGTTACACTGGTGGATCATGACACTGATGGTGTTACACTGGTGGATCGTGACACTGTCTGCTTGTGTTACACTAGTGGATCATGACACTGTCTGCTTGTGTTACACTAGTGGATCATGACACTGATGGTGTTACACTGGTGGATCATGACACTGATGGTGTTACACTAGTGGATCATGACACTGATGGTGTTACACTGGTGGATCGTGACACTGTCTGCTTGTGTTACACTGGTGGATCATGACACTGTCTGCTTGTGTTACACTAGTGGATCATGACACTGATGGTGTTACACTGGTGGATCGTGACACTGTCTGCTTGTGTTACACTGGTGGATCATGACACTGATGGTGTTACACTGGTGGATCGTGACACTGATGGTGTTACACTGGTGGATCGTGACACTGTCTGCTTGTGTTACACTGGTAGATCATGACACTGTCTGCTTGTGTTACATCATGACACTGTCTGCTTGTGTTACACTGGTGGATCATGACACTGATGATGTTACACTGGTGGATCGTGACACTGTCTGCTTGTGTTACACTAGTGGATCATGACACTGTCTGCTTGTGTTACACTAGTGGATCATGACACTGTCTGCTTGTGTTACATCATGACACTGTCTGCTTGTGTTACACTGGTAGATCATGACACCGGCTGCTTGTGTTACACTGGTAGATCATGACACTGTCTGCTTGTGTTACACTGGTGGATCATGACACCGGCTGCTTGTGTTACACTGGTGGATCATGACACTGTGCTTGTGTTACATCATGACACTGTCTGCTTGTGTTACACTGGTGGATCATGACACCGGCTGCTTGTGTTACACTGGTAGATCATGACACTGTCTGCTTGTGTTACACTGGTGGATCATGACACCGGCTGCTTGTGTTACACTGGTGGATCATGACACTGTGCTTGTGTTACATCATGACACTGTCTGCTTGTGTTACACTGGTGGATCATGACACCGGCTGCTTGTGTTACACTGGTAGATCATGACACTGTCTGCTTGTGTTACACTGGTAGATCATGACACTGTCTGCTTGTGTTACACTGGTGGATCATGACACTGTTCCTTGTGTTTCAGCATGTGGAAGAGGCCAGTATGTGTCTGTACATCATGACACTGTGCTTGTGTTACATCATGACACTGTCTGCTTGTGTTACACTGGTGGATCATGACACTGTCTGCTTGTGTTACACTGGTGGATCATGACACTGTTCCTTGTGTTTCAGCATGTGAAAGAGGCCAGTGTGTGTCTGTACATCATGACACTGTGCTTGTGTTACATCATGACACTGTCTGCTTGTGTTACACTGGTAGATCATAACACTGTCTGCTTGTGTTACACTGGTGGATCATGACACTGTTTCTTGTGTTTCAGCATGTGAAAGAGGCCAGTGTGTGTCTGTACATCATGACACTGTGCTTGTGTTACATCATGACACTGTCTGCTTGTGTTACACTGGTAGATCATGACACTGTCTGCTTGTGTTACACTGGTAGATCATGACACTGTCTGCTTGTGTTACACTGGTGGATCATGACACCGGCTGCTTGTGTTACACTGGTGGATCATGACACTGTGCTTGTGTTACACTGGTGGATCATGACACCGGCTGCTTGTGTTACACTGGTAGATCATGACACTGTCTGCTTGTGTTACACTGGTAGATCATGACACTGTCTGCTTGTGTTACACTGGTGGATCATGACACCGGCTGCTTGTGTTACACTGGTGGATCATGACACTGTGCTTGTGTTACACTGGTGGATCATGACACCGGCTGCTTGTGTTACACTGGTAGATCATGACACTGTCTGCTTGTGTTACACTGGTGGATCATGACACTGTTCCTTGTGTTTCAGCATGTGGAAGAGGCCAGTATGTGTCTGTACATCATGACACTGTGCTTGTGTTACATCATGACACTGTCTGCTTGTGTTACACTGGTGGATCATGACACTGTCTGCTTGTGTTACACTGGTGGATCATGACACTGTTCCTTGTGTTTCAGCATGTGAAAGAGGCCAGTGTGTGTCTGTACATCATGACACTGTGCTTGTGTTACATCATGACACTGTCTGCTTGTGTTACACTGGTAGATCATAACACTGTCTGCTTGTGTTACACTGGTGGATCATGACACTGTTTCTTGTGTTTCAGCATGTGAAAGAGGCCAGTGTGTGTCTGTACATCATGACACTGTGCTTGTGTTACATCATGACACTGTCTGCTTGTGTTACACTGGTAGATCATGACACTGTCTGCTTGTGTTACAGTGGTGGATCATGACACTGTTTCTTGTGTTTCAGCATGTGAAAGAGGCCAGTGTGTGTCTGTACATCATGACACTGTGCTTGTGTTACATCGTGACACTGTCTGCTTGTGTTACACTGGTAGATCATGACACTGTCTGCTTGTGTTACACTGGTGGATCATGACACTGTTTCTTGTGTTTCAGCATGTGAAAGAGGCCAGTGTGTGTCTGTACATCATGACACTGTGCTTGTGTTACATCATGACACTGTCTGCTTGTGTTACACTGGTAGATCATGACACTGTCTGCTTGTGTTACAGTGGTGGATCATGACACTGTTTCTTGTGTTTCAGCATGTGAAAGAGACCAGTGTGTGTCTGTACATCATGACACTGTGCTTGTGTTACATCATGACACTGTCTGCTTGTGTTACACTGGTAGATCATGACACTGTCTGCTTGTGTTACACTGGTGGATCATGACACTGTTTCTTGTGTTTCAGCATGTGAAAGAGACCAGTGTGTGTCTGTACATCATGACACTGTGCTTGTGTTACATCATGACACTGTCTGCTTGTGTTACACTGGTAGATCATGACACTGTCTGCTTGTGTTACACTGGTAGATCATGACACTGTCTGCTTGTGTTACAGTGGTGGATCATGACACTGTTTCTTGTGTTTCAGCATGTGAAAGAGACCAGTGTGTGTCTGTGCATCAGCGATGGAAGTGTGCTGCCTGTGATGGTCGCCTCGAGAGCAAGGAAGGTAACAAATCTAATCCACTGGCCCGCTAAGTGAGTGAGTGAGTGAGTGAATGTGTTTGCTTTTGTATTTCCCAGAATATTAAATGGCCAGCCCCATGCAAACAAAAACCTTTCATCAGGACTGTTGAGGATTTCATGTTATTTGTTGCTGTTGCAAACCCTGATATTGAGAATCGTTTGTTGTCAGGTGTTTGTGATTGAGACGAACCCCATGTACAAGAGGATCACTGATGCCCTCATCCAGCATAACAGTCTCAGAGACCGAGTCACCGTCATCAACAAACAGCCAAACGAGATCAGCCGCGACGACCTTGACAATATGCAGGTACAAAGTTCACATCCTCAGAACGTCTGTGTACCCGTGAAAATCCAGGGTAGAATAAGTCTTCAGCAACCCATACTTGCCGTCAAAAGCGACTATGCTTGTCGTAAGAGACGACTAACAGGATCGGGTGGTCAGGCTCGCTGACTTGGTTGAGGCATGTCATCGTATCCCAATTGCGTAAATTGATGCTCATGATGTCAATCACTGGATTGTCTGGTCCAGATTTGATTGTTTACAGACCGCTGTCATATAGCTGGAATATTGCTGAGTGTGGCGTTTAACAACAAAACAAACAGAACATCTGTGAGTGAGTTAGTGAGTTGTGTTCAGTACTGCTGTGAGCAATTTCAGTTCTATTAGGGCTTGGCACCGGCAAGCAGGGCTATAGCGCTGATAAACTGTTTCCTGATCGATAAATCTGGGATTGGCGACTGTAAAGTAAGGACCACCCAAACCAGTGATTGACATTTAGACCAGCCATTGTCACTTTGTATGACATATAGGGGCAGAGTGGGCAAGTGCCAGGCTAGCAAGCACGAGGTGCTGAGATTGAATCCTGCTAGTGACCAGGTTGTCATTCAGCCTTGGGACCAACAATGTTTACAGGTCTTTACAGTGTTGTCACAACCCTAGTGTACCGTACATACACCCTGTGCACTCAAAGCATCCACTCGTCCGATGGCCAGGTGATGGAAACACGAATACATACATACACCTGAAACACAAGTGTCAAAACATGTGACTTAGCTCCAATGTGCCTCTGTTCACCCAGCAGGAAACAGGTACCAGGTATGTCAGGTGGGTGTAAAAACATTCTAGCGCCCGGGTAGGCAGCTTGGGTTGCACACTCCAAGGGAGTTAAGAATGATACCTGAAATGCTAATGGATCCACTGGTCGGGGAACAAATAAAACCACATTTGAGCAGATACCAGTACCTGGGTACCTGCTGTATGTATAGGATAAAACAGGTCCGAGGGTTGTTATGACATTTAAAACCTTGCCCCGAGGGAAAGGGTTTTAAATATCACTAACACCCCGAGGGGAAGTGTTTTATCTAACTTATGAACCGAAAAAAGAAACTAAAAACAACATTTATCAACATTTTTATGTTTCGACCATACTTTCCATGAACATTAGGAAACGGGCGTAAAATATCTGTTGCTGGCATACGGATCTTGAAAAGGACATCCTAAAAACATTGTGATTTATCAGCACCTCTGTAGCCTTGTGGTACACTTACTGGGCTATAGATACGAAGGTTGTGAGTTCGATCCTCAGGAATATAAAGAAAATATTTGTCATTTGATTTTACATTTCATTACATGTTACAATTTGAACCGAAGTTATATAAATAAAATACCCAGGACATTATATAAAATCCATTTGATATTATTACACATGATATAGCAAACATGACTTGAATATCCTATAAAAGCCCCAGGGATATTATATAAAATCCCAGAGATATTATATAAAATCCCAGGGACATTACAGCGTCCCTGTTTATGAGATTTAACCCGACCAGAGAACAATAGGATGACGTTACTGGAGGTTTATAAGTAAATGTATAATACAATAATGACAAGCATCAGTGTATGGGACTACCTCTATCAAGGAATCCAACAGAAGGTGGGACACAGAGACTTGCAGTGTCAGAGACTTGTGTGTTTTGAGAATCTTTATTGTTCTCTTGTCGTAGTACAGCTGTTCCTGTTTTGGTGTTGAGAAGTGAAAAGACTAAAAAACAGAGCCAAAGGCAGAGTTACTTCCCTTCTTTGAATACCTTTCTGGAAATATACAAAGTGGTCTTGGTTGATTAAAAGTGAAATTCACTTACCTTTTTCCAGGAGGGAAAACAGGTATTCAAGCAGGCAAAGGGTGGATGTGAAAAGCTTTTTTAATTTTTTCATGCGTTTTTGATTGTTTTAGGATATATTTAGTTGTTTTAATCTTTCAACTTCAGTTCAAGATACTCAGTTGTCTTTGGGTATTGATTTTAGTCATAAGGTAAAAAATAACAGCTTTGGTTGTCAGGTGCCAAAAACAGTGGCTTTTGAGTTTCTTTTTCACCTAAGAGGCAATTTGAATTTACTTGTTTCAGTCTAATCTCTTTTTTATGTCACCAATCAAGATAATATTGAAACTTATTGAAAAGCCTAAAAAAGAAGTAAAAAGTAACATACAAAATAGGTTCAACATTTTTTATTTACCAGGAGACTATCAGGACTGAAAATATTTCAGATAAATAAAAAAAGTAATGAACCAGTATTTATATATTTCTTAAACATTTGAAGTCAAACTAAATATTTCCTTTGCAGGTGGATGTAGTTGTAGGGGAGCCCTACTTCTCCTCCTCCATGTTGCCATGGCACAACATCCACATGTGGTACGCCATTTACGACCTTGATGCTCACCTTGCTGCTAATGCCGTTGTTCTGCCAGGGAAGATGGTGATGAAAGCTGTTGCTATGGACTTCAACCACATGTGGAAGATTCGGGCTCCTGTTGGTGTCTGTGAGGGCTTTGATCTTACCGAGTTTGACCGGTTAATTGAAGTAGGTACCAAGCTAAAGAGAATCTCCCCCACCCCTAATCATTAGGCACTACATTGTATATGATAAATGGGGCTGTTTACTCAGGCATTGTATTCATACATAGATCCTATTGTGTCCTGGGTACTCACAGGACTACCCAGACATGTGGTTAGTCACGTGATATATTGTTTAATGATGATGATAGTCAAACTCCAAAGGTTACACAAGTCACTGAAAGTTCGCATTCCTATGCACACATTCCTTCCGACTTTTATTTGTTTGATTAAAGATAAAGCTTCAGTCAACTTCAGAGTATACACGATCAGATTGTTTTATTCGTGTATCTAAGCTGCTTTTGCCAGGACTCCAGTAAAACTTGAGACCTACAGCGGGTACCCGGCTAGGGTCGGGTAATAGGGAATGGGTACCCGGGAAGACAATTTGGACTCGCCCCAGCCCTGTATGTTAGAGGATGTTACGTGTATGTGTCTACCTGAGAGGCTCACTTGTACACAGGACTGCCTGTCAGTGGCTCACGGAATTCTGCATGTGGCACAAAAACGTCTCCACAAGTGTTATTTATCTTATTAATAAATCAAAATTATGTACAGTTATTGATAATTATTATCATGATTATATCCATGATATCAGTTATCGAATGATATGAAATAAAATGTTAAAAGAACCAATTAAACGGTCAAATTTGGAGATAGATGTTCAGAAATTAGAGCAAACAAAGCCAGTTTGGGATTGCCAACTTCACCTTTGTACTTATATCAAAATCTGTACCTTGGACGTCAGGAGACAATTCCGATTATGTCTTTACCATAGGGTCGTGAGTCAGGTGGGGTTTTTTCTGTCTGATTCAGTACAAAGTGCTCATATGTTTGTTTATTGTGACAGAGTTCGTCGGACATCTCGGACAGTAACATTGAGCCACAGCCGCTGTGGGAGTACCCTGGTAGGGCGCTCTCCTCCGCTGTTGACGTCATCAAGCTTCAGTACAAAGACTTAAAGGAGAAGAGTGTTCAAGCCAGTGTGGAACTACAAATGGAAACGTAAGCAGTGCCCATGTTCCAAATATTAACAACTTTTGTGGCAACTAATTGAATTTCCCCTGCTCAATGAAGTTTTGCAATTTAGAATTGTACTCTGTATGTCCATCATGTTTCATGGAGCATAACTTAGAAACCGTTCAATATTCATTCATGAAACTTTGTATACGCATCAGGCAGGCATTTAACTGGTGACTTTTCACCATAGCTCGCTGCAGTGTTATTCCTAATACAGGACATTTACCATCTGAACATGCTGAAAACACATGCGTGGGATAACCTCTGTTTACAAATATTTAATGGAACAAAAATCTTTTTTTCACTCCATATATCTATTTGGGTAAAAAAGCTCTTTGCAGTTTGCAGAAAAAACAAGAAATACTTTATTCAACATGTTCAATATCATGCTAGTTTGGTGCATCATCGTCATATCCAGTGTGTTATATATCGCCATTCTATTATGATAAATATCCTGGACCCATCCAATCTCATTCAAATCAGACCAATGAAGATCCGCCTCAGAATTGGTCTTCAGCAACTGATGTCTGTCGTAAGAGGCAGCCAATGGGATTGGGCGGTTAGACTTGCCAGCTTGGTTGATGCATGAGTGAGTGTGTATGGTTTTACACCGCTTTTAGCAATATTCCAGCATTATCACTACAGGGGGACACCAGAAATGGGCTTCACACATTGTACCCATGTCGGGAATCGAACCCGGGTCTTCGGCGTGACGAGCGAACGCTTTAACCACTAGTCTACCCGACCGCCCCCATCATCACCCATGAACCCATCACTTGTCCTCCGACCCGTGAAGATCTAGGGTAGAATAGGTGTTCGACAATTGATTATGCTTGTTAGAAGAGGCAACTAACGGGATCGGGTGGTCAGGCTCGCTGACTTGGTTGATGCATGTCATCGTATCCAAATTGCGTGGATCGACGCTGATGTGTCAATCACGGGATTGTCTGGTCCAGACTTGATTATTTACAGACTGCCGTCATATAGCTGGAATATTGCAAAGTGCGGCATTTAAGAACAAACAAACAAACCTGACTGAACATAGACACTCATAATGTTTACACCTTATAGCAGTCTATGCATAGTCCAATTAAGATCGCGCAACGAAATCCAAATCCGGTTTGTAAACTGTCTTACAGATTTCGGTTGATTGCAGGATTTGCAAAGCATGTGCACTGCCAACTCGTCAACAGATATTTTCAAATCTTTTCATGTTTTTAATCAAGGTGCTCACGTGATTTGATGCATTTCGCGATGTAAGATCTGTTTTATCACAATATAGACCTTGATTATCGTTTGAAGCAAATGCAAGTGATACGAGAGGTGGAATCTGATTGGTCAATTAGGAGAGGCTTAGAAGGGACATAACTCATAATAGCCACTGGTGGCACTATAATCGAGCCCAGGAATACCAGCCTAGTTTAGCAAGGATGGAAACTGGACTTTTAAAGTCAGTTAACTCTCTTGCCTCGGGAAGATGGTGATGTTTTAACATGGAGACGAGTGTGGATGTGAGAAAGTCAGGCTTGTTTTATTTGCAGGGACGGAAGCCTGAATGGTGTTGCTGTGTGGACGGAGTACGAGTTCGGGGAGGAAGGGACGGTGACCACGGGTCCACGGACGAGTCTCCGCGTGGGAGATAATGTTGACTGGGATTACTACACCAGACAGGGGGTGCATCTGCTGAAAACTCCTCGCACCGTCAGCGCAGGGCATACCATCACACTCCATGTCCAGTTTGACCCCAAAACAGGGGAATTTGACTTTTCTTTTAAAACTTGAGCGCAGTTTCATTATCTGAGCGAGGTCCAAAAAACTAACAGGAACCATTTTACCTATCTATAATTTGATGTTTTACGTCATTTTTTATCTGTGTTTTCGTTTGAGCAGGCTGTGATGAGCTTCAAGGTCGTAGGGATTAGATCCGATGTTGGATGTCTCGACTCAATGACGAACACAGGAATGGTGGGTGGAAAAGGGCCTCTTCGGCCCACAGGGTCTGCATAATTCAACAACTGAGCAAAACTTTTTGAACTTGATATGAATGAGAACTAGACTTTGTTCATTCCAACAGCTGCATGTTTGGGACAGATACATAGATATGGATCAAATGTGTCAGCACGGCTGATTTTCAAGGTTTTCAGGAAGCATTTTCTGATATTTGAACAGGAGCAAGGTTTTTACCCAAACTGATTTTTGTAGATGTAGATAATAACAGTAGAGTCACATGATAAAAAAGATCCTGTTGGGTCATGGACTGGCTCATACATTTTACTTAGATTTTCATTTGAAGTTCGAAAATATCTGCCTTTTTCTCATTTTAGCCATACTTACGTATTTGATCTTGTCAGAAATCCAAACTTGCAAAACTAAGGAAGAAAAGATACTTGATGTCAGTCATTTGTGCATGTCTGATATGTTTTAAACCGATATTTCAGGTTTCCAGAACTGTAAAATTTGACATTCCCTGTGGGTCCAATAGGTCCCTTATCCTACCTCAGTCTCTTCAAGATCAGATCTTAGTTCTGGCTACCACTAAACATAGTCTGTAATGAAGTCCCCAGTTTGAGACTAGTGCTGTAAAGCTCGAGATAGCTGCTTCCTGATTGGCTACCTCTGTCTCTTCAAGATCAGATCTTAGTTCTGGCTACCACTAAACATAGTCTGTAATGAAGTCGCCAGTTTGAGACTAGTGCTGTAAAGCTCGAGATAGCTGCTTTCTGATTGGCCGATGTTGAATTCTTGTAAGTTATTTCATTGGTTGGTCAAAGTTGGCGGTCGTCGTTTTGATGTGTACCCATTATGGGATTTCCTCAGATCTTTGTTTAGGGGGTAGTGAGAAATAAGATCTGATTTTAATGAGATTGATCCTAATTCACCATATTTACGCACACACTCACTCACTAGCTGTTCATCACATTACATGCTGAAAGGAACAAAATCTAATTTTATACATATGAACATCTCCTCTAACTTTGATTATATCCAATAGTTTTGTTTATTTCTAAAATAATATAGATCTTGTGAACCAAAGAGGGCCCTCGTTATACCCCCATGGGGGTTCAACAAGATCTCACACAAATTTTCACAATTTCGTCTTCGCATAATTTTATTGTAGTTGTAGTAGAGTGTTCCCTCGCTATTGCGCTCTTCAATATAGCGCTAACTCGGGTATAGCGTGCGGTAAAGCGTAAAACGTGGCTCCCAAAATTTACGGACATTCTTAATAAACTCAAGATTAACAACTTCTATTCTAATCATTTTTTAAACTCTGAAACATGCAACGTAGATCGTGTTAGGTAGGCAGAGCATGTGTACTGCTTTGTTGGTCATCTACCACCTAAGACTCGACCTCGGTTTAACCGCTGATCATCTTTAACGCTCATCAATTATTTGGACCCCAAAGGTAGCGTTGTAGCGAGGGATCAGTATAATCACATAAGCTATTCAAAGTCCGGGGATGGAGGGGCTGAGTTGCATCTCTTCAGCGGGCCAGAATCGAAGGTTCGCCATGAATGTTTCCTTGGTAGTCATGCATCATGCCTGTGAATAATCCCAACAGACAGTCTGTATTGACATTATTGTTGAGAGTTCTGGGAAGGTCCTGTGTGTCTGATAACGGTTCCACAGTCTTGTAATGGTGCTTGGTGCTACATGGGAAAACCTGGGTACAGGTGAAGATGATTCTCCCATTTGCAGTCAGCCGATGGCGTTGTTGTGTTGGGCTTCCGTCAGTCGTGGCATGTTTTTGCTGTTCACTTGCTGTAAGATTGTGATGGCATGCAAATGAGAACCCAATGTTTTTAGAGTATTACAAGTGGTGTTGCACGTGCATGTCATGTTGGTGTGTTTCAGCACCAGGCTCTCACACGGTTGTGTTTTTTTTTATTTTTCCATCTTTTCATCAACTTTCTGCGGTACCTCATTTTTTCCACACAAATCAATCCCAAGTCATGCAGAAATGACCAATTCATTTTTTGTATTAATTCTGCATGGATGTCGGCAACACTATGTCAGATATTTACGATTTTACCACTTTTGCATTTATTTTTTTGCAGAGCATATATCACCAGAAATATATTGATGGTATAAAACAAAATCCATGGATTTGTAACAATTTTCTATCATTTTTTTCAAAACTATTCCAGGGCTGGGAAAATCAGACCCTTACGAACTGTGGTTTAATACCACTTTGAAAGCACGTCAGCAAACTCTAGTCTTCAGTTTCCCCCAACAGATTATAGCCTTCGCTTGTCACACGCAAGGCCTTGTTCAATTTCACAAATGGGTACAACGCATGATTGGTTGGTTGGTTTGTTGTTTAACGCCGCACGCCGCAATATTCCAGCTATATGACGGCGGTCTGTAAATAATAGAGTCTGGACCAGACAATCCAGTGATTAATAAAATGAGCAAGGACCCACGCAATTGGGATCGATGACATGCATCAACCAAGTCAGCGAGCCTGTCCACCCGATCCCGTTAGTCGCCTTTTACGACAAGCATAGTTACCTTTTACGGCAAGCATGGGTTGCTGAAGACCTATTCTACCCCGGAATCTTCAAGGGTGTACAATGCATGAAGCCCACTACTGGTGTCTGCCTCTGTGATATTTCTAGAATATTACTGAAGCGGTAAACGCAACTTACTCATTTTCCCAAATTGATGTCAGGAACAAAATAAACATGATAAATGTCCATAGATTAAAGAAATGTCAACACAAAAGAATTTTTTAAATTATATTTGGGCTTGAACAGAAATACACCAACTAATTTAAAATATGTGCCAGACATTTTCTGACAGTTAGATATAGCAAATGGATAAAAGAGTGTCACAGCACTTTAGCTCACCTGGATGTGGAGACAGACACTTAAAAAACTGCGCACAGCAAATATTTTCTGCATAAATACAAAGAACAAACGTATTAACAAATATGAAACATAACTATTCACAATTTATGAATGTACTACATGTATTTTGGAACATTGTTATTTATCTTACACAGCGAACAGTTTTTCGAATGCTATGCAATATATCCAATTGTTTCACAAGAAACACAGTGGAACCCAGGGCTTGATTTAAGGAACCTGATTTAACTTGCACCAGGTGCATATTGACATTAAGCTTAGCTGCACCAGACAAAACCAGGTTGCACCCTGGTCCCATAAAGTTATCAAAGTTGACATACAAATGCATTAACTGGTCCAAATAAATAAGATCTTAGCTCTCTGTTGACTGTGTCATGAGATTACATAAATTAATGACTATTGCTGTAAAACAATGGCCGGGGAACATGTGAACATAACAAGTACCCACAGTTTGAATACGTCAAACGCGAGAAAGCATGACAAAGAACATGTAACACAGGGATTAGTGACGTAGTCTGGTACGTAAACCTTTGAGTGTTTTCAAAGCTCGTTGTGTGGAAAAGAGGGTAAGGGTTAGTCAGACACAAATTTGATTTTTATTTACATGAACTTGGAGGCGTAAGAGGTCGTAAGAGGCGTAAGAGGCGACAAACGGGATCGGGTGGTCAGGCTCGTTGACATGGTTGATGCATGTCATTGTATCACAATTGCGTGGATCGATACTCATGATGTCAATCACTGGATTGTCTGGTCCAGACTCAATTATTTACAGACCGCCGTCATATAAACAACAAACAAACAAAAAACGTCATCTCTAGAACAATACGGAAAACCAGGACATACAACATCGCTATTAGTTACAAAGCTAATGTACATATTGCAAGAGACATATTTTGCTATTCTTCAATTGCGTCTGATCATTGGACTCGAATGTCTGCTGGGCGTGACGTCCTCTCCACACCACTTGTCTGGCATGTCAGAGAAGGCCTTCTCTTGTTGGTCCAGCAGCGTCCACATGACCTTGGGCAGGTCGCCGCCCACCTGGTCCTCCAGGAAGCGGGGGGCGGTCGGGTAGCCTAGCGGTTAAAGCGTTTGCTCGTCACGCCGAAGACCCCGGTTCGAATCCCGACATGTGTGAAGCCCATTTCTGGTGTCCCTCGCCGTGATATTGCTGGAATATTGCTAAAAGCGGCGTAAAACCATACTCACTCACTCACTCACTCCAGAAAGCGGCGAGACTCGCGGGTGTCTTCCAGCCAGCACTGCCTGGGCAGACTCAACAGCTCCTCCCACAGTGCCGGCTTGGCCAGGCCCTCCAGGTTGAAGTCCCCTGCAACACAGCACCTCATGGATGTACTACACACAGGAAACTTTTGTTGTTATTACATGTACATATTTATCTGCTCTCTGCATCCTAGCATCCATTCACCTGATGAAGGATGACTGCCTCCGTGGTCTAGTGGTAGAGCGTCTGCCCGGAAAGCCAAAGGTTCGGGTTTCGATTCCCGGCCGCGTGACACCAAAAGAGGTTAAAAGACGGTACTTGTTGTTACCCTGCCTGGCGATCAGCATTAGGTGGCTAAAACAAGGACTGGCAGCTCGGAGTCGGTATACTGTGTCTGAGTGGGGTATTCATGTTAAACTGCTTCATTGTATCTCAGCGGGCTAGCAAATAAAAATTCGGCATTAGTCTGGAGTAGTACAAGCAACGACACAAAAACGCGCAGTAATCTTGAATGCGAGTTAAGCCCCATTTCACCTGACCTGATGGAGTAAGTATATACTATAAACTGTTGTGTTCCTCCTTATAAAGAAGTTAACATCCATGAATTATCTCCCTTATCTATCTGCACTTATATCTATCTCTCTCTATGCATGAATGCAACCACAGATACCCCACAAACACAGTATACTGTCAAGCGCCAGGCAGGGTAACAACAAGTGCCTTCTTTTAATGTCTATTACACGACGGAGACAGGGATCGAACCACAGACCTTCACTCCAGGCTTATGCTGTCCACTACACCATGGAGGCAGTCTACATCAGAAGAGCTCATTAAGACATGACATACCTTTGTGAGGCAGGTATCCGACCGGCATCTTGATGGCGTCCACCTCGCCATCGCAACGCTTCAGGATCCAGTCAAGGACACGGATATTGTCACCGTACCAAGGCCACAAGAGCTCGTCATTGTGATCAACACGGAACCAGTTAACATGGAATATTTTGGGCATCTGGATCATCAAAGCAAAACTTTTGAGACATTTAAACTGGTTAAACAGCATTCACACCAAAGAGCCATATTAAATTTTGCTCAAAACATGGGCCAGATATTGTATACCGTAAAGAGATTGATCAGCAACTTAAAACTACCTTTCTGTTTGGCTTGTCAAGGTCCGGCCAGTACTGTACATAGTTCCCGAAGTTGTAGCCCATGAACGGTTGCATGGCCATTGGGTCATTTCTTGAAAGATGACATTACTGAACTCTGTTGTCCACAGGTAACTAGTAACTACACACATTGTGACTTCAGAAGGTTATTTGTTTGTTTGTTGTTTAACACCGCCCTCAATATTCACACAATATTCCAGCTATATGACGGCGGTCTATAAATAATCGAGTCTGGACAAGGCAATCCAGTGATTGGCATCATGAGCATCGATCTACGCATTTGGGATTCGATGACATGCATCAACCAATTAAGTCAGCGAGCCTGACCACCCGATCCCATTAGTCGTCTCTCACGACAAGAATGAGTTGCTGAAGTCCTATTCTATCCCGGATCTTCGCTGGTCAACTTCAGGAGTAAAGTACTGACAAAACTAGCCACAATTTTTAAGTCTCAAGCTTGTGAAATTCAAGCATTACGTACCTGTGTTCTGCCCTGGTACAAGACGACGTACCTGTGTTCTGCCCTGGTACAAGACGACGTACCTGTGTTCTGCCCTGCTACGAGACGACGTAATTGTGTTCTGCCCTGTTATAAGACAACGTACCTGTGTTCTGCCCTGGTACAAGACGACGTACCTGTGTTCTGCCCTGGTACAAGACGACGTACCTGTGTTCTGCCCTGGTACAAGACGACGCACCTGTGTCCTGCCCTGTTAAAAGACAACGTACCTGTGTTCTGCCCTGGTACAAGACAACGTACCTGTGTTCTGCCCTGGTACAAGACGACGTACCTGTGTTCTGCCCTGTTATAAAACAACGTACCAGTGTTCTTCCCTGCTACGAGACGACGTACCTGTGTTCAGCCCTGCTACAAGAGGACGTATCTGTGTTCTGCCCTGCTACAAGAGGACGTACCTGTGTTCTGCACTGCTACAAGACGACGTACCTGTGTTCTGCACTGCTACAAGACAACGTACCTGTGTCCTGCACTGCTACAAGACGACGTATCTGTGTTCTGCCCTGCTACAAGAGGACGTACCTGTGTTCTGCCCTGCTACAAGACAACGTACATTTTATCTGCCCTGCGACAAGACTACGTACCTGTGTTCTGCCCTGCTTCAAGACAACGTACCTGTGTTCTGCCCTGCTACAAAACAACGTACATGTGTTCTGCCCTGCGACAAGACTACGTACCTGTGTTCTGCCCTGCGACAAGACTACATACCTGTGTTCAGCCCTGCTACATGACGACGTACCTGTGTTCTGCACTGCTACATGACGACGTACCTGTGTTCTGCACTGCTACATGACGACGTACCTGTGTTCTGCACTGCTACATGACGACGTACCTGTGTTCTGCCCTGCTACATGACGACGTACCTGTGTTCTGCACTGCTACATGACGACGTACCTGTGTTCTGCACTGCTACATGACGACGTACCTGTGTTCTGCCCTGCTACATGACGACGTACCTGTGTTCAGCCCTGCTACATGACGACGTACCTGTGTTCTGCACTGCTACAAGACAATGTACCTGTGTTCTGCACTGCTACAAGACAACGTACCTGTGTCCTGCACTGCTACAAGACGACGTACCTCTGTTCTACCCTGCTACAGAACAACGTACATGTGTTCTGCCCTGCGACAAGACGGCGTTCCGCCCTGTTACAAGATGACGTACCTGTATTCTGCCCTGCTACAAGACGACGTAGCTATGTGTTCTGCTGCAGCTGTAGTCTCAGACTTGACACAAGCTCCCAGCAGCACTCCATGCTCCCAGCTGAAGGACTCCAACACCAGAGGCACACCTACACAAGACATGGGGGTTTCCTTCAAGCCATTGTTACTGTCATTTTATCCTAAATAGGATTCGATTTCAAGGAGTTCATCTTCTGTAACCAGAAAATAAATATGCATGGGCTATATTGGATATATTGGTTTCGTGGTTTGTATGACAGACTAGAATCACACAAAATGCTGCCTCTTAGGAGCTGGTACACTAAAGCTTGCTCTCAAAATCGGTTTCTGGACATTTGACACGTACAGCCCTCAAAATTGCCTACCACTGACAGTAGAAGGGGCAGTAAATATTCCTGTCACACACACTTTCAGTGGCATGTCAGAGATGGGTGATAGGAATCTGTGAAATCCCAACCAATTATAGATTGGCAGATTTGTTTAGTCTCTGAAAATGAAGAAAGTCTCTGGGCTTCTATAACTGTTTCTTTTCTGTAAAATATCATTTCAGAGACTCAATGTTAGTCTAGGGATTACAGCGCGTGACCTAATTGATGAGGTGGTGGGATGTCTTCGGGTGAAATGCTTTTAAAATCTGGAAACATGGTTTAAGCACGTTTCCACATAATGGTCGAAAGAAGAAGGAAGTAAACAAGAGTGAGATAGGATAAGTTTAAGAATTCAATTTTTTTTCCCAAAGCAAAGACCATGAAGACATTGCTGTGAGCATGTAACACTGGAAATACCATGTCAAGCAAATCTGTACGAAGTACAAAACTAAATTCTGTAGTTCCACTATCTGGTGAAAAATATTCATTGCATATCTGGACTAATGTTTGTAATCTATTTTATTAATTTTATTTAGAATATCATTCAACATTCTTTATATTAATTTCGATTTGATCGTGTGTTCTGTGATCGGCAGATCTCATCAACTAATCGTAATCCCTGCATATAAAACTATGCCCTGCAGAACAGTAAATACAATTGAAATGGTAAATCATCATGTCCAATGACGTTTTATTGCAAATTTCACATTTCCCTTGACCAAGTTATCTCCCATTCATTCGAGGCGATACCATGTATTGTTTGACTGCGCATAATACTAAAAAAAATAGTTTTTTTTTTACGAAAATACCGAATCCCCTAGAAGTGTGTGTGCATCATGCTTGGGTGTGCACTGAAGTCAAGAAAATACATTTTTTTTAATACACAAATATTGTCCCTCATATAATATGAAATCATAAGAAATGCTTTGTTGGTTGTCAATACTTACCTGTGGGTCTGCGGCCCCCAAAGATGATGGCACTGATGGGTACGCCTCCTCCCACTTGGGGTGGATGACGGGGCACTGAGTGGCGGGTGCCGTGAAGCGAGCGTTGGGATGAGCAGCCAACCCAGGATTTCCGATATGCCACACCTGGTTCTTCCATGTCTTTATGCTGATGTTCTGCACAACATTCACACAGGTATGTCAATGCGCTTATCAAATAATTCGACCGCCTCCGTGGTCTAGTGGTAGAGCGTCCACCCGGAGAGCGGAAGGTCCGGGGTTCGATCCCCGGCCTCGTCATACCAAAAGACGTTAAAAGATGGTACTTGTTGCTACCCTGTCTGGCGCTCGGCATTAAGGGGCTAAAACAAGGAGTGGTTGGCTCGGAGTCAGTATACTGTGTCTGAGTTGGATATTCATGTTAAACTGCGGCATGGTATCTCAGTGAGCTAGCACCATCGGCATCAGTCCGGACTAGTACAAGCAGCCACACAAACACACACACGTACATGCACGTCGCTATATAAGTGCAATAATCTTGGACGCGACGTCAAACCCAATTTCACCTCACCTCAAATAATTTTCCATTTGGAAGTGGATAACTATGTTTGTGAGATAGAGAAATCACCTATGCTACTCTGAATGCTTCTCTCACTCACTCATACCAAGGATTTAGAAGCCTCTACACCAATTGGTTGATTAGAAAGTTCACCACGCGTGACCTCCTTTGCTACTTTGTTTGTTGTTTAACGCCGCACTCAGCAATATCCAGCTATATGACGGCGGTCTGTAATTAATCGAGTCTGGACCAGACAATCCAGTGATTGACATCATGAACATCGATCCACGCAATTGGGATACAATGACATGCATCATCCAAGTCAGTGAGCCTGACCACCCGATCCCGCTGAAGTGAGCAAGCTGAGCAGGCATTGACACCTGTGTATCATGAGGTCTGCATGGACCAGAGGTTGCAAAAAGTTCCACCGTGGCCGTAGGCTCATCAGGTAGTCATCGCTGTACGAGCTAAATGGGATCCCCCACCTGTGTAAGAACGTCCTGAGGGATTTGGTAAAGGCCATGGGGATGTATAGATGCAGGACTTTCCATTGGAAACGTTAGCCGTTGAAGATAAGACAGAGATACCGACGATAGGCTGGAAAAAATTGGGGCATGCAGGTTGGCATTCTGGAGGTTGAGTGAGGTCAAGAAGTTGCCAGGTTGAATGGTAGACATGGAAGTTTTCCAAGAAATTGAGATTGTTAATCATAAGCAATTTCAACTAATTTTTCTTTGGAACCAGGAAGATGCAGATGTATGAATCCTGGTGTGATGGCCTCTGGGGAAAGGTGTTTTATTGCTTCCTTGTCCAGAAGAAGCCGGATATTGTCTTGTAACGACAGTTGAGCGGTGATACAGTGAGCGGTGGTTGCACTGTTAAAGGTAAGATGTACCCGTAGCGCGGAGTCTGAATGACCCAGCAGTCCGGGAAGAGTTGGTCCAAGTTTTGCCAGAATCGCTGGAGGCGTGTGTACTGGGTACCAAGGCGGGTAACACACATTTGTAAGGCCTGAACTGTACCTTCGGCCTAAGTGGTGGATAGAGATTTCTAATAAACCTCCTGAACCCAACTGTTAAAGAGTTTCTCGGATGAGCGAGCCTGACCACCCGATTCCGTTAGTCGGCCCTTACGACAAGCATAGTCGCCTTTTACGTCAAGCATGGGTTGCTGAAGACCTATCCAGGATCTTCGCGGGTTCCTTTGCTATTAGGCATATCGGAGTAATAGATGTGTTAAATGACGTATTCTGGGACTTAACAATAATTAACCCTCAAATAATGTTTACTTCAACAACACCCATCACTGACCCGATTCACTTCATCTTCCATTTCTTCCCAGAAGAAGCCCCCATCAGCAGTTTCCGCAGCGTTTGTGAAGATGCTGTTCTTCTGGAAGGTGAGCATGGCATTTTTATTCGTCTGCATGTTGGTCCCGGGCGCCTAACTGAAGAAGCCTGCCTCGGGATTGATGCCACGAAGCTCGCCGTTTCCTGCATCATCAAACTTCATCCAGGCGATGTCATCCCCTACACATCATACACAAACTGTCATAGGTACACCTGGGAATTGTCTATGGTTTCAACCTTGTGAGGTGAGGTGAAATGGGGTTTAACGTCGCGTCCAAGATTATTGCACTTATATAGCGACGCGCATGCACGTGTGTGTGTGTGTGTGTGTGTGTGTGTGTGTGTGTGTGTGTGGCTGCTTGTACTAGTCCGGACTGATGCCGATTTATAGTGCTAGCACACTGAGATACCATGCCGCAGTTTCACATGAATACCCAACTCAGACACAGTATACTGACTCCGAGCCGACCAGTCCTTGTTTTAGCCCCTTAATGCCGAGCGCCAGACAGGGTAACAACAAGTACCATCTTTTAACGTCTTTTGGTATGACGCGGCTGAGGATCGAACCCCGCACCTTCCGCTCTCCGGGCAGACCCTCTACCATTAGACCACGGAGGCGGTCTGTTTCAACCTTGTGCCCATGGCAGGAGAAGAGAGGAAAAATGAAATATAAGTATTGAAGCCTTTTATTGGTCCTGTTGTTAGTGAAATAAAAGGCACAACAATAAATTGTACGTTAATAAATATTTATCCCATCCCACACGGTGGGCGTTTAGCATGTGAAATAGGATAAGTATTTATAATGTACAATTTATTGTAAACGTCACACATTTTTAAACTTATCCAGTCTCACAATGTGCATTTATCCAACGGTTGGTACGGTGGGAGCAGGTACCTAAGCCTGTAAACAAGGCCTCAAATGTGAGATGTACACGAGGAAGCTGGTTCTAAAAAGATCCGATCTAATGATCATAACATCACTCAGAGTCATTTTAGTTGCATTATATTTTGCTATCATGTTAGTTGATCTGAAAACCAACTAAAACAAAAAAATTAATTGCCTTACTGGACAATATATATATGATAGCTACCATAAAGAATTAGTGAACTTAACTTTTGCCGCAGACCTAATTCTGAATATTGGTCTATGAAAATGCCCAGAAAAATCCCTGACAGCAGATGGTTTGTCATGTGAACTTCATTGCAAAATGGCACAAAAGATAACCCTCTGAAATATAAAAGTCCTGAACAAACATTGGTAGCAGAGGAGACAACCTACCAACGACCTTGACCTTGTAACCAGGGACGGTAGGCGTGATCATGGCCAGGTTAGTTTTCCCACACCCACCGGGGAATGCAGCAGACACGAATTTCTCCTTGCCTTCAAGGTCATTCGTGACCAACTCGTGTTATTCCGGGACTAGCCTTCACGGAAAGGGGCGAGTGGTGACGAATGCTGCAGGGTTTGTGATGCCAATGAACTAATGAGGAAACAACTCTGTACATTCCCCTCAACATACGGGCATTACAGGATTATGCTGCAATAACTTGCATTTCTGGAGTCGTTACATCATCACTGATTAAAAACTTATTTCAATATCTGCATATAACTCAGCATAAAAGCACTAAAGTTCTTCACAATACATAAAGCACTAATAAAATTCTATAGAAAATGAATATGAATTAAACCCAGTTCTAAGCATTTGAGACCTTCAAGGTCGGACTGCCAATCCCTTTTAAAAGCCTGAGTGAACCTTCTTGGAAACGAGCCCGAAGAGCTTCTTTACACTCCGTGTATCTCAATTTCTTAATTATCTCCTGCAGGACTGAGCGTTAAAACTGAAGGCAGCTATATTCCAGCTGAGCAGCCGATCCATAATCCTCATCAGTTATAACAAGCAAGCTTGTTTGTTTGTTTGTTTGTTTAACGCCGTTCGGCAATATTCCAGCTATATGACGGCGGTCTGTCAATAATCGAGTCTGGACCAGAAAATCCAGTGATTGACATCACGAGCACCAATCCACGCAATTTGAATACGATGACATGCATCAACCAAAGCAGCGAGCCTGACCACCTGATCCGCCTAGTTGGCTCTTACGACAAGCATAGTCGCCTTTTACGGCAAGAATGGGTTGCTGAAGACCTATTTCTAGTAAAACCATTCCCAATCGGACATTTTGTACCCAACTCTTGAGGTCTACAGCGGGTTCCCAGGTTGGGTCTAGGTAATATGGGCTCGGGTAGCACATGGATGCTGGGGATCTATTCTGCCTTAGAATCCAGATAGGGACATGCAACATATCACAGTGTTGAACAATGTACAGCAATCACCCGACTACACCCTCCGACCACCTCGCTCCAAGCATGTATTACTCGTCACAAACAGAAGGACAACATATTCTTGGAGATATTCCTGCGACTATCCTTGACGGAGGAAGAAACATTTACATTGAAATTACTTGAGACATCAATGCAACGCACGCACTGGGCAGTGGCCAACGACACCAACAAGTTTTCTGAGTAAGACGTACCAATCCCACCGCCATGAAAGGAGCGTATAGAGAAACGAGGAGGTGGCAAAAAACCAAACAAAATCCAAGGCCAGGGGGCAAAACTTTAGTTGCTGATTATGCCTTACAGTAACTCCGTAGTATAGATGTGAGTTCCCGAGCAGTAGCGATACCGGTAGATCAGAAGGCGCCATGACCGAGTAAATTCCTGAGACGTAACTGGTGCTGCCTGACAAATGCTTCGTCTTCTGTAAGTAGATTAATTAGTCGTCGACAAAGAAGGATCCATAGCATGTTGATGGCAATAATTCTTGAAAGAGAACCATTTCTGGTCATACAGAGATTCCGTAGATGGGTGGTGAGAGCTGCCAACCTTGAGAAACCCATGGCCATCAGTGTGTCCTGCAAATAGACCCAAAGTGTAGATCCTATGACTGGGCACCGGCGTGATTGACGAGTGTGCTGATTTCTGAGCAGTCCTTGAAACATGGGGAGTTCTAAATGCTCTCCTGTAATTTGGACTGGGCCAATAAGGCGGACGTTGATGTCCACTGTGGTTGCCGGTTTCTGCAAGGAAGGAGCATCAGAGGTGAAAACTTAATGGCGAGAACGTTGTGATCCCAAGCCAGATCATCAGGCATCAGTGATACGAACGTCTGAAGCTGGTGGTTGTAGCGTGTGTCCAACGAGTCAACATTTGGGTGGCCCAAAGAGCTGGCAAATCCATGGGTGCTGACCGACTGGGGCGAGAGAGAGCATCGTCGAGAATGTTGGGAGACGCTCGTAATGTGGCGAGCTCTCATCTCCAATGGGATGCTGTTGATGAGGCTATAGAATGCAAATGTGAGATCCAGGAGACTGTGAGTGAGTGCATTCCAGCCAAATGATGTATTGAACGACTGTGATATTGTCCGTCACCATCATGTGATGAATTTCCTGCATGATCATCAGCAACGTCTGAAAGGCCAACAGAATTCCTTGAAACCCCAAGCAGTTGATGTGTCAATGGAGAAACGGGGCAGTCCCTAGTCTGGAAGCCCAGAGGTCCCTGAAGAAGAGGTGATGTGTTGGAACGAAGTCGTCCCCGCCGAAGACGTTTGACTCAATGAACCACCATTGGAGGTTAGGCCACAGCAAGGTCGGGCGTGATAACGTGGTCGAGCGTGTCTTGTTCGAAGGGGGGGTGGGGGTGGGGGGTGGACGGTTTGGGGCGCAAATAAACGTTACTTACGGATTAATCAGACGGTACATATTGGAACAGGGCAATTCATACGGTAATTTACAGTGGCAATATTCGAGCAATACCGTGTTGAGGAACCCCCAAATGGGCTTTCCCATGCAGGGATTGGATCTTGGAGGAGCACATCTTCCATTAGCTTTTGCTTCAGTTAACATGGTTATGAAGTTTTGTTGTTAAAATTAAAGTTTTCTTCTCCTCTCTGATTTATCAGGGCAATTTGAAAATCAGGACGGGCAAGTAGAATGTTTAAGTTTACTTGGGCAAGTCGGAAATATTTGAATTTGAACACTCCTTGACTTCACACATTGTACCCATGTAGGGAATTAAACCTGGGACTTCGACACGGCAAGCTAACGCATTGACCACTAGGCTCTTCATCGCAGCCAACAATAACTCATTTGTTCACATCTCCAAGCTCATAAAAAATTACCGACACTATTGAACCCATTAAATCAGTGCTATTAAGACCCGTTAATCCCACAGTCTCGTTCTCCGACTCGACACACCTAATTTGCAACAAAATACCGTAATCTATCAATTAAAAAAGTTCAGGAAATACACAGACCTAGTGGAAACAAGCATATGCACTGCCCTGAAGACTTACTCGTTACCGGCAGAGGGCATCCAATGGAATGCAGACACTTGACAAACTTGTTGTCTTTGAGAACCTCCGGGACCTTGGGGGATACTCACGTCATGATCCTCATACAAAGCAGCACGTAGTTGGAGTCCGTTCACTGGATTCCGATCTTGGACAGTGGAGAGCCAACTGGACCCATGCTGAAGGGAATCATGTACATTGTGCGACCTAAAACAAGACAATTCAGTTTTGCTTTACCGACTAACCCAAATGAATCAAAAGATGGATGATTAGTTTGTTGTTGTTTTTTTATGTTTAACGCCGCACTCAGCAACATTCCAGCTATATGACGGCGGTCTGTTTATAATCGAGTCTGGACCAGACAATCCAGTGATTGATATCATGAGCATCGATCCACATAATTGGGATACGATGACATGCATCAACCAAGTCAGCGAGCCTGACCACCCGATCCCATTAGTTGCCTCTTCTAACAAGCATAATCGACTTTTACCGCAAGCATTTGTTGCTGAAGACCTATTCTACCCTGGATCTTCACAGGCGGAGGACAAGTGCCGGGTTCAGGGTATTGATCCCAACGGAACTGAGAACCGGATAATTGAGGTTGTTCTTGTCCTCACCTTTCATGCTCCCTGGAAATCGGTCATCAAGTTCCACTTGCATGTCCTCAGGTCTCTTCCACCGTCCCAGAATGCCCTTGACCCCAGCTCGGACATGCGGCACAGTCTTGTACTTTTCCTTGGTGCAGATCCACGTCTTTGCCTCCTCGCGAGCCACATCTCTTGGGTCGGTACGGCAGAGGTAGCTACACCAACAATTAAAAATCTACCATGGTTCCACCTTTTAAAATAAACATTGAACAATTCCTCGTAACCATGGTAACATTCTTTATTATTTGTTTGTTTCTTGTTTAACGCTGCACTGTTCCAGACATAACATCGGTTTGCTAATTGAGTTTGCACCAGACAATTCAGGGATTGACATAATAAGCAACTCCTCGTGCCTTTTAAGTTAACGGCAAAGTGATATTCAATCAACTAAATTACCGAGCATGATTCAGTAAGTCGCCTCACAACCTAGGAACCTATTCTAATTCTGGAAGGCACACTGGCACAATTGAAAAGATTACAAGGTTTCACAACTTGTTCATAATGTCGCTGATTTATGTTAACCCTGAACACCATAATGATTCAAACACTAGTGACAATCTCTTAGAAATCAGATCTTTTTCTCCGATATGAAGCTTCTCTGTGTGAAAATCTGAGGTCACGTCCATAGAAAGTCGTATCAGGTGAATCCGGAGTGAAATTTGACTGCCCAATCTAAATAAAGGACCTGTGGGTTCTTGAGCCAATCAGATGTAAGCTTCTAAAACAATTTGGCTTCATTTCCTTGTCACCTCCATTCGGAGATTTCAGTTATTTTAAGTGTAGATAGTGCTCAGAAACGACAGGAAGTATGAAACATGCAACCTTAACCCTAAATCTAGGGGCTAACTGATTATAAAAAAAGTCTAGTTTCCACCCTTGCCCAATTAGGCCGCAATTATGGAGTTACATTTTGGTTGGACTAACGAGTCTATACATAGACCAATCAAAATCGCTTGAGGAAATCGATATCCGGTTCGTGAACTGCAGTGCAGATTTCGGTCGATTGCAAGATTTGCAAAGCATGTGTACCGTCAACTGGACGTCGACAGACATTTTCCAAATCTGTTTGTTTTTAATCAAGGTGCTCACTTGATTTGATGCACTTCGCGAGGTAAGACCCGTTTTATTACAATACAATCGCCGCCATTAAGTTTGAAGCAAATGCAAGTGATTTGAGAGGTGGAATCTGATTGGTCAATAGGAGGGGCATAGAAGGGACATAACTCGTACGATCGAGCCCAGAAATTCCAGCCTTAGCTCGGCAAGTGTGGAAACTCCCTTGCCTCGGGAAGATGTTCCAGACTATGCTTTGAAAAAATACTATAATATTTTGACAAAATTTTATTCAAAATGTGACAATTGAATGAAATAAAATTCTGCAATATCGAATAGACGAAAGCCTCTCCCATTTCAAATGTTTCTACCATTGAAGCGAGAGGTAAAGGATTCTTTCGACGGAATCAGTCTCACAACTGTCGTTCAGAATGCCCTGTGTTAACCATTTGGAGGTGGCATGATTAGCAAACACATTCCGACTCTCACTTTCCCTATCTGGCAAGCGACACTCTGATTGGTCTGATGAAAGGTCATTCTGACGTGACCCATAACGAGATGTCCTCCGATTGTTGTTGAGTGGTAGCGAGAAATAAGATAAGATTTTAATGGGATTGTATCTTTGCCATGTTTAAAATATAAAACACCATCTCGTGAATGATTACTAGGAGATAGACATACCGATTGTGCCACCCAGTCTTTAACATCCTTGGGCAGATGATAGAAGTCGCCCTTGAGGATGGGGACATCACCAACACGCTGGATGCTTATCCCATGCACGTCAAGGTCCTCCATCTTGGCTCACTGCAGATGAAACACGACAAAATGTGAACTTATTGTGACTCATTATTATATATGTCAGGGGGCACAGGTGGCTCACTCGTCATTACACATGTATCATGTGTAGAATCAGTATGATAATCTCTATAAATTATCCACATGTTTTTGTGATAGGGCAGGTGAAAGGGGGTTTAAGATTATTGCACGTGTGTGTATGTATGTGTGACTGTCTGTCTGTATGTACTGGTCCGGACTAATGCCGGTTTTATAGAGCTAGCCTATTGAGTCAGGTCAGCGAACCTGACCATCCCATCCCGTTAGTCGCCTCTTACGACAAGCATAGGCGCCTTTTACAGCAAACATGGGTTGCTGAAGACCTATCCTACGCCGGATCTTCACGGGTTTACCCTGAGTGGAAACTGCATGCTGGGAGGGCCAGGTATGTTAAGGATAATTTCTGTTGCAACGAAGTGCAAATCTAAAGTTAGAAACAGTTCAAAGGAGTGACAGAGGGCATTTTTCATTTTCACCTATCAGGTATTAGATTTATAACATAAAACCATGTGGAACAGCTACAATGATATAATTTCGGCATATTTGGGGTTTAGTATATTAATCAATAAATTGCCTCTTGTCACAGATCAAAGTAAACTGATTCCAGTTAGACACTTGACACATATTAGGTTGACTCACATCACAGGGTAGGTTGACTCACATAAAATGCAAGGCTGACTCGCGTGTGTGTGTTTGTGTGTGTGTGTTTGTGTGTGTGTGTGTGTGTGTGTTTGTTTTTGTTTGTTTGTGTGCATGTGTGTTTGCGTGTGTGTATGTGTTTGTGTGTTTGTGTGTGTGTGTGTGTGTGTGTGTGTGTGTGCCTCGTTATAGTACATGCAACCTCGTACTACCAACAGATACACGACCCATGGGATCCCAACTCTCTCCTATCGTTACTGAAATCTACATGACCTACTTCGGACAGCAAGCCCTCTACCACATCACCCATCCAACCTATTTCCTGGTACCGGAAAGTTGACGACACAAGACCCATCCTAAAACAAGACCAAGACCCAGCCCTGCTACTACAACATCTTAACCAACAACACCCCCGAGTACAGATCACCATCGAAATAGAAAAGACCAACCAACTACCCTTCCTAGATGTCCTTGTCTCCAGAACCCAAACAAACAGAATCTACACCAGTGTCTATCGGAAGCCCACCCACACCGACCAGAACATCCACTTCAACTCCAACCATCCCCTCAGAACTAAGACTGGCATCATCTCCACCCATACTAAACGAGCCATCAACCTTTCTACTGCTGACCCCAAACCTGAGATCAAACACCTCCGCCAAGTCTCCATGCACCTCAACAACTATCCACTCAATCTCGTCGACAAAGTCATCTCCTCAGTACTCCATCCCACACCCAGATCTGCGACCCTTAAACCCGAATCAGCGCCCTTCCGCATAGGAAAATCCTCCCACATCATCAGCCGCCTACTCAAACAGCAAGCCAACATTGACACCTTCTTCACCAGTTCCACCCTCCATATCCTACTAAGAGCCAGAACACAACCAAACCCCAAGAGCCTAAAGGTGCAGTTTACAAAATTGACTTCAACTGTGGACAATCTTATGTAGGTGAAACATCTCGCCCCATCAACACCAGAATCAAAGAGCACATAACCTCAACCATCAAATCAGGCAGCAAATAAGCAACAGTCCTAATCACAACATCAACTGGGACAACGTCCAAATCCTCTCCAACAACCTCCATGATTTCACTGAAAGAAAACTAACAGAGTTTGCCGCCATAAGCCATCAATCAACAGAGATCAAGGCTATTTCATCCCATCCGCCTACTATGAATTCATTAAGCAATAATCACCACACCTATGTGAACATATCCTGTTTATTTGGCTTCATGTCCCATTGGCTTCCACCTATGTGTTCTCTGTCCATCATGTTGTCATTACTTACTCATGTCATCCCACTCATGGTATGCAATTGTTGTTACTATTAATCATCGTCTGTTAATCCTCCACCAGACCCGTGAAAATCCGGGGCAGAATGGGTCTGAAAGGCGACTATGCTGGTCGTAAGAGGCGACTAACGGGATCGGGTGGTCAGGCTCGTTGATTGGGTTGGAGCATGTCATCGATCCCAATTGCGTGGATCGATGCTCATGATATCAATCACTGGATCGTCTGGTCCAGACTCGATTATTTACAGACCGCCCTCATATAGTTGGAATATTGGTGAGTGTGGCGTAAAACAACAAACCGACCAACCAATCCTCCACCACTCTATATATTCTGTACAATATTCCTCATTCAGTCTTGCATGACAGCGGTATTAGGATCTATACCGAAACATCGTCTTTACAGTATTAAAGAAGTTGTTATCCATAAATGTCTACTTTGTAATTGTTACTTTTGTTGAAATGTCATCAAATTATTTAGTTATATGTTTCATTATACGTCAGTATAATCAGTATTCTGTATGGAAGTATCTGCAATAATCTATGCAAGTATGAAGTCCTGGCACGCATGTTCTCTCAACACCACGATTCTTCACAAACAAAACGTGAGTCGGATACACAGGCCGTAGCTGAAGGTAATTTTCCACATGATTCGATGAATTAAAGGACAAGTTGATGTTTTGTTCCAAATTTAGTACAACTGCATGCGATGATTCATTTCAAGCAAAGGTCTATGTAGACACCTGGGACGTGGTCCAATTGACGTTTGTGATCCCAATACGGACAATTACATTTTAGGACATGATCAGTGTTTGTTTAATTTGAGGCGGAGAGGGGGATGCTGGAAAATCTGTGCTCAGGGGATACCCTCAACCCCTACCCCACGTGTCAGAAGAGGCAAAAACTTCAGTACTTCTTGGCATTCAGTTTTTCTACAATGGGAGAGGGATTATGGTTCTAAGTCATTTTAATCAATATTCCAGATGCAAAACAAATGGAACATCAGCAACTGGTTCCACACCATCTTCCCGAGGCAAGAGAGTAAACTGACTTTAAAAGTCAAGTGGAAACTGGACTTTTGTAGTCAGTTAACTCCCTTGCCTCAGGAAGATGGCTCCACACATTGTACCCATGTGAGGAATCACATCGTCAGCTTCACAAGGCAAAGCTTAAACATGGCTCCCCCACTGCCACATGTCATCAATATGTTGGCAAAAGTCAATGATGCATAACACCATTACATAGAATACCAGACATACAAAATATTTTTCATCTTCAATATGCTATTCACCATGTTTCTTTCCAGCGACCTTCACAAAATAGTTGTTTTACATAGAAGTCTTTCTTAATTTTGCAAATTAAAAAGTCTTTCTTCGTTTTCAAATACATATTTCCATGAAACTTATTTTTAAACTTGTTTTCAGGAAAGTAACCCTATATATTATTAATCTTGCCTTCTGTTTATTTGTCCAATGACAAAAAAAACGTTGGATTCTGGGTTAGAATTGGTACGCAGCAACCAATGTCCTATAGGGGGACTTAATCATTTTTTTCACTTGTTTGAATGATCCACATTTGTCTGATTAGAGGCCTTCAATATTGCTGCAGGGGGCACGGGTGGCCCAGTCGTCGCGATTCACTGTGCAGAGTTGCATCCCTTTGGCACGCCAGAAACCTATGATTCTGAGTTTGAATCCCGGTTTTCGAGGTTTGACAGCACCATACCTGTGCTCATGGGTTTCACCGAAGTGGTAAACATCTGAGACTTGCATCACTTCGGTCTTTCCTTCCACATTAAGCTGACACTGCGATATAACTGGAATACTGTTAAAAGCCTCGTCAAACCCAACTCACCCAACTCACCCACACCCCTCAATATTGCTGCAGCATTGAGGAATAACATGAGTCTGGCTTTTTATTCATGTGAGCTAAAAGGTGTCAACATATAAAAGAAAACGAGAACACACATTAAAACAACCCATCAGTTTATTGTCATTGCATTGTGGTCATAGATCCACATTCTCCCAGTTAAATATTGTCAACATGTTATAAAAAATACACCTATATGAAGTAGAACACATTTTTGCATACCGACACATGTTAAAAGAATGAACACATACACTCACAGATTCACAGCCATCGTCTCTGTTCAGAGATTATCACACAATTCTAGTTTAATATTGATAAAACACATTTCATTCAGTCAAATGAGTAAGACACCTGAAACGTGAGTTTGTACAGAGTTGAGTCTGACAAAATGAATGCCATTTGGATAAATGATATTGCAATTTCCTGGATAATTAATGTATGGTTTGTATAGTATCACAGGCACCGTCAGCGGCAAGGCACATGAACCGTTTCCTTAGACCACAACAGAGATGTTATATTTACTAGGAAGAATAACCTCATTTTCTAAGTTTCGCAAGTGTTGCCAAAGGAGCAGACAGGGAGACATTTAACCATTACTGACTCAGAGCCGAAACTATTCGTACAGTAAAATAAAAGGCTGTGGCCTTACAGTTTTCAGGTCAGAAACACTGGAGCTTATCTGAATCTTGATGAGATTAAGCACATATAGTTTGTAACTTGATATGGAATGTATTTGTATTTAATTGACCAGAGCAGTGACATAATTAGATGTATCTAAATGTAAAAGAAACATTGGATAAAACATACAGGGCACTAAAATAAGTTTAAAAAAATTAAAAATCTCTGCACTGGTACAATAGATGTCTACATAGTAGACATTGTGCATAGAACCTTATATTGAATATCATGACACACCATGATATACAAATGCATTAAGAAGAGACGTATTTATACCAACTACAAATATGACGACTACCATGCTCAATAATAAATTCTATTCCTAACAAGTTTACCATATTGCAACATCCTCACCTAAATGTACAATGTACTTCCTCAACGATACAATGTATTTCTCTTATGATACAGTATCTTCGAATGACTGTCTCAATGTTGCAACCATACTGGTACTGTCAGGCTTTGAGCAATGGGTGATCAGCTACAAAAGATGCTCACTGATAGTGGAGTGATGCAGTCTCATGTTCGTGAAATGGTCACTGCGGGTCCAGCAGGTTGGGTGATGAGGATGAATATATCACAGCTGAGAAACTCGCTTCTCAAGGGCTTTCAATTCCTCCATGATTGCAGTAGGCAGGTCATCGTTCACCTGCTCGTCAAAATACTTGTAGATGGACTTTACCTCGTCCTGCCAAAAATCGGCAGGCAGTCGGAACAATTCCTGGAGATCTACTGGCTCCTCGAGACCACTGAGGTTTAAAGAGTTAAATTTGGGGATGTAGCCAATGGCAGATTCATTTGCAATGTTCTCTCCGTCCACACGACGGAAGATCCATTCTAACACACGAGCGTTTTCGCCAAATCCTGGCCACAGAAAGTGTCCTTTGTCGTCCTTGCGGAACCAGTTAACATGGAAGATCTTGGGAAGCTTCTCCTGGCGTTGCTGGAAACTCAACCAGTGCTTCAGATAATCCCCAAAGTTGTACCCGAAGAATGGGCGCATGGCAAAGGGATCATGCATGATTTGTTTGGCTGCAAGAAAAAATAGACAAATTAGAGGATTTCTTAAATCGTTTGATTTATTTTAGACTTTTCAATAAAACTGTAGAGAGACTATATAACTACCATAAAAAACTTGTGTTTGAAACTGAGTGAGTCAGGTGTAATGCTGCTTTGAACAGTATTCCAGTTATACCACAGCGTGTCAGCTTGATGTCGGAAGAGTGAGAGTATGATTTTACGCCGGTTTTAGCAATATTCCAGCAATATCACGCCAAGGGGACTCCAGTAATGGGCTTCACACATTGTACCCATGTCAGAATCAAACCCGAGTCTTCGGCATGACGAGCAAACGCCTTAACAACGAGGCTACCCGACCGCCCGTGATGTGGAAAGAATCTTTTAGAGATGCAGGTATTAGTTTCTCATGTACCATGACTAGGGGTTGCCGCTAACAAACCTGGCAAGATAATCAGGGTAAATCTGGGATTTGAACACATGATCAGAGATTTCCCCTCCTGCCTACTGGACTCAAGCTAATTGAGATGTCTGAGACATCTGCCCTCCCAGGTGATGCGACACCATATACACTACTTACAGCTATGTTCTGCTGCAGCTGTAGACTCGGATCTCATAGCGGCACCAAGGAAGACGCCATGCTGCCAGTTGAAGGACTCGTACACAAGCGGAACTCCTGCGGACAAGTTGGCAAGTGAAAGTTTATCGCTGACAAGTGACTAATTGCTCGTAAAACAAGTAGAACATCAAATGGTTGGTCTCTTTCAATTCATATTCAGCAAACATTTTGACCCCTATAAAATTATTGTACAACAAGAATAGCATTTTGACGTACTCATCACAGGAGTTTACATAATCTGACAACCACAAAGGTTCTTACCTTCTGGTCTTCTGCCCCCAAAGATGATGGCCTCGATGGGCACGCCCTCAGGGCTCTCCCATGCAGGGTCCATTATGGGGCACTGTGAGGCTGGGGCACAAAACCTGCAACATGAAAAACATACAGGTTACTAAACAAGGTCACAGTTCAGACACTGCACAGAAAACTGCGTTCCAGCAATATGATGGCAGCCTGTCAAAAAGCGAGTCTGGACAAGGTAACATCCTGACCTGGAGTTAGGGTGAGCTGCCGGCTTGCCGCTCTCCTTCTTCCAGTCCCCGTCTCCCAACCACGACTCCACCTTGACGTCATTGGTCATCTCCTTCTCCAAGCCCTCCCAGAAGAACCCTCCATCACTCGTCTCCGCAACATTCGTGAATACTGTGTTGCTCTTGACCGTCTTCATGGCATTTGGATTTGTTTTCATTGAGGTACCTGATGAAGCAAAAAGAGATAATAATACACAGCTACACAACTAAGAACATGCATTTCAAAATAACAAAGGAAAGTCTCATCACCCCCCGCAATTCCATAACTCAGAAGCTCTGATACGTTTCTCTAACACATCAAACAGATACAGTTTCTTCACGGTAAGATCTGGGGTAGAATAAGTCTTCAGCAACCCATGCTTGCTGTAAGAGGCGACTAAAGGGATTGGGTGGTCAGGCTCACTGACTTGGTTGATGCATGTCATCGTATCCCAATAGCATAGATCGATGCTCATGATGTCAATCACTGGATTGTCTGATCCAGACTCTTATTAACAGACCGCCGTCATATAGCTGGAATATTGCTGAGAGCGGCGTTTAACAACAAACAAAAGAGATGTAGATGTACAGGTACTACATAATTGAAATTTTAAGTTATCTCCAATTGAAAACTAAAATGACAATCAAAAACTTTTTATCTACAGAAAGACGAAGACACTGACCAGGGGCCACTCCGAAGAATCCAGCTTCGGGGTTAATGGCTCTGAGCTTGCCATTGTTGTCGAACTTCATCCACGCGATGTCATCACCCACACAGGTGACCTTGTACCCTGGCAGCGAAGGGGTCATCATGGCAAGGTTGGTCTTGCCGCACGCACTGGGGAACGCAGCGGCCATGTACTTCTTCTCCCCCTTGCTGTTCTCGATGCCCAGAATCTGACAAAACAAACAGTTGCAATCAGATACTGAAATACACTGAGGGAAAAAAAGACGAAGACCTGGAAGTGTTTGGTGTTGGAGTCAGTGAGCGGGTGGCGAGTCTGGTTTATTAACGCTCTGAACTGTATTTCAGTTATATCATGTCATGTCAGCTTGATGTGGGAGGAAAGCACAAAGTGATGCAGGTCTTGGAGGTCAACCAGTGAGTGAGTGAGTGAGTGAGTTGGGTTTAACGCTGTTTGAACAGTATTCCAGTTATATCACGGTGTGTCAGCTTAATGTGGGAGGAAGCCCGAAGTGATGCGAGTCAGACGTTTACCACTTCTGTGAAACCCACGAGCACGGGTATGGTGCTGACAAACCTAGAAACATAATCTGGGCGAACGGTTATTTGAACCCACAATCATAGGTTTCTGGTGTGCCCAAGGGACGCAACTCTGCACAGACGACTGGCCCACCCGTGCCCCCTAGGTCAACCAATGAGCATGGGTATGGTGTTGTGAAACCCAGAAACACAAGTAGGGATAATCGGTATTTGAATCCATGATCATAATGATCAAATCTGAGATAAAAAATACAATGTGTACCATTTTCCGACCTATTTAGGTAGGTGGGGGTGTCATGAACAAATGACACTGTTTAAGTTTATCAAATACTTTTTTCATAAATTTGATTTTTAAGGGTGGGGTTCATGAAGAAATTGGTGGGGAAAGAGGTGTATGTGTGAGTGTGAGTGTGAGTGTGTGTGTGTGTGTGTGTGTGTGTGTGTGTGTGTGTGTGTGTGTGTGTGTGTGTGTGTGTGTGTGTGTGTGTGCATGTGTGTGTGCGTGTGTCCAATAAATAGCCAGTCTCTAATCCAAGGAAAACAATGGACTCCTACCAGCATGTGTTCTGCCAGCCAGCCCTCTCTCTTGGCCAGAATGGAGCCTAGACGTAGAGCAAAGCATTTCTTGCCAAGGAGAGAGTTTCCGCCATACCCACTGCCAAAGGACGCGATTTCGTTCCTCTCTGGGATGTGAGCCACCAAGGTCAACTTGGGGTCACACGGCCAGTTGTTACGGAGAGGACCTGCAACAGTGAGTTTGGGAATGAATAATATTCCATTTCTTTGCACAGTGACAGATAAAAGAATTTGTTAAAAAGTTACATTGAGTTTGGCCTTGAAAACAGAAAGGGCTGAAGTATTTAACACATATTAAAGTCACAAGTATCTTTGCTGTTGACTTATTTGTAAACTTGTTGACTCGTATGCAAATCCACAGTCAACAATAGTCCAGTTTTATAACAACAACTCATTCATAATCAAATTTGGGCCAAGCTCACTAGTGGTTAATAGCACAAGCAACAATCCACATCATTGCAATGGATACACAATCAGACATGTAACATTTCATATGTCACATAACCACAGCCCGTTAATAGTCAAGTTTTGGAAAAGCAAACTAATGGATGACAGCAAGAGCAAGATATGCATACCTCGTCATAGTGATTGTTGTGAATTCCTCAAAGTTTTGTTTGTTTGTTAGTTGTATAACGATGCACTTAGCAATATTTCAGCTGTATGACGGCAGTCTGTAAATAATCGAGTCTGGACCAGACAATCCAATGATAGACATCATGAGCATCAATCCATACAATTGGGATACGATGACATGAATCAACCAAGTCAGTGAACCTGACAACCCAATCACATTATTCTCCTCTTTCGGCAAGCATAGTCACCTCTTACGGCAAACACAGATTGCTGAAGATGTATTTTAACTCGTATCTTCACACGTCAATCTCCACTAGTCAACACATATACCATGTATGGTGGGGGCCTATTCTCCAGAAATGGAGACAAGAATGTCAGTAAATCCTTGTATACTGGAACTAATGTTTATTAACGTTTCGGATAATATTTCTATCATCAAGCAGTTCAATCATCCACTTACTTGTCAAAGGTAGAGGTCTTCCGACGGAGTGCAGACACTTGACGAAGTTTTCATCGTTCAGGGCATTCAGCACACGTGACCCCATACGTGTCATGATTCTCATGCTGGCTACCACGTAGGCGGAGTCTGTCAGCTGCACGCCGATCTTGGACATGGGCGATCCAATAGGGCCCATGCTAAACGGAATCACATACATGGTGCGCCCTGAAGACCACAACAGTAACATATTAGTCAACTGTCTCACAATATTACATATATAATGACCGGCACTTTCTAATGTATACCAAACAAAAAAAGCTAGAGATCATGAATACTTTGGGGGATACTTTTATGAAATTGTGTTCTCTGCCTTCACTTAAAAAAAATATCCCCCCCCCCCTCAGAAAAAATAAATAACTGAACCCCCAACTGTATCTACTTCTCAAAAAAAGTTAAGAACACCTGAATCAGTTCTTTAACATCTTTTGAGTTGTATATAACAAATAACTTCCTCCACCTTGGTAGCAAGGCAAAATTATTTTCATTTGCTCTGTAGGCTCTGCTCTAACAATTTGTTATAACTTTCTGCACTATTCATGTAGCAAGTTTGTCAAACAATATTGAACAATATGTGTGTGCATGAAGGTTGAGAAGAGGTTAAAGTTGTGATAGAGGATACACAAGATATGTTCAGTTTCATTTGTACAAATGTACAAAGGAAAATTTCCTAATCAAGGCGGTAAAGAAATGAAGGTTGAATTATATTTCTGAAAGCCGACATCTGATTGGCTCAAGAACCCATGCACCTTTCATTTAGAATACGTGGTATGTTCAGTGTTCACCTGAAACAATCTTCTAATGGAGACTGTCATGCAGAAATGTATTGGATCAGAGTAAAGTGAGCGATTTGAGTTTCACGCTGTTTTGAACAGTATTCCAGTGATGTCATGGCATGTCAGCTTAATGTGGGAGGAAAGCCCGAGGTGAGGCAGGTTTTACATGTTTACCACTTTGGCGAAACCTCGAACACGGGTATGGTGCTGACAAACCTATAAACATAATCAGGACAAACTGGGATTTGAGCCCACGACCACAGGTTCTTGGCATGCCTAAGTTGCTCAACTCTGCACAGCGAATCGTGGTGCCTTAGACAACTGGCCAACTGTGACACTGGTTAAGAATCAGTCACCTAACGCCGAGACACATTTTGGCATGTTCCACCATCAACCCACCTTTCATGCAGTTAGGGAATCTCATGTTGAGTTCATTGTCCATGTCCACTGGCGACATCCAGTTGCCCAGCTGGCTCTTGGCACCAAACTTGGGACTTGGCACCGTATCCCGCTGTTCATCTGTCGATATGTAGGTCAACTTCTCAACTCTCGCAACATCTGCAGGATCCGTCCTGGCCAACCAACTGCAACATGATTGTCAAGTGTGTTACTAGGCAACACACTTCATGTGTGTGAGTGAGGCAGGTTAATGCTGCTATGAAAGTTAGTTAAGTTATACCACAGCACGTCAGCTTGATGTGGGAGGAAAGTCTGAAGTGATGCAGGTCTTAGACGTTAGATATTTGCTTAAACCAACAAGTATGATATGGTGCCAACCAACTAGAAAAATAATCAGGCCGATTTCTGGGATTCAAACTGACGAGCATAGAATTCTGGCGCTGTTAACCCCTTTCGGAGCCAGAAGTATAACTGATCCATGACAAACCCAAACAAAGATGAGCAAAAATTTGTGCAATATATTCACAAGATTTCCATCATTTTTGTTCACAATTTTTTTAATATATTTATTTATTTCAATTTTTTAAACAGTTCAAGGAATCTGTGAACACTGACTGTAAAGGCAGACAGGGATGAAAATCTAATAATTGTAAAAAATCAAAATAATCATGAGATATGAGATTTAAATAAAGAATCCAATCAAGGGATTTATTACAGTGGCAGGGGGAGGTGATGGGGTCAGAGGATGTTGATGCATTAATGTACCGAAAATAAGGACCTTCCCCTCATGGATGTGATATTTTGGGATGACCCTCCATATGTCCTTGACATTTTTTCATGACCTTCCCCGAAATAAATAAATGCAAAAGCACTTTGTATTTTTTTTAAAATGACAATTTTTAATGAGCCCTTATTTGACCCTCCCCTCTCCCCAAGAAACTGCTTTATTTGGGTGACCCTCCCGATTTCCTCGGAAACCCCGACATGATTCCCTCTGACTTGGAGCCAATCACTGTGTCACCTACCAGTTATCATATTTTGGTAGACTTTTCAGGATGCCATCTTTCTGCAGCATGTACGTGAGAAGCTCGTTCTCCCGATCGGAGCCATCACAGATGTGCAGGGTATCGGGCTGACAGACACGGGCATTCTCCTCCACATAGCTCCGGACTCGGTTGGGGAGGCGCTCCAGATCGCCATAGATGACCTGGAAGTTCCGTCGGGGGACATCAAACACAGCTCTGCTCTTGATGGAGGGCGAGTGCCTCAAAACACAGGAACTGAATCTGTTGGGAGAGAGAGAGAGTGTCATTATTCATGTTAGTGATAGCTTAAGGACAAACAGGCCGTTATGGAAATAAATTGTTCAAGCGGCAAATATTCTGAAGTCTGTATTTCATCAAAAAGATTGTTTTACCAGCTTTTCAGCCTGACTTATGTCACTGGCCTGAAGCCCGAGTCTAGTAAGACATTGTTTGGTCTTATGCCAAGAGGCAGTTTGGGGGTAGTAGACTTTTCTAACAGAGACTGCATTTTTACAGAATGGAGAGATGGAATCTTTTGCCAGTGCCTATCCTTCATGGGTCTGTGTAGTGGAATATACAAACCAATGAAGTATTGACAATGATGCAAGGCACATGAGGAATCAACGTCATAGCGAACACCAAACCGACCTTCTGACCCAACTGATTATTTTACAGGCTTTTGTCATATAGATGGAATTTTCAATGGATGTTGGAAAATGCCCAGTCTGTGAAATGGGAAGCCATCAATACCTGTCAGACAAGTGTCACTCACAGGTCTATTTCAGTACAAGCTGATGAATGTTCCCATGACAACCTTCATGCAACAGTTAATTGAGTCTAGCATATTTGCCTTCTCCCTCATCACAACAGCTCTGTGAAGCATGGAGAGTTCTAATGGTTATGTTGGTAATTGAAGATGAGAATGACTGATAAGATATATAATTATCCTTTCGGCTGACATGTTCCAAAGCAAATTACATATAGTTTTATAAGTGGACAGATATTACATTCAATATTTCGAGCTCAAACATGAATAATTTTTCTTCAGGGTAAAAATTCACGCAAAATAAATCAGACTAAAAGACTTTGCTTTTTTAAAATAAGCAATACAATATGACATGAGATTAGTCATGCTTAAAACTCGGGATGGGACGAGTCCAAATTTACTACCGGGGTACCCAACCCCCTACAATCGACATTTACCGGGTACCCGCTGTAGGTGTCAAGACAAAACGTCTGATTTGGAATACTTTGACCATAGCCCTGGACAAAATGTATTTAGGTACACTATAAAATGATCTGGTCATGCACTGAAGTTGACGGAAGTTTTATCTTTATTCAAACATATAAAAGTCAGAAGGAATGGGTGCATAGTCAGAAAGAAATATGACCATTAGTGACTTGTAAGGTAACCATATAGTTCTAGATCATTTTTGTCATTAAACAATATATCACGTGACTAACCACGGGTCCAGGTAGTCATGTGGGTACCCGGGTCCTTCTCAGTACCCACCCAACCCGAGTACCTGACCCAAGTACCTGAGTTACCCGACCCAAGTACCCAAGTTACCTGACCGGAGCTACCCATCCCAGCCTTAATTAAAACTATATTTACCACTAAAAAGAAGTTGAAAAACCACCCTATGTTTTTCATAAGACTATTCAATCTTTCATGGCCATGACAACTATGGTCATATGAAAGAAACAGGTGTTCCTTAACTTCTTTCGAGTAGCATATGATGTGAGCATTACTCAGAACAAACCTAATTCATTAAAACTATACCCAGCACTGACCATGCACTTACGCTGTAAGTATCATTAGTATGAGAACTTAAGCAGGTTTTATTACATCAGCTGGGTACTGCCTCAACATTGTATTGCGCTATCTCACGACTTGATACCACTTGATCCACTTTGAGAATCAGCTGATTTCTCAGATCTAGGTCATCAGTAAGGAAAAATACCTGACTGGACTTTGATCGAAATAACAATGTTGAACATGTCCTTTCAATTTTCCATTACTTCTTGTTTTAAATTTGAGGCCATAATATCAGATGCAGTAGGAATAAAATGAATAAAAGCTGGTAATAAAGAAGTGAGTGATTGAAAGTAACAGTTTTATTTCCTGAAAATATTTTAAATGTTAAATTTTGAAACTATATACAAGCAAGGGTTGAAAAAATCCAATAAAGACAGCATTAACTTTTTTCAGATGAGCCTTGCAAAATTTAAGGTAAGACTATTTTAAAACAAGTAACTTCTACAAACATGGTGTGGATATTTAAAATAATAATTGGGGTTTCAACCTGTATACGAATATTGATGAAATTTTCAGATATAACCCATACTTTGGAGTATTAACCAACATACTTCGTCCCCAAGGTGATAGTGTGACACATGTGAGCTTCCACAGTGTGATGCAGCCATGATAACTGCTCTATAAACAAGTTATATGTGGAATAGTTAATTAATACTTTTAATTTGCTAGCCAGCTGGTCTGGCATGGCCCTCGATTTACTGACTTGGATTGAATATCTCTTGAAACCTGAGCAGCAGGGAAAAATTTAAGCATGAGAATCTAACGTCCTTGTCAAATCAACAAACATGCAGATGCTCTACCACAAGACCACGGAGGCGGCCTTATACTATAGCAGAAAATTTTAAAGGTCTACGACTTTCCTTGATATCTGACACAGTTGAGTCTGGTTCATAGCAGTTAGCTACTAGTCAAAAGCCCATGTCTAGTAAAAGTCTGTTTGGTCTAGTAAGATCACCTGATACTACAGGAGTGTGAGTTGGGTTTAACACCACCTTTAACATGTCAGCTTAATGTGGGAGGAAAGCCCCAAGTGATACATGTCTCAGAAGCTAATGACACTACAGCGATGCCCAGGTATGGAGCTGACAAACCTAGAAACAAACCGGGATTTCAACCCACAATCATAGGTTCCTGATGTGTCCAAGGGATGCAACTCTGCACAGCAAATGACTGGGCCACCAATGCCCATTTACCAAAAATTACAATTTAAAGCTATGCCAAGCGCCATCTCCAGGGTTGTAGACTAATTATTTTGGTCAAAGACTGACATTTTTCAGTATTAAAAATAGTTCAGTGAAACAGTGGGAAGAATAAAGACTATCAAAATTTGAATCAACGAATCCTTATAACAAGTCATTAAAAATAAAACATCTGTTTCACAACTTTGGAAAAACCCAGGATTTTCCCGAAGCATGTATTCCCAACAGATTGTATAACTGGGCTCACTGAATAGAGCAGCTGAAACACTCAGACAAATAGATAAGGCACAGGTGACCCAGTTTTTTTTGACTAGGTGAACATCTGAGGCGTATTTCTCCATTCTGCTGTGCAGAATCTTAGTCAGATGAATTTACCAAGATATAGAAAAATTGGCAAAAGTAAATCAAAATTGCTCTTTTGATAAAAAAAATTAATATAACTGAATATGCACCTTATATTTCACAAACTTTTGTTGGATGGGTAATCTAATCTGACCATGCTGACAGAAACCTTTAAATATTTAAATTTATTTATTATGGCCTGTTGACCAAGAGATTCTGTAAGAGAAAAATTGGCCAGTGTAACTGTAAGGATTAAATTTTAAAAAATCTTTTGAAGTAAGTATATTTATCAATGAGTAAATGTTAGATTATCTTGTATTTTACACAAATGCAACTGTTCTCTCCTTGGCATACATTTCGGTTCAAATATTTCCGCTAAAAGTGTCCCCTCTTCAACATGTTGGAGTTCTGTAACGGAGCTAGGTGGGTCCTGTTTCATAAAGTATTGCTTAGCCTTACGTTTGTTTAAACACCCTCGTACAGAGCCCCGCCGGAATAGTTGTCAGCTCAGCATTCAATCAGTGTGGAGCTTGTTGAGAGATGCTGTTATCACTTGTCGCACAATTCACTCACTTTGACATTTCACATTTTATTTCTCCACGATGTCAGATTATACACCCATATATTTCTCTTCACCAGGAGGAAATTTTACAATACTTAACATTTTACCATTTAATCATGTCCTGATGGAATTTTATAAATAAGATGACACTTTAAATAATATGCTTTTTTAAGTAAAACCATTTTTGAAAAAAAATAATATATGAGTAATAATGATAATACTTTAATAAAATTCAGTTTATTTATGTAGATCTAAATATTATTAGTGCAATGAAAACAAATTAAATGCATATAAAACTACTGAAGCTCAACATTTTATGCAATGGTGGAGGATCTAATAGTATGACAAGCGTATTCATGTTCGCAAATTTGAGATATTACAGATTCAGAGGCAGCACGTTGACCTCTAGTTGAGCGTGCCCTGTCAAGCAAGGTATGAACCCAAGTCTGCAGAAGACAGTCGGCCGACCACTGGTTATAAATCGATTGACAAACACGTGGCTCAAAGGGTTTCACTCGATTAATTTTCCAGTTCAACATTTCTTCCCCACGAAAGGAAAACAAATTCAAATATAGTCGAAAAACAGTTTGGAGATAAGTGATTAGATAACAGTATAGTAATTTTAAAAAGCAACTGAAAACATAAAGTAAATTTTGTCACCTGATAAACTTGAATAGACCAACCATTATGACGACCCTGCTGACCCATCGACAGTCCAGTGACAACTGTTAATTTTAGTAACCGCGTAAGGATATGACATGTGAAATCTTGCCGCTAAACTAGGTTATCGCAATACTGATAATAAACCACAACGAACTACTTCCGCTTGCTACTATGCACTGTAGTGTTAGTTTTTATTTAAAATGTATTTTTTACACATATGATTCCCATGAAGTCATATAATTATGCACTATATGTTAAAGCTAAGTGATATATGTGCGTTGCGAGGCAATATGGGGGTGTGTCTGAATACTAGATTTTCATTGGTCAAACAAATCCACACGCACCGACTCACTTCTTGTAGTCAGCTGATCGTGTAAACAAAGAGAAACGGGCAATCTCCCACGCTCAGCTATTAACATGTCGTTGGAGTTTAGGGCGGTTTTGAGAACAAAATGATTACAAATGAGCAGTCACGTTGCTGATCATGATGTAACAATCCCGTTGAAAGATTATTTGTACCATTTTGGGGAGGATGACGAAATCGCTGGCTGAGGTAATTCCTAATATTCAACCAGGAAACGGAGAACGGAGAACAATTATACGTTAAAATTAATTTCCACACAATACAAACACCACATTGACGTCGCCATTTTATCATTAACCATTATGAAACAGATGTACACATGATATGAATATTCATTTGTCTACCTGTTCATGGTATGTGCTAATATACATCGTTATTCATGACACGAATTCTAGAATATATCTAATTTCCACTGCATTATCACTGTTGGTTTGAATGTATTTGTTCCTGGGAACATGCCGAAATGCCCACTAAACGTTAGAACAGTAATGAAATGTCAAGTTACACTGATTATTTTGAAGATACCCATGCATGTCAATTATCATATATTTATCAATTATGGCGAGAAAGTGGCACGATGCGTCGAAATGAAAAAGCACCCACATTAATAACACTCTTCATTCACTAAACTAAACATATGAAACCTTATGTTATACTAAAAAAAGACAAAAAGTAAAATTCTGGTAGTATTCAATTTACAAAACGGAGTATTATATTTCTACTTGAAAGAGAAGCAGATCACGAAGCTACATTTAAAATGGGTAATCAAAGAGCCTATCTTCAGTTGATAAAATCAAAATGATATGTTATACATATATCAGACATATTTAACATATACGCATCAAAGTGAGATACTTATACAATGTACTTACTGCTCTGTCTCCGACATCGATTCCATTGTATCTGTCTCAGGCATATTGCGGATCTAGCTTCAAACGCAGTGTTCATAGATACTTGTTGTCTATCGAGAGTCATGCAGATTCTGGGGCAGCTATTCGCCCCGCGGTTCCTTTATACGCTCGGCTGATGCGCGTCATCGATATGCACATGTTGACGAGAGCAGAATAACATCTATTTTTAGACAATCGGTCAAGCAACGCTTCTGGAAGTCAAGCTGGCTGTACTTTGACCTCGGAGGAACCCATATAAGTGACGTATATTAACACGATACAAGGTGTGTGTTTTTCAAGGACAAGTAAGTACACTATCAAATGTATAACGTACAAACTTCGCCAGGCTTGCTGACTAGTTATAGCTTGGTTACCTCATTTATACGAAGCAAGGAGTCTACGGGTATATTAAAATAAGAGGGTGGATTATATATTCCGCATTATCACTGCTTGTTTAAATATCGGATTTGTTTCTGATGCATAGGACCATGTAACTACTACTACTAATAATAAACATACTCGCAGACCTGTTAACAAATTTAACAAACAACTTGTTGTTTTCTCATGACAACACTCCCTAAAGTCTATTGTTACTTTGAATCGTTAGTTGAACGATCGTATATCACTGAACAGGTTCTTTTTAAAATAGGAAAGGATCTTTTGAAAAAAAAAATGAATTACAATTATTTTAAAGAAATGTTTTCATAGACTAAGTGTTAGTCTAGCTCATTATCACTTCTTATTGTCACGGTTGAGGGTCGGGTCGAGGGATTACGTTAGAGTAGGTCACACCCGTGTTGCAATGCCACTACATGCTTGTGCACCCATCAATGTCGAACGACCAACCAGACCAAACAGAAATAATTCTTGTATGAATGTTAGCACAGCTAGAATACAGTGGTGTAGGAACCAACTGGGCAGATTTATATTAAAATCACGAGCTGCCGGGACATGAGAATATTACACAAAAACGCAACACAGTAAACTGGAATACCGGAATCCGAACTTATGAGTTTCTGATATTGAAATTTTATGCGTGTTTATTTTTTCTTTTTCAAACTTCTTTCTCCACGAATATATACAAGCCGAACTATCATGTATTATATCTCAAATAATGATAAATATTTTTTATAATATTAATGTCCTTTTTCTTTGTTCAAGTGAATGAGTGTGGGTAAGTTGACGTTTACGCTTTTTTAGCAATATTCAAGCAATATCACGGTGTGGGACACCATGCATGGGCTTCACACATTGTACCCATGTGGGGAATCGAACCTGGGCCTTCGGCGTGGTGAGCGAACGCTTTAACCACTAGGCTACCCCACAACTGTCTCTCTACACCGACCTACATAGATTATTATTAAGTTAAATTATCCATGTACATTGTCCATAAGAGTAGAATTATTGTGTGTAATGACTTTCCGATTCTTGCTCATGTACAATTTGTCAATTCGGAATGCTGATTGGTCAATTGAACCATATGGCGTCACAATGCGTCAGTGATGAGACAGATACGATATGACGTCATCCATTGTTCATGACGTCACGATAGGTTTCATGACGTCATGTGAACAAGGCTTTCATACCTTTTACTCGGGATTACGGATAATCTGTAGTTCCTCGTAGCTCAAGCCCCTATCTCACATACACGATTTAAGAAATTGCGAACACGATTTAAGAAAAGTTGAAAAACCATGTTGATTCGTGCTCGACCTTGTGTTTTATGCAAATTTCTTAACCAAACACGACCCTCATACGACCAAAAACGACCCTCATACGACCCTCATACGACCGTCATACGACCTTCACACGACTGAACACGACTTTTCAGCTCGACGTCCATACGACTCCACGCGACCGACCACGACTTAACACGAATGAACACGAATGAGTGCGCGACCTTCATACATTCTAACACGATTGAAGGAAAAACGTAAAATCGTGTTCAGATTCCTGAATGTGAGATAGGGGCTTTATGGGTTAAGATTTTTTCATGTGTTTCTGGTTTCACCAACTAACCATCATCAACCGAATCAGAGAGTCTGACCATCCTAGACTCGCAGATCGCCTCTTACGACAAACTTGGATTGCTGTAGACCAGTTCTGACCCGGGTCTTTACGGCTCTTGAAATCGGGTTAGAACAGGTCTTCAGCAACCCATGCTTGCCTTAAATTCCGACTATGCTAAGCTCAAAAGGCGACTAACCGGATCGGGTGGTCAGGCTCCCTGACTTGGTTGATGCATGTCATCGTATCCCAATTACTTGGATCGATGCTCATGATATCAATCCAGACTCGGATATTAAGAGACCGCCGTCATATAGCTGGAATATTGGTGAGAGCGGCGTTAAAAAAACAAACAAACACACTTTAGGGTTCCTTTAGTGAAGACTTGATTTTGCGTTTAACATTGTTAACACATATGCAGCTTTTGCATAACACTATTCACTGGCGATTATGTTAGATAAGACGAAAAAAAGGTGTATGTTAGGCTGACCGTTTATCACAGTGTTACGACGTTGGATTGTCATAAGTAATCTCCCGTGAAAACCTAATCTCGCGTAATCTAAGGACGTAATTAGTGATGGCGTCCAAATACTGGCTGTATACATAATATATATTCGTGTTATATAACAGTTTGTTAACGTGAATGTTTTAACGCCCGAGCTTTCATAATACCCCATGCTGGAGCCCACCCGAAGAGCGGAAGGTCGGTGATTCGAAACCCGGTCGCGCTATGCCAAAAGACGTTAATAGGTGGTATTTGTTGTCACCCTTCCTTGCCCTCAGTATTCAGGGGATAAAACATGGAGTCATTATTACTGCGCGGGGTACCCCAGTTACACTGCTGTGTGGTATCTCAGCGAAATGTCAGGAATCGAGGGTACGAGCAACGACCAGATAATGTGTGGATGGTGTGAAATAGGCGTGTGGCAGCTGCACATATGTACATATGTCGTTTGCTGCAAGATCGCGTGACACATTGTACAAATGAATGTATACATGAATTGAATGAGGCCTAGATGCACACATACACTGAAGTATACACTGTATATCTGTCAAATAGACAGTTTTGAAATCGATATATCGTTCCCGTATACGAGAAACTGTGGTCTGTCTCCCAGACCCAAGAGAACACCCAAGTCTAGAATGATTTGGCAAGTCAAGATTGCCTTAGCTCCAGGCTGAAATTAAGTATTGCCCTGGGCTCCATTTGAAATTTTGAATCATTTGAACCCGATCCGGTTAGTCGCCTTTTACGACAAGCATGGGTTGCTGAAGACCCATTCTACCCCGGATCTTTACATTAACACTAGTGTATGTATATGAACACATTAGTGTATATGCATGGACTCTTAAGTGTATGTGTTTGAACACTTTAGTTTATGTGTATGCTACTTTAGTGTATGAATAACACACCTTAGTGCATGTGTATAAACACATTGGTAACAGTTTTGTAACGTTATCCGCGGCTTGAGAGGTGATGAAATCACTGACGTTCAACCTGTTAGTACCCAGTGTTTCTGTAGGAAGATCACAAATGTAAGGAAGTATCGAGTTCACATGTGCTTGGTATGTGTTTCATCATCCTAGTGTCGTTCAATAACATAATGAACACTGATTGCATCATCTGGACCAAACCAAATAAACAGATGGTTTTTTTGTCCGGTGGACGGATCCGGGTTGGCACATAAATCTAACATCCGGAACAGAATAAGATGTCTTCTGTAAGTCACGCAAGTGTGACCTGCAGATGTATGATTTGTTCATAGAATATTTGAATCGAACAGAACAAACACAGTGACGAAATGTACCGATTGCCCTCGCGCTAGATAATCACTTTGTAATTTTCTGCTTCCCGAATTTATATCCCATTGAGTCTTAAATGCCCCACGCCCCTTAGGTGTGGGTGTCAGGTGACTGGGTGTAAATACGTAGGTATACTTGTATTTTGAAAGACACTGATGCAACCTCCAATAACAACCGATATGACCTGGGGTTAACGTCGCGTTCAATGTTATTGAACTTATACAAAGACATACATGCATGTTTCCGTGCTTGCGTGCGTGTGTGCTTGTATACTAGCCCGGACTTATACCGAGTTTATAGTGCTAGCCCAGTGATATACCATGCCGCAGTTTAACATGAATACCACACCCCGATACAGTATACTGACTCCAAGCCGACCAGTCCTTGTCCGTCCCATTAATTCCGAGCATCAGTCCGAGTAAGGTGGGATTGGGTGGGGTGGGGTGGGGTAGGGTAGGGTAGGGTAGGGTAGGGTAGGGTAGGGTAGGGTAGGGTAGGGTAGGGATGGTATATTCTGGTTTCGCGGGGGTCCTGACTACGGAGGTTTCGTTTTACTGAGTTATACTATGGTTATGCTGGACGTAAATGGGCGTAAACCAAACGGTGTGTGTGTGTGGGGGGGGGGGGGGTTCAGTTCTCTGCTCCTGCCCCCTCCAAGACAAGACGCGCTCCTTGAATAAACGACTGCGAACAAAACTGAAAAAAACTCTCTGAAAGATTATCTGTCTTTGAAACGTCGGGTGGCAGGCCCTTGTGAAAAAAATATCAGCACTTGTTTAAGGATTTATGGTACTGATGTCATCGTGGTCTTTTACTGTGTTCTCGTATTCATTAGATTAAATCCGATGTGTGTGATGTTACAGTCGTATTTATTTATTAACTTGTCGGTTAAAAAACCCGGCTCTTTTCATATAAAAACACAGCTCTATTCATTTCATGTTGTTTGTAAGTGCACGTGTAAATTTTCCGAAAAAATGCAACGATAAAGAAACCGACAACTTATAAGTAGACAAGGAACGACTGTCGTCATCTTTTGACGGCCTTCACCTTCGACGGAGGTGTGTCCCAGTACTCGTTTCTGATTGGTTGAAATAGAAGCCATGACTCCTTTTGTTGACGATCAGCTGTTCATGTAGGTCGATCGCTGAATTTTTGTGTGACTGCATTGCATCAGACGTTTTAGTCATTCCGGGTGATAGTTGTCACTTGATCCGTGAACAATGCAGTAAATTGGGTTAATTTCGTCAACCGTTTCCCTTTTCACAAAATATCGCCATGTCACGTCATGGATCAAAGGAATTCGTAGCTCCACACAACATTATATAGAT